TCGTGGCCCATTGTCTAGATCGCCATGGCCACGCATGTGCCGCGGCCCCAGCCCCACCGGGCCGGGCGGGGCCGGGCCAACCGGCCCAACCGCACAAATCACGAACCACAGGAAAAGAGAGAAAGGAGGCCGGTGCAGCACGCGCAGCGCGCGCAGCGTGGACGCCACACAATCAGGTGCCAAAAACAAAAGAAGGTGGCGGTGTCCGCGTTTTCATCCTACTTCCACACACCGCGCCGAACTGGTTTATCTTTTTGCTTGCTTCTTTTTTTTTTTTTTTTTAAAGAGATTCATGCTTTTATTTTCACTTTTTATGTCCGGGCTCTGGCCGCGGCTATGCGGCGGAACACCCAACACATTAAACGGCGTTTGATGCGCTTCGCGTTGCTTCGCATTGCTTCGCGTTGCTTCGCGTTGCTTCGCATTGCTTCGCGTTGCTTCGCGTTGCTTCGCGTTGCTTCGCGACGAACCAGGTCCAAGCCTCCGAGGAAATCTCTCTGGCCGCACTGCCGCGCTCGCCGGCCAGCACGCAGATAGTGGTGGTGGAACAGTGTGGGAGAGTGATGGAAGCGAGGCAAAGCTCGGCCTGCAGGAAAAGGGGTGTGTTGACGGGCAGCCTTGGAGAGGCAAGGCCGGCCGAGCGCACTCACATTGTACCTGCGGCAAACATGGCACGGCAGGCCGGCGGCAGGCCTTGCCTGTCGACATTTTAAGGGTCAGTCTTGTGCGGTACAGCTCGCTTGGAGTTGCTTGGGGTCGCTTGGGGTCTGCGTGGAGCACCGCGGCACTCCGACTCCGGGCTTGTGGCTCGTTTGTTGCACTCTCGAGGGCGCGCGGTCCGTAACGCCCGTAACACTGCGATGCAACGACCAACGCAGACTGCAGGCTGCAGACCGGAGCTGCTTCCGCCTCCTTGCATCCTTGCATCCTTGCATCCCTTGCGTCCCTTGCATCGACCGGCCACCGGCCTCGCCCCTCCGCTCCCCTCGAGGCTCCACCACATTATCGGTTCCGGAGACATGCACAGAAAGTGTCAAGTAGACAGCCTCACTTGCACCAAGGTGAAGCCGTCCGGGGGGCCTTCTTCGTCACGTCCGCCTCATCCTCCCCGCCGAAATGGCGTTATTGCCTAACCAGTCATCCCCCTCCTGATTTCATCTTCTCCTCCAGAGCGCTGCTGCAGCACGTGTTGGCCCGGCCCGAGGCCCGAGGCCCGCCACGCCACGGCCGCGCCACGGACCACTCCACTCATATTTTCCACACGGCCCGTGGGTCCGTGGGTCGCCCCCGGACTCCCAGCCCGCGGTGGTGGAAGGAGGGGGGGGGATATCGTGGTGCAAAAGGACGCTATGAGGTAGAAGGGAGGCGGGCGAAGAATGGGAGGAACGTGACTCGAAAAGAGAAAAAAAGGAAGAAAAAGCGAAATGAATAAATAAACGGAAAAATAAGCGGGAGAGGAGGGCGTGCAGTATGGAATGCATTAATCCCACGGTGGCTGATCTCTTCTAATGCGCATCGCCTCGCGCGGTGAGAAAGAGAGAGAAGGGTGCTTTAATTCGGCCAGAGTAACGCGCGGAGCGGCGCGAAGCCACGGGACATTTCGCTTCACGGGCCCTTAACGGTGGCGGAGCGGAGTCAAGAAGCATTAAATTGGTCCGGTCGAATCACTGTTTATTTCCTTTCCTTCCGCGACCTTTCGCGTTTTAATTACCGGGCTGCTGCCCCCTTTGCCCCGCCCCGCCCCGCCCCGCGCGCTGCGTTTTATGATGCAAGTTTTGTCATTACGTGCCGCCGGGACAACAGCGGGCGGCCCGTCCCGTCCCCGACATGACCTGCCACAATACCAACATGACTACTTTAAATCAAGCCGTGCGCCTCCCCGCCGAGGGAGGACGCTGCGAGGACGCTGCGAGGACGCTGCGAGGACGCTGCGAGGACGCTGCGAGGACGCTGCGAGGACGCTGCGAGGACGCTGCGAGGACGCTGCGAGGACGCTGCGAGGACGCTGCGAGGACGCTGCGAGGACGCTGCGAGGACGCTGCGAGGACGCTGCGAGGACGCTGCGAGGACGCTGCGAGGACGCTGCGAGGACGCTGCGAGGACGCTGCGAGGACGCTGCGAGGACGCTGCGAGGACGCTGCGAGGACGCTGCGAGGACGCTGCGAGGACGCTGCGAGGACGCTGCGAGGACGCTGCGAGGACGCTGCGAGGACGCTGCGAGGACGCTGCGAGGACGCTGCGAGGACGCTGCGAGGACGCTGCGAGGACGCTGCGAGGACGCTGCGAGGACGCTGCGAGGACGCTGCGAGGACGCTGCGAGGACGCTGCGAGGACGCTGCGAGGACGCTGCGAGGACGCTGCGAGGACGCTGCGAGGACGCTGCGAGGACGCTGCGAGGACGCTGCGAGGACGCTGCGAGGACGCTGCGAGGACGCTGCGAGGACGCTGCGAGGACGCTGCGAGGACGCTGCGAGGACGCTGCGAGGACGCTGCGAGGACGCTGCGAGGACGCTGCGAGGACGCTGCGAGGACGCTGCGAGGACGCTGCGAGGACGCTGCGAGGACGCTGCGAGGACGCTGCGAGGACGCTGCGAGGACGCTGCGAGGACGCTGCGAGGACGCTGCGAGGACGCTGCGAGGACGCTGCGAGGACGCTGCGAGGACGCTGCGAGGACGGGGGTGCACTGTGGAGGGCTTTCACCCCGCCCCGCCCCCGGGAGACCCCACGCCGACGCTTGTTTGATCCGTTGCCTCAACAAGGAGGCCATCTAGCACCAGTGCATTTAGGAGATTAAAAGAAAGGCCATCAGCATCGCCGTCTCGAGGGCCCTGCAGACGAGGCCGAGGCCAGGCCGAGGCCAAGCAGCACTTCCCACACTGCGAAAATAAAGAGGTCCACGGAGGTTTTCTTTTTTTTTCGCTCCCGGCTTACCCCTCACTGCCTGCGGCCACGGCGCGCACATCCAGCAAGCGGCGAAGCCATGGCGCAGCGATCCAAATGAAACGGGAGTTGCCTCGGCCTCGCTCTCGGCCTCGCTCTCGGCCTCGCTCTCGGCGTGCACGTACCCAAATTTATGCACTGTCACAGGGTGTGGTTGCGCAGCGCCACCGCCACGCGTGTCACGTGCCGCGAATGCGCAAATGAAGAAGACCTGACGCAGCGAGAACCAGGGAACCAGGCCGCACTCCACGCCACGCCACGCCACGCCACGCTACGCCACGCCACGCCACACCACGCCACGCTACGCCACGCCACGCCACGCCACGCCACGCCACACCACGCCACGCCACGCCACGCCACGCCGCGCCACGCCGCGCCACGCCACGCCACGCCACGCCACGCCACGCCACGCCACGCCACGCCGCGCCACGCCACGCCACGCCACGCGGCCCGCGGGGGGCACGCAAGCTGCACGCCACTGGCAGGCGGCAGGGCACGGAGTCGGGAGGAGAGCCTCTGCACACAGCAGCAGCAGGTCAGCGTGGGCGAACGCGTTCTTCGGGGAACTCATCAGCTCTCGAGGCTTATTCCTCCTCTAGTTTCTGGATGGAAGGGTATTGTTGCTTCCCTTCCTCCTCTAACAATACCCTCGCGAAATCGTCCGTTGAAGCGGAGGAGACGCCTTTGGGACTCCAGCGGGCTTCTGTTCCTAGACTCCGTTGTGGTTTAAAAGTGAAACTTTCTTTTTTCCTGTTCCTGTTTTGTTTCTTCTCTTTAAAAAATCTCATTCAACGAACGTTAATGAAAGCAGATGATACTCGTTTGGTTTTCTTCTACGGGGTAGTATGGGCTCATTCCAAAGATATTATTTAAAAACTGAGCCCTTTGTGCCTTGGCCTGCACCGCCGCGCCGTGTCCGTTGGATTGCGAGCACCCCGTGCCCCTGGGCTGTAGCGGGGAGGGATTGTCAATGTTGCTCGCAGGCCGTCGCGCGCGAGTGGGGTTCCATTGTCGCGAATTCCGCGCAGGCTGCGCCGCAGCCAGCCACAGACAGCCGCACCATCCCGCCCCGGCAGCCAGCCCCTATTATATTGTTAGGGTATGTACTTGGTTTTTGGACTCTCGAGTAAAAGCTAGCTGACACCTTTATGTATCTTGTAGTTGTAGTTTTAGGTATGTTTTTAAGTAAAGGTATCATCTGCTAAAAAGGCACACTGAATTTATTTGCCATAAAATTTAACACGGCCTTATATTTGGCTTCAAAGTTAGTTTAGTTGCCTACTCTGTCTCCATGCCATGCAAATTTATGCAACAATTTGTCCGTCTGGACGTCACACCGTCCTCGAGACCGAGGGTGACCCAGGGTGACCCAGGGCCAGCGCATCCACTGTGGGCCCCCGAGCAACACGGCGCCTGCCACACTGCCAAGCCATGAGGTACGCTACGCCACGCATCGCCTGCACAGCTGTAGTGCTGTCGTGCTGCGTGCCTGGCCTCGTGCCTTCCCGCGCCCCTCCCACCCCATCGTCTGTCTCTGCTGACGGCCCGACTTGAAAGATTGGCACTGAGTTTCCCTGACGCGTCAGAGGAGACATGTATCCGAGAGGGTGGGCCCCAAGTTGCCTTTGCCGCCCCCCGAAGGCGCAGGGCGCAGGGCGCAGGCCAGCGCCAAGTTAAGAGAACACTGTAAACCGCTTCCGGTCCGAGGGCCGAGTCCGCCACTGATTGGGGTGCGAGGGTCAGGCCGGTCAGGCCGGTGTGGCCAGCCACGCGTTCCTCTCCGATCTGCTTGTTGCAGCGTTGCCGTTTCGAGAACATATGCCAACTATTCGGGCCCTGGGTGCGGCAGCGCGGCCGCCCAGGCCGGCGAGCGGAAGGGCTGGAGGGCTGGAGGGTCCCCGAATCACGGCACGGTATTTGCGGTCGGTGGCTCCGGCGTGCCGGTCGGTGATGGAGGCGCAGGCGTGCACGCCGGCGTGCCTCGAGGCGTACAGGCACGGCTGTTTCTCTCCAGGCCAGGCTAGCCCAGGCCAGGCTAGCCCAGGCCCTCTCGACCTACCTGTGAGTGCCCACAGCTCGCGCAGGCAGTCGTCGCGGTGGCCCTTCATGCTGCCTCGCTGGTTCATCTCGTAGCCGCCCTCCAGGGACTCGAACAGGAGCGCGCCCAGCAGCACGTAGCCGCCGACGAGCGAGAAGAGCCCCACGTTGGAGAAGAGGTGCGTGAAGAAGCTGCGGAGGCAGCTGCTGAGGCGGCGTGCCCGCGTCGCTGGCGGCGGTGGCGGCGGCGTCCCCGCCAGGTTCACGTCGACGTCGTCGTCGTCCAGGCCCGGCGCGCTGCCGTCCTCGCTGAGGCCGCTGCCGGCCTCGGGCTGCATCGGGGCCCTGTCCGAGGCCCTGTCCGAGGCCCTGTCCGGGGCCCTGTCCGTCCTATCGCCGCGCGCCCACAGGGCCTGGGCGGCGGCCACGAGCTGCTCGTCCTCCAACGACCCGGACCACTCGGATTCGGTGCTGGGGTGCCATCGCACCCGCTTCACGGAGCCGGTGAGGGGGACCGTGGCGCCGAACGTGACCGCGGCACTGTTGGCACCGAGCGGGGCGCTGGCGGCGGCGCTGGCGGCCGCGCCGAGCCATCCGGGGCCGGCGGCCGGTCCGGGCCCGCCGCGCTCAATCGTGTCGCCCAGCCCACTGCAGGGTGCGGCCCGCGCCGACCGGGGGGGCTGGCGTGCACCCCGGCGGCCTGCACTGGGGCCTGGTCGGCCTGGACACGGACCTGGGCTCCTTCCGAGCCCTGGCCACCCTGGCCACCCTCGACCTAGTCGTGCCTCACAGCGCCACGGCGGCGAGGGCCCCTAGTCCTGCCGGGGCGCGGCACCTCGCCGACGTGGCGGGCCCCACGTCATGGTGCATCACTACTCCGTGCTACTGCAGGACCTCGACTTCGCGTTCCGCACGAGTCTGACTTCGCTAACGTCTCGGCGCGGCTTCGGCTTGGCAGGAGCTTGCCTCGATCGACTGCATGCTTGCGCGCCCCGGCGGCCACTGGCGCTGCTCCGCGCGGCGCGCCCCGAGACTAGCCCTCCGTGCCACCGCGGCGTTCCCCGGCTGGGCCCGCGGGCCCGCGAGGGGTATCCGCACGGGTCCGCCGAGGCCGTGGATGCCTCTCGAGGTGCGGGGTAGCGACGCGCAGACGCAGTATGCCCAGTCCAGCCCAACCCTGTGGCGTGGCGCGCCGGCGAAGTTTCCCTTTATTGACACAGTCCTGCTGAATCCTGAATATGGTTAAAATGTACGTACAAAAAGGCTTTGGTGAAGTTTGAAAGTGGTTTCCTGGAGCGCTTTTAATGAGCAGCTTCCCAACATTGGGTGGATATACGTATATGCTTACTGGGTGCGAGGCGAAGGTCGGACGAAGGGAAGTACCCTCCTCGCCACCACTACCGCCGTGACAGACAAGCCACGTCCTATCCTCGCTCTTGGAGCGCTGCACTGTGGCAAAAAGGTACGGAAAATTCTGTTCATTTTTTTGCCAGGATTCTCCGTAGCCCTCTTATCAATATTCTCCGAAGGCTCTTACAGTGTTCTCCGTAGGGCCGTACAGTATTCTCCGCAGGACCGCACAGTGTTCTCCGTAGGGCCTGGAAGACTGTATAGTCCTACGGAGAACACTGTAAGGTCCTACGGAGAATACTGTAAGAGCCTACGGAGAATATTGACAAGGGGGCTACGGAGAATTACCACAAGCTTTTTACAGAATTTTCCGTAGCTCTTTGCCACAGTGTGCGGTTGTTGGGCCGAGCCGCAGCCGCGGCCCGCCTTGCGCCCCGCCTTGCGCCCCGCCTTGCGCCCCGCCTTGCGCCCCGCCTTGCGCCCCGCCTTGCGCCCCGCCTTGCGCCCCGCCTTGCGCCCCGCCTTGCGCCCTGCCTTGCGCCCCGCTTGCGCCCCGCCTTGCGCCCCGCTTGCTCCGCAGGACCCGCACAGTGTTCTCCGTTGCGGCCTTGAGCCGTATGGCCTACGGACACTGTAAGGTCCTACGAAATACTGTAAGGCCACGAAATATGACAAGCCGGCTACTTGAGAAACCACACGCTTGTTTCCGAATTTTCGTACGCTCTTTGCCACCGTGTGCGCCCGTTGGGCCGAGCCGCAGCCCGCGGCCCCGCCTTGCGCCCCGCCTTGCGCCCCGCCTTGCGCCCCGCCTTGCGCCCCGCTTGCGCCCGCCTTGCGCCCCGCCTTGCGCCCCCCCGCCCGCTTGCGCCCCGCCTTGCGCCCCGCCTCGCCTGCGCCCCGCCTTGCGCCCCGCCTTGCGCCGCCTTGCCCCCGCCTTGCGCCCCGCCTTGCGCCCCGCCTTGCGCCCCGCCTTGCGCCCCGCCTTGCGCCCCGCCTTGCGCCCCGCCTTGCGCCCCGACCCGTCCGCACAACGCAACGCGGATCGCGCGGGTGGAGAGGAGCCGCGGCGCCGCGGCCCTCTGTCTGTTCCCCTGTCTGTTCGCAGCCGAAGAAGCCGTCTCAAGTCCGCCGAGCAGCGCAGTGTGTTCACCGGCCCATTTGGCGGCTTGGCCGCGCGGCCAGCAGCAAGGGAAAGGAGGTGGCCGAAGTGGCCCTTCTCTCCCCTTCCCTTCCCTTCCCCTTCACTGCGAGCCGCCGTGGCCGCCGTGCCTGGCACCGCACACCGCGCGTCGCCTCTCTCCCTTCCCCTCTCTCCCCGTCACCTGGCAGCACAGCGGCACGGCGGCACAGCGGCGCGGCCCCCTCTCCTCCTCGCAAGGGCCCCGGGCCCCCACTCTCGCGAGGCCCGCCTCTCGCCGCCGAGTACGCCGAGTGTGAGACTGACCAGCGGTCAAGCCTACGCGCGCTGACGGCGGCGGAGGCGCGGCCACCTCCTGCGCGCCTCTGCGCGCCTGGCTGCGCGGTGGCTCAATCCTGACAGCGGCCAGCCCAAAAACTGAAGTCGTTGAACGGCTCCACCGCCTCTCTACGCGCTCTGAACCTCTCTGAACCTTGAGCGGAGCGAGGCGGCAGTGCGGGCCTCCCCAGCCAGCCCGCGCGCCGGTCTGGGGCTGGGAGGGGGCATTCCCTGTGTCCCCTTACCCCTTACCCCCTTCCCCCGGCCAGTGCCGGATCCTTTCCGGTCTAGCAAAAGTGGGACATGCGATTCGTGGGCAGTTTGTGTACGTCCTTCCCAGTAAGAATTTCTTGTGGAAATTGGAAATTGTCCTGATCGGATATATTTAAGCACGGATTGTTACTTGCAGACTCTTCACATCCTAAGTACTATTGGATATTTACGTGAAGTGATAGTTCACAAACCAGGCAACACGTTTCCTTTCTGCGTCGGATACGCATCAGTTTTCCACGAACTAGAATTTTAATGACGTTCGTCGCCGAAAGCCGAGTACTTTTAGGCATGCTCTCAGGTGCCAACGTCAGCGGACCCACCCGATCACAGTTAAATCGGGGAGCTTACGAAGCAAAACCCTTTGTCTTAACTTTGTCCCATCGTCCGGCGCAAAGCCATTCTTATAAGCGATTGCTTATTGATTAATTCAGCCGGGTACAGTGCGCGCACACAGCACACAGTGGCACGGCACTGCACGGCACACGGCGGCGCTGCTCACGAGTGGCTACCGTCGCGCCGTCGCCGTCGCCGTATCCACCTGAAGTGAAGGCGAAGGGGGGAGGAGGGGAGTGGAACGGGAAACGGGATCCCGAGCTGGACGGGTAAGAGAGGGAGGAGAGAAAGGGAGGGAAGGGGGAAAAGGCACCCTGGGATTGGTCAAAATTGGCTGGGAGGGGACAAGATCCGGCACTGGAATGTTTTGGCTGTGGTAAGGTGATTTTCCCCGTCTCGCCTCGCCGCATTGCCACTGCTTCTCCAGGACTGCAGAAGTCGACCGTCGTTCCACGTCTCGACGTCTCCACGGCGAACCCCTCCACGATGGCGACGTCTCCGGCAGCAAGAAGAGTCGTAAGTGTCTTGCTGGGAATCCTCGTAGGCTCGGCAGGTGTCAGTGTGTCAGCGGCCCCGCGCCCGTTGGGTCAGGTGTCAAGCAGTGTCAAGTAGCCGGATCAGCTGACTCATTGACAGGGCAGCTTAGAGGGATAGGTTATGGCTTTTTTTCTGGCTCGCTCGCGCCAGCCAGTTATCGCCTCTTGGGTTTTTATCAGAGCGAGGGGCGAGTATGCAGTCAGCCGCGAAGTCTGAGTAGCTTGTCATTCCGCGCGTTCATTGCCTTTATTTTCTGAGGTTTGTTAATTGTGTTTCTTTCATTTCACATAAAATTAAAACTCTCATGAGCTGTTTCTTTTCTATTAATTTCCTTCATGAACCTTTTTTCTTCTCCTTACTTCACTGACGGTCTGCTTTTGGAAGCCTGCCAAGAGGCGACGCTTGAACTAAAAAGAATGACATTTTGCCACTAGGCGTGCAAAGGTCTATTTAAACTCACTTTAGCTTTTGTTTCGTACTACATAGTGCAGGTTTTGTCTTGCAAGTGATAGGAGTGAACTAATTACATCGGGTTCTTTGTGTTAAATATTCATGTTTCAGTCATTTAAAATTAAATACCTTTCTTTATCTTTGTTTTCTTTCTTTCCTTCCAGGTAAAAAAAGACTCCCACTTTTGGAGAACATTTAAGAAAATGGTGTTGTGCATCTTGGCAACTGTATGGGTTTTTATCCATGATTTAATAGACAAAATCATTAACTACATTTTCGCCTACCTATACAATGGGAAGAAGAAAAATATCCCTCCAATTACTGATCCAATTCTTTTGAAGAGTGCCACTGGATTGGCTGAAGCAATTCGAAAACGAGAGGTAAGTTACTCATTTGCAAATAATTCTGTCTTTTTACTAGGTTTGAATTTAATTTGCGTGTGTGTGGCTATTTACTCAGCTTACGTCGGTTGCTGTTGTGAAAGCATTTGCCAAGAGAATCAAGGAAGTGAATGGTATCCTCAATGCTGTGGTAGATGACAGAATTGAAGCTGCCATTAGGGATGCAGAAGCAGTGGATAAAATGCTGGACACAGGTGCTGTATCTGAAAAAGAAGCACAAAAGACGAAACCATTCCTTGGTGTGCCTTTTACGACCAAAGAAAGTACAAGTTGCAAAGGTAAAATGATGGCTTATAAGAATATTGCACTTACCTGCGAGAACAGTCTTCATCTGTGCTTTTATTTTTTAATTTTCTTATCGCCCTGGTTAATTCTAGATGTACTGTTTCTGTGTATACAGGAATGAACTTCTCAATGGGAATGGTTGCTCGCCGAGGTCTCAAAGGAGAGGCAGATGCTGATGTCGTCAAATTTCTGAAAGAAGCGGGTGGAATCTTAATTGCAATTACAAATGTTCCTGAATTAAACCTATGGTGTGAAACTCGATGCAACGTTTATGGTCAGACAAACAATCCATACGATACAACCCGCACAGTGGGAGGCTCATCAGGAGGGGAGGTAGGCTTTCACTTTCATTATTTATGTTACTCCCTTCATCCTAAAGAAGTCTGTTCTGACCTTTCCAACTCAATGGTCATCTTTCTTTTATTACAGGCAGCTATTCTGGCAGCATGTGGATCACCATTTGGCATTGGCTCAGATATTGGAGGATCAGTACGAATGCCCGCTTTTTACTGTGGAATTTTCGGTCACAAGCCTACTACAGGTAAGAAACAAGTTATCCAAGTTATCCAACGTCATCTGTCATTCCAGTCTGTGTCAAGCTTAACTTGCTTCACAGGACTTACATCCATCAAGGGAATATCATTTCGCACTGGTCTGGAAACTCACTCTATGGTCTGCTGTGGTCCTATGTCCAAGCATGCTGAGGATTTGGATCCTTTCCTTCGAGTCATGATTGGCAGCAAAATTGGACAGCTCCAGCTGGACGCAAAGGTATTACCCAAATTCCACTATTTTTATATTATATATATTTTTTAAGGAGGTTTATTTGTTGCTCTTATATTTGGCTTTTATCCTCCAGGTAAATTTCAAGGAATTGCATGTTATGTATGTAGAAGAGTCAGGTGATCCTCGCGCTAGCAGTGTGAACGATGAGACTCGACAAACAATGTTGAAAGCAGTGCATCATCTGGAAACTCTCAGCACTTTTCCAGTCGAAAAGGTGAAAACAACTTTCTTTTCTGAAGTTAGTTTGGTGTATTGCTTGGTTTAGCAAAGCACTGTATATTGATTTTCCTCTTTAATTCTTTGATCACCAGCTGAATCTATCTGGATTTAAATACTGCTTTCGACTTTGGCGTTACTGGATGACTAAGGAGGGTGGAAACTTTGCCAGAGATATTACAAATCGTCAAAGTGAAGTCAACGTTTGGAAAGAACTGCCCAAGCTTATAGCAGGGTGCAGTGACCATACTCTGCCCGCTATGCTTAAATTGCTGGATACAGCTGTCTTCCCTCCAGAAAATAGTGAATGGGCTGAAAGTACCAAAGCACGCCTTCAAGATGAGCTACTAGTTAGTATTGGTGTCCTTCTCTTGTTTTCCGAATTTGTGCTGTGTGTGATAATCTGTGTTTTCTGACTATTAGAACAAACTTGGACGTAATGGCGTCCTCTTGTTCCCGAGTCATCCTTTCCCTGCTAGCTACCATTACACATCTTTCTTGAGGCCGTACAATTTTGGATATTGGGCCATTTTCAATGTTCTCAAGTTTCCAGTGACCCAAGTGCCTATAGGAGTTGACAAAGACGGATTGCCTCTTGGTATTCAGGTAATTTTTGGACTAGTGCTAATAATAACTTATCATGGACTTCTGGTGGTGATAGTTTGCATTTAGTTTTCATTTGTTTTATCTTTTCCAGGTTGTTGCCGCACCTTTCCAGGATCATCTCTGCCTGGCTGTGGCACGAGAGCTAGAAAAGGCCCTTGGAGGATGGGTTGCACCTTGCCCTGTGAAAACCATGTAGGAAAGGTGAAACGCTCCATTTTCAGTACTTCCAACTAAGGCTTTATAGTGATGCATCAGTATCATCTCATACTCAGTACATTCAAGTTTTATAATTTGCATGATGCAATTGGAACCATCCTATTATAATGTTTCAATTTTATCCAAGTATATTCAAGTTTTAAAATTACATGATGCAATTGGAACCATCCTTTTTTAATGTTTCAATTTTATCCAAACTATTTATAGTTGCAGGAAACGGTATTGGTGTCTAGTAACAAAGCAATCTTTTTGTAATTTGAATTTTATATTATCCTTTTTTATTAAATAAAGAAAAAAGAAACTTACACAAAATATTTTTTTAACAAAGAAGATGCAACTCTTATGACTGCCAGACCTTTGTAGAATAAAAATCATTGGAAAACAGTAGATTCTTTACACTGCTGGAGACAAAACAAGAATAATAAGCTTCATAAAATATCACATGCACATGTGGTGCAAGTAAACGTTGTTAACTTAATAGGTTTCTATACAATTTTAAGATCACATAATTGATAGATAGTTTAATGTACGACTGACTATACACATACAAGCTCTTAAAAAATTTATCTATACAAAAACATCACAAAACTTGATGTACAAGCAATTTGTAGCACCTCATTACATATCTTTTCAGCAATAGTATTGTTGCTAACTAAGAGCAACCAAATGGGTTTTTCTCCTTGTCATAATCATCTGGTTCATCAAACGGATTAGTTGTTTTTCCTGCTTCTTCTTTGAGATCACTCGCAAAGGGATTATTGCTGTCGCTATCATCGTCTTCATCAAATGGATTTGCTGGGGCAGCAGTCTTTTTCACTTGACTTTGGGATGACTTTGCAGGGGAGGAAATCATTTTTGTCTCAGGACTCTTGCCTCTCAGTCCGCCACTGGCCCCAGCTGTCTCAAAAGATTTCGGAATGCTCACATTTGGGTTGGCTTTGGTATCCTGCACACCTAAAGCCATGGCAGCAAAATCTGCCTGGATTCGAGATGGACCTAAACATGAACATATGGGTGTCTCATGACATTCTGCATTAAATTTTGACGTAAAACCCTTCATTTTTTAAAACTTACTCAAATGTGCAGCTCGTGGAGCTGATGAAGACAACATTGACTGAGATGGCCTCCCAGAGGAAACAGCACCTATAGATGAGCACAAGAAAATAAAGTCAAATGATGGATTGAGTTGAAAGTAAGGTGTGCAAAACCGACAACAGTGTACCAGTAAAAGAGGAAGGCTGCTCTGCTAGTCTCAGACGAGCTTCAGCTCCAGCTCCATAAGTGGATGGAATAATTGCGTCCCCTTGAGCTGATCCTGTGAGGTTTCATAATAGTATATAATAGCAACTTGTAGATCTACTGAAAAAACATTTTCTCTCATAAAACATACTTAATGGCGCTTGGATGGGTGCATCTGTTACAACAGTCAACTTGTTGAAAACTCCTCTGCCAAAATAATCAGCCACAAGAGAAAAGCCATCCTCTGCTTTATCTAACTGGTCATGGAAAGTATCATGAAGATCTCGATTTTGCTCCTGTCAAAAGAAAAAAGAATATTGCAAAGCTGGTAAGCTTATGGTTCAGTTATAATTGTAAACAACTTTGCTGCATACTTACACGAGCTTTGATGAGATCACGAATTTTTTTGTTATTAGGAAGACATGATGGACACTCTCTCTCATTCTCAGAAAAACTCTGAAAACAACTACAAGCCAAAAAAATCAATGTAAGGGATGAAAAACAACCCAACAGTGGGATGTTCATGGGTTGTGTAGAAACTTACTGCTGGTGATACGAGTGGAGGCATAGAAAATGAATTGATGGTAGTTCCAGTGGTTGATTGCATGCACTGCATCTTGAAACTTGAAAAATGACAGATCTGCAAAGGGATTTAATAATCCATTAGTTTTAATTCAAACATTTATAAAAGATAAGAAAAAAGAGTAACTATTAATACTTTGTCTGAATATTATGTATTTGTTGTCGAATGCGTTCACTTTCGTCTCGGTACTTCTGAACCAGTTCCCGTTCTCGTTTTGCAAGCTTATCTTCTGCTGCCAAAACGTTCAAAAGATAGCTTCGCACATTAGCCAGGGTTACTTCAGATGAGGTACACAGAGCATCCAGAACAAGCAAAGGAGGCAGTGATTTTTGTGTTTCTAATCAAAAGAAAGAAAAAATAGCAGGATCATAACATAAGTGTGTGTGCATAAGATAAAAATGCAATTTCTCTAAAAGGATGATGGAACATCAATTGACCTATGACTTTAAGTATTTCTTCTAATAATTGAGGTGGAGTATGGGAATCTCGAGAACAATACCAGAGAGCCTGAACCCATAAGTTTGGATCCTGTTGACCAAATCTTTGACATGTAGTCAACACCTCCTTGTAATCACGCTGCATCATGTGATATTGCAGTATTTGTTGATATCTGTTAACGTTTAAGAGAAGGGTCCAACTTAGTTAGCTTAATGTGTTTCATGAGCATAACACAAGTAGCCTACATACAGATGGCTCTCTTCCAGTAGATGAAGAACACCAGGTTTGAAGTTGTTCGCTTGGCAGAGAATTAATACTTGATCTTTGTCATAGCGAGCATCATCATTTTTTAAGAGACGCATAACATTTTGCTCATATTTCAAACGGCGTGACGTTTCTACAGTTCCAGCAGCATTAAGGGTACCCCAAGCATTGAGATAATGCTCTAACAGAGTGTTGTATAATAAAGGATTCCAACCTTTATGTTCCTAATAAACAGATAAAAGCTCAATTACTTGTCTAGATCATGGACACTCAATCCTGAAATGAAATATTTAACATTTAATACCTGCAATAAGTATTCTAAAAACTCTTCTAAATGCTGAGGACATTCAGTAAACAGGTGGATGAAATCGGCTGGATTTGCACGGTCAACAAATGGGCTCGAAATTCCCTGAAGCATGTTCTATCAAGGGAATTGATAAAAGTGCACAGAACCATATAGTATTTGTTAAAAGCAGAAAGATAACAGCAAATTTCCTCTACTTACACTGTCAACAAGAGGTTTGTTGCTTGGCCTGTAGTCAGTACAAAGTCTCTTTAGCAATTGTGTGGCTTCTGCAGGGCAGCTCTGGAGAATTCTACATCCATACTTCTTCATATTCGTTTCAGCCTGAAATGTATTCCAATGTAAGGAAGGGTATAAAATGGAAAACAAACCCCAGCACATGTGAGACCTTACCTCACTAAATTCTAGCTTCCCAATGTAGTCAAGGGCTTGCTTGAAATCAGCTCTGTCTTCAATTTGAATTTTAAGATACCAATCGTGCATACCATGCTTTTGAGCAAGAAGAAGTGCATCTTCAGTTGACGCCTGACGGCAAACTTTGATTGCTATTTCCACATCAAAATCCACTTCTCGATCTTTGGTCTGTAAGAAAACAAAATGGGAGTAATTATTAAGAACAAACTGGTCGAGTAAGAGAAATTAAATGTCATAGTATCTCCTTACCATTATAAATTCTTTCAGTTTGTCAGTCTTGTCAAGTTTGGTGTAGCAATTGAGTAATAATGTAGTATGATCTTCAGTGGCATGGCCTTGTTTGTGCAATTCTTGTAGGTAAGTGGTCAGGTTCTCAATGTGTTGGGAGTCCAAAAACTGAGCAAAACAGAAAAATATTTCAACAACATACAACAATAATAATACAAATGCAGTACTTACTGAAAAAATAGATTCAAACATACCTTTCTTATGACATAAGACGGTTCTAGTCTTCCTATAGTTTTTATGTATTGTTCAATGGCTCCTGCATGATCTCCTTTGTTGGTGTAGAGATGATCACCATACTGCCGGAAAATATCTGTCAGGCCATCTGCGTCATATTGATGACTCTTGGCAATCCTACAAACAATTTTCATCATTGCTACCCTTAAAATCTTTTATAAAGTAATAATCTTACGTAAGCCGAAACCTTGCAGATTGAATTACAACAATATAAGTCCTACATTTGCAGGCCTACATTGTAAGTAGTTTGGCACAAAAGTAAGAACTTGACTTCAGAAAAAAAAGTCCTACCTTATAGCAACATCATACAAATTTTTCTTGAACAATAAAGTCAGCTTTGACTGCAAATCTTTCTCTTGGAGATGAAATAGACATGGTTGTAGTTGTCCACTAAGAACATAAAGCGACCCAGACTCAGACAGCACAGAAATTACTTCTGGGATAGGTGTTTGAAGCACAATGAACTTGTTTTGTATATCCAGCACAGTCACCATGTGGGTGTCCACACTGAAAGGGCTGACTAAAGAACTTCCTGGGGAATCCCTAAGACAAAATTAATACAATGAAGTGTTGTTAAGAACTTATCAGCAGTGTAATAATAAAACAACATGATAAATTTTAATTTTAAAAGTACTAACGGAGTAGTAGCAGAAACTGTGCTTGATCTTAAAACTGAATTACTTTCTTTAGTCACAATGACTAGATAATTACGGTACCACTCAAGCATAACTTTTTGTCCCTTGATTGCATAGCACGGCCCTCTTCCATCTGGTGTGTAGCAGTAAACAGCCTGAAAACCAAGACCATCACACATTTCAGAAAAGTGGTCAATATTCTCAAATTAAAAAAGAAAGAAAGAGATATTGAGGTAAACAAACTCACGTCTTCACGGCCTATCATAAATTGGCCATCATGAGTAGATTCTGTAGAGGTGGAACAGTACTTCTCACATCCCTCTTTATCCAAGTCAATCTGAAAACAAGATGTTCATATAGAAAATTTTGCACCCAGTCAATTAAAATCATGGAGTTTAAGACACTTTAATTACCTTCTCCTCCTTGTCTTTAAGCGTAACATTGTATGAAAAGATACTTGAGGTTGTGGCAACAAAAAGAAACGTTTGCTTTGCTGTAGATCTAAACGCCATTCCTGTTACTGGTTGCATGCCTCCATCCCGAAGGAGTTTTTGTTTAGATAAACGATCTCTTGCAATATCACCTACAGAAAATTTAAAGAATAAAATTTATGTTGAAACATGGGCAACAAGGCCATGACACATTCATGACCTAAACCCACACATCATACCTCGATACAGGAGAATTGAACCATCCGTGAACCCAACTGCCATAAGATTAAGATTTTCATGGACACTTAATACTGAAACTGGTGTAGGTCGAGTGTTGGGGATAGTTCGTGAAATCCTCACACACATAGGTAGATCTTGCTTATCTAACTTCTCCAAATTCCACACTTTAATAAGAGGGTTGACACCAGGCTCATCTTCCTGTTAAAATTTTATGAAATTATATTCTTGACTTTTATTTTCTGACACATACGTAGAACATATTGCCAAATTAAGCTTACTCCAATAGCTACGAGAAGGGGAGACTGCTCCATCATTTGCACAAGACTAACTTTCAAGGCAAATGCATTCAATGTTGTGATACCAAATGCTCTATTAACCAAATGAATATTTCCTTCCGAATCTGCAAAGACTAAACGTCCATTTCCACTGCTTGAAGCCACAACTTTCCTGTCCTGATGAAAAAACCAAAGCCTTTAATAAAAATCAAAAATTAGTAACAATCCAGGATAGAAGGGAAGTCACTTACAGCCAAACATTCTCTAACTTTTCCTGAATCAACGTTTCGGTTAAGCTCAAAGAAGTTGAACCTCCGCCACTGGAAAAAATTGAAGTTGAAGGCATAAAGTATTATGAAGTGACATTCGTCAAAGTTTTAAGAAAATTTGAAGGGTCAAGCAAAATACATCAAAATATCTCCCATACAAATGTGATAAATTTTGTCCGTACGCCAACAGAATAATTATTTTGAAATAATAAAATCCAGAAGAGAAGTAAAAGATTATGATGAGGGAAATGTGAAAATAAAACCGACAGGCCACTGTTCTAACCCAAAACGGACACTAGATAAGTTCCACAAAAAAAAAGAAAACAAGCGTTAATTGACATTTAACTAGGTTATGCCAGCAGACGTAAGGACAATAACCACTCCTTCCGAAGTTCAAATACGATTTTCACCTCTAAAAACGCCATCTTGTTTTCCGACAAGCAATTGCTCTTTTCCTTCAAATTTGAGTTGGGTTCAACAAGCTATCATTTTCAGCACTTGTCAATATTCGCCAATTTTATGCACAAATATGACAACCCGAATTTCACTGTATCGTATCCACCCCCTTCCTCCCCTTTTCCCCTCCCCGGTGTCACCCCCCTCCCCTCTCCTCTTCCTGCTCCTCCACCGTTTTACCAATTTACAAGCGTAAAAGTTTTCAAGATAAGTTTCCGATGGGATGAGGGCCAGTTTGCCAGAGGCACGAATATTTAAGTTTAAACATATTTTCGACAGATTTCACTGTGCTGAGGATCCAAATCTCCTTTAAAAGAAATCCATCGACTGTGGCGGGGGAGGGACATGTTGGCCATTCCTTCCGATTGTCTTTTGTCCATCTCAAGACGAACGTGCCGCAAAACTGGCGCCCTCTCTGGGTGGGACGAGCGGACAGGGAGGTGTGTAGTTCGCCAATCGCATAAAGGTACCACCGCTTGTACAGAATGACGAATGAAACGAAAGAGAAGTTAGTTGCATACGGAGTGGAGCGCAGAGCAGATCTGATGCAGCAGATAGAGATAACAAACTCAAGCCCAGTTTGAGGAATGCCACACTGATTCGGCTTTCGTTGGAGGCAGGAAGGCCTCCTTGCGACGAACACACTGTGATTGCCCCCACCCGCAGGACCCGCAGCCGAGCCATTCGGAAGAGCGGTTTGTCGTCCCGTCTCTGTCGCACCCTCATGCAGGGCCCCGCGAGTGCGACAGAGACGGAGCTACGAAACGACTACACTGGATGGCTCGGGGCGCAGCTCGCGCAGCTCGCGCAGCTGGTGGCGCGGTTTGGTGGCGTCCTGAGCTTGGCAAAACACAGAACGCAGTGCGCCCGCCGCGCGCCTAGAGCGCCGCACCTCCCGCACCGAGCCTTGGCCGAGTTGGCTGCCCTTCGCCGCTCGCTGCGACGCCGTGCGCCTCACCGGCCTTACCCCACCGGCACTTCCGGCACTTCCGGCACTACCGGCCCCTGGACTTCCCCGTGCGTCGGAAACGAGCCCTGGACCGCCCTGGTAAGTGCCGGCCGCGCTGGGAGGCGACGTCGCGCGGCCCCGCGGCCCCGCGGGTCGTTGTCGAGTCGTTCCCTCTGAGAGTCCTGCACGCGCGCCCTGTCATGCCGCAGAGTCAGCGCGCCGTCGTCGTCGTCCTCGCCGCCATCGAGAGCACCGCGTTGGCGCGCGCGGCCGGGACTGCCGGGACCCCGGCTCTGCCGGCTTTGCCCCCGACGGGGCCCCCGAAATGAAATGGGGCTGCGAGGACCTTGCCTGCTGCTGCTGCCACTCATCGGGGCGGGTATGGTGCATTGCTTGACCCGTTATGCAAATCCGGAGTCCGACCGCGGCGTGGGCGGCGGGGCACTCGCAGGACAGCGCGGCCCCTTGGCGCGGCAGCGCGGCCCGGTGCGGCGATGACGGCCATGCCCCGGGAAGTCGAGCACCTGCCGCGCGCCGCCCTGGAGGGCCGTAGGGAGCGTGTTCCATTACCCCGAGGGAACACCCAACCGCATTGCCAGTGTCTTGCTCTGTCCTTCCCTCCGCGGCGACGCGGCGACGCCTCTGCAAGCCTCGGTTGATCGCGTCTCCGGTGCACTGGCACACTGTCGGATTGGCCGGATGAATGGAGGCAGCAGACTGCCATGCCGCCACTCGCGTCGCGTAGCATCGCTGGGATCTTGGACGAGCGCCAAACAGCCGAGCCTCGGAAACGCTACCCCTCCCCTCTCACCCCGTTACCACGGTTCGCCTCTGGTCCGAGGGAAAGATGCCGGTCTCTGGTTGGGGGTGAGGTATAGTCAAAACGCCTCGCGTGGTGGGATGGCCGAATCGGGCCGAATGGCGCCCCAGCGTTACTCGTCGCAGCGATGGTTGGCCGTGTGCGCCCTGCCTCGCTGCAGTGGCAGCGGGTGCTGCCAGTCCCGCCGAGCTGAGCGTAATCGCCGTATCGGCCTGCACTCGCCGCCCAGGCAAGTGCAGAACGGGAAGTGGGCGGACTGGGCGAGGGGGTAACAGCAGCGCAGCAGCGCACATTGCCAAGTGTCAAGAGCAAGGGGTCCCCAACCGAGCCGGCGAGCGTACACTGACTTAAAGTCAAAACTGACTTTTTGTGTGACTTTTGTTGTTTTTTGACTTTTGTGACTTTTTTGAGTATCTTTTCTGACTTTTTGCGACTGTTTTGCCTTGGAACTATTATCACTTTCACACGTTCTAATGACTTTTTGACTTTTAAATGACTTTTTGACCTTTAAATGACTTTTTTGACTTAAAAAGTTACTTTTCCACCAGCGTCATTGAAATTTGGCATTTTAAAGGCTGTTTCGTGACTTTTGGATACTTTATACTGGTTTTTCTGTTTTGACTTTTGTGACTTTTTGACTTTTTTGACTTTTAGTGACTTTTTTAATGACTTTTTCACCCGTGTACACCGATTTTCGCCGGTTGGGGACCCCTTGGTCAAGAGCCCCTCGCTCGTAGTGCACGTCGGCTGGCCCGCCAAGCTCGTCGGCGAGCTGCTCGAGGCAGTTGCCTACCTCGCGGGCGCTCTGCAGAGCCTGCAGCAAACCCATTCCCCATTCTTGACGTTCTGATTGCTTATTGATCGGAGGTGCTCAGTCACGGCGCGAGCCCTTCCCGAATCGCCACAGACAGGAAGTGGTATGACTTCCAGACAGCACACTCACGTCGAGTTCGCTTCTCCGCACAGCCCTGTCCCAGGTCACGAGTTCCAGTTTGTCCAACACTAACGGCCAAGCCAACGGCCCCGCCAATGGCCCCGCCACCGCCACGGCGTCGTGGCGCATGGCCGACCAGCGGACGCTGGGGGTCTGTCTGCACATCTACCTGGAGCGGGACTTCCCCCAGATCGAGCGCATCGTCAACCCCGCGCCGGGGAGCAGGTCAGTCGGCCCTCTAGAGCCTCAAGGTCTAGCCTCAAGGGCCCCAAGTCTATAGCAACTGCAACTTGACGCGTTTTTTGTGCCGGCAGGTCCACCTCCGCGGTGAACGGGCGGTACAGCGCGGGGATCCTGGACGGCCCCACACTGGAGGCTGACTGCAAGTGAGTCCGACGCCAACAAGGCTCCCCCAAACAGGCGGTGACGCCATTATCTTGGTGGTTGTCCGCAGACACCTGTCCCGGCTGGTCCGCTGCTTCTCCAACTCGCTGGGCCGCATGCAGTACTACGAGAACTTCAGCGAGTTCCGGCGCCTAGTCGTCGCGCTGGACGCCGTGCTGCTCCAACTGTGCGGGGCGGTGGACCTGATGCGTCACCGATTCCTCCGTAAGCAGTTCCACTCGTCCGTTGGCCCGTTGGCGAGCCCGTTGGCCATTCCCGTTCCGCTGGGACCGTGTTCAGCTCAGCGGGCCGCCCATCCGAATCGCCCCCCTCAGATACTAATGCACCCGCCACCCGGCGGGTGGGCAATCCATTGCCACACCTCTAGCAAAGGAGTATTTCTTTATGGTGTATTACCTAGGACTTTCCGTTTGAAGCGATTTTATTTCTCCCTGTTTTGTTGTCTCCTTAAAGCCCTGTTGCAGAACCTGAACTGCATTGAGGAAGTGAGAGCCAAGAGATCAGGATGCCCTTACCGAGACCGCTTGCCACCAAACATTTGGCACCAGCTCATCCGCTTGGAGGCAGATTCCTCACTCTGTTGGTATGTTGTGCGAGTAGGCAAAGCAAGTAACCACCAAAAAACTTCCACATGTTAAATTAATCTTGTTCCAGGCCACTGACCAGGCAACTCAATTGTGTGCGAGATGAGGACTTAATCAGACGGTTCTGTGGAGAACCAGCACAACATTTGTTCACCAACATCTCTACCGTCTTCCTCAGGCATTGGTGCTTCAATGCTGGATCAAGATTGTCACAAACTCCCTTCATTTTGAAAGCGCTGGTAGTATTAATTGCGTTATTACCACTTTCTTCATTCTTTACCAATGCTTATTTCACATTATAGATTTTCTATATCATCTTTCATAAATAATAAAGAAAAATTAAATCTTAGATCCCGTAAGGAACTCCGATGGTCTTTAATCTGTGCTTCAACATGAAGAATATAAAAATAAACCATGCCGCACAATAATGTGAGACAGATAACAGGTAAAATATACACAAGGACTAGCAAATCAATCTTCGTTGATTTAGAAAACAGTTGACATACCACACCAGACCACTCTGTTGAATGATAGAGCACGCCTTTTTTTAATTTAATACAAATTACACACTAATTGAATTCAAAATCATGAAGTAATTACATCTATCCAAGACTCGAGTAAGATATCAAAACGAGTATCACGAAGAACAAAGCAAAGTAAAATCACTGATTTAGCCTGATTTTGATTTCATATTTGCTTGAAGGAAGTTCCCATTCCAACAACTCAGTGCTAGTTAATAATGTGATTTCTTCTTTTAAAATTGGTTATTCTTCAGGCATAGCAAGAGTTCAGTTTGATACAAAATCTCATAGTCTGTTTGCAAATTGGTTTGCACATCAGTTAAAAAAGAAAAAATACAAAAGTTATAGGAGAGTACTTAAGACTCAAAACTACATGAAATAGCCAGTCAATAAACCATTGCAGGGTGGCTTTAAGTTTACAAGCAGTAACTGCTTGTGAGTCAGACAGGAAAAAAAACAACTTAAAACTTAACAAGCTTATCTAAAAACCATTACATAGGACAATTTTTAACCATACTTAAGGACTATAAACAACAAATTCATTTACAATTCTGAACGCTTATGACAAGGACGTTCAAGAAAAATCTCAAGCAATGTGCAGAACTTAGCACTATCACAAAAGCCTCCACACATTAATAATAGGGCATGTTTCAAACGGGTGAGTAATGAAAAAAAGCAAGAAATTCACAATAAATGGGGGATTCATCACATCAACATTGCAAAAGTAATTGCAAGTTTTCTCTCCCAATCTTACAAGTGCTGAATATAATCCTCTGAGAGAAGTTCAAATACACATAAGCAACAAAATGGTTGAATATGCACTTTTGATGTATTGCAATCCAGTTTAAGTTGAAATTAAAAATATCCCAAGAAAGTAGGGAAGAGGGTCTATGGAATGTAATTGAACTGAATGGAATAACCATTCCACCAATAGTTATAGAGAAGAGGACATCCTTATCCATCACTCAAGACCAAGCATCCAATTGATTCCTTGCACTAAAAACATGATCAAAGGTTGCCAAGCTGCAAGCCAGCGAATCCAATCCAAGAAATGTCCATAGAGAATATGAGGTCGGTCCCAGCTGTCATACATTAAGGAAAAGGTGCTTTAGTAATAAAAGTAAAATAAAAGAGTTAGATAGCACAGATCACATTTCTGTCATAACAATATAACCTAGGTGCCAGCAAAGGTTGGAAAGGATACGGATTGCAGAACATCTTTTTGAGATCCACTTTCTCCTTGCAGTAAGGGCATGTCTGCTTTTTGCCAACTATACACCAACCTCTTATGCAAAACTCATGAAATCTGAAAAAAATTCTGTAAGGAAACACCACTGTATATTTTGGATATGGAACCAACAAAAAAAGAAAGAAAAAAGAAAACCTGAAAGTGACATCAAGATAAAATTGATCAGAATCTCAAATTCAATCAGTAAATAATGAACCAAAGGATACACATGCTGACATGACAATTTGAAAGTGTTTTCTATGACACCTTCCTCATTTTCAGATACCAGTAACTTATTGCCACAAACTGCACAGACCCCAGGTTCCAGATGACGAGTCGGGATACCTTCCTCAGTGTAGTACTGAAACATAACAGAGTAATTTTTTTATTGCAAAAATCGATTATTTAGCATAAGCAACGAAAAACTCTGCCTGAACATACCCCGACATGAGCTGCCATTTTGTCTGCACAAATCTCTGATAGGTCTCTGCCTAAGACACCATAGTACATACTATAGAAAACCAGTAAAATCGCACAATCCATCCATTTGTGTGGTTTAGAATCAAAAATCAAATTGACTCCTAGGAAAGTCATCATCATTATAACATATCCTACTAAACCCACTGCACAACTCAACTTGTAAATGAACAAAAACCATTTATAGACCAATCTGAAATGAAGAGAGAATGTGAGCATTAATTAACCACTAAATAAAGCCAAAGAAATATGCACAAATTGTAATAAACACCTTGGAGTAGTTTGTTGAATTGGCTTCTGCACAGCTTTTACCATTACCAACCCACTGATGCAAGAGAACAAGAGCCAAATGAAGATAAATCTCCAGTACTTGTTGTGCATACTAAGTCCCATAGGTAGCAGCCACATGGTCAAAAGAGTGACAAGCTGCAACAGATTAATTTGCGTTTTGAATACAAGCGTAAGAAACGATTACCCTATGTCAAAAATTGAATTTAATTACCAAGTATGACTTGTGATGTCGCCTTTTCCATTCAACCAATACTATTTGAGCTATTATTAGAACTACAATGAATATAAGGACCATTTCTGCATGCATAGAATCATGTCCTCTATGTTGCTCGTAAACTTTTGCATGTTCAATTCTGAAACAAATTTTCAACGAATTAAAAATAGTGCATAAGGTGAAAGATACGCTAGGCTGTAGTTAATATTTAATATTACCTCCATCTCTCTTCAGGTGTTAAAGCTTCCAGTTCTTCAGGCTGAAAATATACACATAAAATTCATTTTAGGCAGCTAAAAGTAACAACAATGAGGCAATGCCAATGATGTGAATAATAACACCAAAAAGTCAGTGTAAAATGTACAAATGAAAGTAATGTTTTGAAGAGTTGGGATTATAATCTGGGCATTTATGACGATTTTTAAAAAATAAAGTGGAGGACGGGGGGAAGATATCAGTTCAAACACATCATCAAATCTATATGTAAACTACCTTCTAAGACATCCACAACACCATTTTCTACAACGCTAGCAGAAGAAATATTACTATTTGAAATGAAAAAACACAAAATTCTTCAAACCTTGCTTAACACTTACAGTCATATTTAGCCCCTTTATATGATGTTCAAGTATTTTTCTTGACATTGTGACAGGTCTTGAGATTCCCAACCTACACAATCGGTCATCGGCCGCCGTCCCGTCGCCGTCGCCGTCTTCTGCTGCTACGTCATGACACGGGGAAGGTGTCAATGTCGCCAACACGACAGTACCAGAGAAATACTTTTGAATATGCGAAAATAACATCTGGGCCGTTGTTTAATATTCGAAAAAATGTTATTCTTACCTTTTTTTATCAATCATAAACCAAATGTTCTGTAAAATTACACAATGGACATGATTAAAATTAGATTTCAATCACGTAAAGTTGAAGCCCGATCTTAATGTTGACCTTCCGTTCCGTCGTCTCTCTAACCTACGAATTTGTGCCTCGGTGTTAAGTTGGATCAGAATCCAGAAAGTTATCGAGAAATGGAAACGTATGTAATTAAGATTCAAATCGCAGTCCTTTTTATGAAAAAATTAATTATCTGTGTTAGTTGTTTCTATTTTCAACATCAAAATTTCTTGTTGCAGTATCAACCCTAACTCCGCTATGCTCAGTAATTTTGAGGTAAACAACTGGACTCTCTACTTTCTAATGGAAAAACTTTGCGCTGATCTAAAACGTGGAGTGTCATTATTGTTTGTGTGCGCAGGTCCTGTCCCTCCTGCAGGAACTTAATGCAGAACAAAAGAAGAGACGCGTTGCTCGCTTCAGTCCTCTTGCCACCATTATATATGAGGTAGGATTTGCTGGGTTCTTTTGAATTGCAGGTTTTGAAATTTTGTTATTTTAATTGACTGTTTCTTAGGCTACTCGGTATCTTGAAGATACTCCTTGCAAGCACCAATCTGCAGACCAGGTGCGCAATTTTCTCACGGCTCTGAAGGAGTTCAAGCTTACGAAGGCTGAGAAACTGATGCTGCTGAACAATCCTCCAACCACAGCTTTAGAAGTCCAAGTGGTGAGATTCACGTCTCCTTATTCAACCTCAATTGCATTAATTGTTGCTGGTCTTTTAATCGTTTATTTGGTGAATTCAGATGGTTGAAGAGAGTGAGGAGAGATTTTCAGAAGATGAAGTAGAGAGGTTGCTGCAAATTGTCCAAGAAACTCTAACTACTCCCTCTAAAGATGAAGATGAAGCATCTGACAGTTAATTGCAATCAACTACAAACCATCATAGTGGTATTTAAGTATCTGTGATATTAGCATTAATGGGGATTAAATGTGCGAATCAGGCTTAGCGTTAAGGATATTCAAATCTTTTCTTAAAATAAATTGTATTTCATAAACTTCAGCATTTTGACATGATACCAAACCAGAATTACCTCATACCAATTTGTTGCCAGTTCTTACTAGATCTAACAGCAATCACCGTTTTAAATCTCCAAGATCTTCAATAAAGTCTTCATCAATCTAGATGACAAAATGAGAAGTGGGTTGTCAAAAAATAACACCAGTACGGGTAAGTAATTAGATGACCTACTTGAATGTGCAAAACTTACCTCAGGCCACTTCTCTGGAATAATGTCAAACAGTTCATCCTTGACATCTCCTTGAATCACAATTTCGTCATCACCCGTTACTGAAGAGCCACATGCAAATTTAGTGCCAAAAAATTTAGCTGCAACTTTTAAATCAATATCTTTGGGGGCAGACAGAAAAATAATATTAGCAATGTTTCACAAAACTTCAAAGAAAAATCCAGTAGAAAAATAAGCAGCACAGTCCCATACCAAAGGTACTGAGGCCTGTTACCACTGTAACAGATTTCTTTTTGCCCCGAGGAGCTCTTGATACTGTCACTTGCTTTGGAGAATCATCTTTTTTCTTTGCTTTCATCATTCCTTTTCCACCTCGCTTTTGTCTTTTTTTGTCATCATCATTGCCAGCTCCATCAGCACCATCATCTCCTTCACCTGAGAAAGAAACAGAGAGTCATTCAAGTGCAAACAATCATCTCAGCAGGTTGCCAAGCACACTTAGTCAGAGGATATTGCTTAACTGCGTACATAACGGAAAGCACAATCCCCAGTAGTGTCCTTACCTAATTTAACCATTTTTTCAAATTCTCTTGGAAGATTTTTCTCTAGCCATTGTTTACATTTATCATATTCAGGGTAATATTCGCAATACTGAAATAAAGCAGGCATTTTGAAAGTAAATTTAATAATTAACAGCAGAATCAATGAATGGCAGGTAGTAGCAAGAGAATATACCTCAATTGGCATAGTGCAGTTTCCACAGTACAGCACACTGATGGGATACTTGACACCTGGTTGGGGCCCAACAGCCAAACTGCTGCTCTCTCCTTCTGCTGCCATGTCTACTCAGGATTTGGGAATAAATCTACAACAAAACAGACGTACAAAGAAAATGAGAACAGAACAGACACATGCAGGAGCGTTTACCAATCCTTCTACTAATTTTAACGAGTTTTGACGGAGACGACATTGGATAATCAACAGCTGTGTGTTTTCTGTGGGAGTTCTACAAACTAATAACCGATATTTGGCAGCCGGCTGCATACATTACGCACACACAGGTTGCGTGTTTTTCGACAACCGCAATACAAGTGTCTCTTAGCGCACTGATGATAAATTCTTCAAGGTAATTACATCTTGAATGAACACAGAGCAAATGAAGTAAGTAAACACATGTTTTCTACCTTAAAGGAAAAAATTACTAATCACTAACCTCAAATTCCTTCAACAGCGAAAACGAAAGACGAATGATTTTTTTCTAGCATGGGGAGGAGGGGAGGGGAGAGGGGTGGGCGGAACGAGGAAGGGAAAGGGGAAAGTGAAGGGGGGCGCAGGACGCAGGTTAGGCATACAACAAGGTGAAGTTGGAAAACAATCGTTCAAATAATGGCTTGAAAAAAAAATGATTTTCGCTCAAAATCTGTTTTCCCGATATTTTTTGGAGTTAAATAATGCGCTGGCTCAGCAAATACGTTTGAATCGCCGGAGCAGCTGGTCCCTTTTCAAGTTTCGCTGTTGGGAAGAGAGGAGAAATGGCCGCGTCCGAAAACAGGCCTCCTGCTTCGCGCTGCTTCGAACGCTCCCAGGTCGTTCCCAAGCAGTCGACACCGCGTAGTCCTATGACTCCGAGAGAAGGGCATATACGTAGTTAACTCATTTTGTGTCGGAATAAGTTTCACACAAAGTGCCATGCATAAAGTCGCGTCCCTGGTGGCGCGTTCCGCGCCTTCGCTGTCGGTGGTAAGTTTCCAACAAGACCGGGATTGCGGTTTTCACGACCACAACATGGACTTTGGGGTATTTTTCACCTGGTCATACCCGCCGACTGAATTTAATGTTACGTAACGCCGAATTTGCGTCACAGCTTGCGCAATCTATGCAAAGGACAAAATTTTTCTGTTGTTTTTTTCATTGCAAACTTAAAGGTGTGCTGATCGCTGTTATTGTTGTGTTTTGGATTGGATTCCTAGAATATTGAGGTTAAGTTTCCAGTGAAAATTCTGGAAATGCCCTACCGAATCGCATATTGTGGTATTCATAGCATTGAGTGACACTTGCTATTAGTTGTTGCAGTATCTCTTGTCATGTTTATTGTTGATGACATTTGACATATTTTTTCTTGTTATCACCTCTTACACATTTTTTTGCTTACGGGTCATCTGATAATAACAGCCATTATTGATTGTTTTGACCCATAGAATGATTGCTATGACTTCTCAGTGACTCATGACGTAGCATTTGACAACTATTTTGGCATCCCATTAAATTCTATCGTTCCTGTACCTGAGATTTGTGATTATGTAATTTATGTCACCTTCAAGTGCATTCGATGTTGTTGGATGGTGTTTTCATTAAACGACTTATTATTTTCCGCACATCTTGTGAAAAGACATTTGTGTTTTTCTGTTTACAGAAGGGTGCCACTACTCCGGCTTTGGCAGCAGGTGCCCGTAACTTTCACTACACTGTTGGTGGTGTGAAGGCTGAGGCAAAGGTGTCAGATGGAGTAAGTTGATGACCTCGTATCATCATATCTTTACTGTCAGCTCAAAAGAATCTCTGTACTTACCATTTGAAATTTTCACTAGGTTTCACGAGACTACCCTGTTGTCGACCACACATTCGATGCTGTGGTTGTTGGAGCAGGAGGTGCCGGCCTGAGAGCTGCCTTTGGCTTGGTGGCTGAGGGATTTAAAACAGCTGTCATTACCAAGCTCTTCCCTACAAGGTCCCACACTGTTGCTGCACAGGGTGGTATCAATGCCGCTCTGGGCAATATGGAACCAGATAATTGGCAGTGGCACATGTAAGTGCTTTGCAGTGGTAGATTCAGCTTGTCTTGCTTGTACCTTAGTTTGATGGTTATCATTACATAATATTTACTCTGTAGGTATGACACTGTGAAAGGCTCAGATTGGCTTGGTGACCAGGATGCGATTCATTACATGACACGTGAAGCACCAAAGGCTGTAACTGAACTGGAAAACTACGGTTAGTAATCATTCATTTCATCAATGTTCCATTAATTTGTCTTTAAGGAATTTTGTGGATTAGATTTTATCAAGCAATGATTTTTGCACCGCTGGACTTAATGTATGTGTTTTATTAGGTATGCCCTTCAGCCGAACTCCCGAAGGAAAGATCTACCAGCGTGCCTTTGGTGGCCAGTCTTACAACTTTGGCAAAGGTGGTCAGGCTCACAGGTGCTGCTGTGTGGCTGACAGAACAGGACATTCACTCCTTCACACACTTTATGGCCAGTCTCTTCGCTACGATTGCAATTATTTCATTGAATACTTTGCGCTTGACCTTCTGATGGAAGATGGAGAATGCCGTGGTGTTCTTGCCATCTGCCTTGAAGATGGATCATTGCATAGGTTCAGGGCAAAGAACACAGTATGTATAGATCTTAATGTATGGTTTTATGTACATATAACTACTGTTATAACTGCTACCCTGAAAATTTCTGTTTTTAGGTCCTTGCGACTGGTGGTTATGGTAGGGCATACTTTTCATGCACCTCTGCCCACACTTGCACTGGAGATGGTACAGCCATGGTAACTCGGGCTGGTCTGCAAAATGAAGATCTGGAGTTTGTTCAGTTCCACCCAACTGGTAAATATCGCATTGTTTATCGAAAAACTTGAATTTGTTGTTCTAAGAAAAGGAGAAAATTAGTACTTTTCCATTTGCTGTTAATATTTAATATTATTATTATTCCCTTGTCAGGCATTTATGGAGCCGGATGCCTGATGACTGAGGGTTGCCGAGGAGAGGGTGGTTACTTGATCAACAGCCAGGGTGAGCGTTTCATGGAGCGCTACGCTCCTGTCGCTAAGGATCTGGCGTCCCGGGACGTTGTCTCCAGGTCCATGACCATCGAGATCCGCGAGGGCCGGTGTGTAAATATGTCTTTTTGTCAGTGACTGGGATGTTGTTTTTGTTTTTGTTTTTAATTTACGAAGCCGAATGCTTTTCCTTCCAGTGGATGCGGCCCCGACAAGGACCACGTGTTCCTGCAGCTGCACCACCTGCCCCCAGAACAGCTGGCCACCCGTCTGCCCGGCATCTCGGAGACGGCCATGGTGTTCGCCGGCGTGGACGTGACCCGCGAGCCCATCCCCGTGCTGCCCACCGTGCACTACAACATGGGCGGCGTGCCCACCAACTACAAGGGCCAGGTGCTGAAGAACGACGGCTCGGACAGCATCGTCAAAGGCCTGTACGCCGCCGGGGAGACCGGCTGCTCGTCGGTGCACGGTGCCAACCGGCTGGGCGCCAACTCCCTGCTCGACTTGGTGGTGTTCGGACGCGCCTGCGCCCACGCCATCGCCGAGGAGAACAAGCCTGGAGAGGCCATCGGCCCGCTCAAGGCGGTAATTGCCTCTTCTTTTTTGACGTTGTCGTTGTTGTTGTGGGCTGTACAATACTGATCTCCCTTGACTCTTTTTTGCACAGAATGCCGGCGAGTTCTCTGTCGCCAACTTGGATTCCGTGAGGTTTGCTGACGGTCAAGTGTCAACCGCTGAACTGCGCCTCAAGATGCAGAAGTGCATGCAGACCAATGCTGCAGTGTTCCGAACAGCTGAATCGCTGCAGGAGGGATGCAGGCAGATGGACGACATTTACAAGCATGTCAAGGACTTGAAGGTTAGTTAATTTTGAATTGCTTTCATTCTAACTTCTCTAATAAGGTTTAGACAATTGTTCAAATGTGTCTCTAATAATAATTGTTTAAATTGACACTTTGATTACTTTTCAGGTTACTGACAGGAGTTTGGTATGGAACTCAGACTTGATTGAAACTTTGGAGCTGCAGAATCTTCTTCTGAATGCCATGCAGACCATCTACTCAGCTGAAAACAGGAAGGAGAGCAGGGGTGCCCACGCTCGTGAAGATTTTAAGGTACATATTTACATTTTAAATTAACTTTATATATTGTCGGTCTCTGGCATAATCCTGTATTTGTGTGTTTACAGGATCGTATTGATGAGTATGACTACAGCAAGCCCCTTGAGGGACAACAGAAAAAGCCCGAAGATCAGCACTGGCGCAAGCACACTCTCACCCGTATGGACCCCGACACTGGCAAGGTAGGTTTTTTTCTGTAGAAGGATGAAAAGTTTGTTTTGGTTTGGAAATTTGGTAGAGAAACCACCCAAAGACAATTTATCAAATTAAATTTTGCCTAGCCTTAAACACTTTTGTCTTGCTGGTCATGGTTAAAGATTTAATGTTTTGACTACATTTTATTTGGTGTTCTTCTTTATGTACCCTTGTTTTGAAACATATATTCTATCTGTCATGCTAAAATAGTGAAAATATTACTGAACCTGTTTTCTATTAATTTTTCTAGGTTACCATCACGTACCGGCCAGTCATTGATGAAACCCTTGATGCTAATGAATGCAAGACAGTTCCTCCAGCAATAAGATCTTATTAAGTTATTGCAATTAGTAGATTTTAATCGGCTCATTTCAGCAACATTACGTGTCTACCATAGTGCTCCTGCAACATTTCCTCATGCTTTGTTGTGTGTGAAGCCTAGGTCTCAGACTACTCTACTTACTATTTACAAATACCTGTAAAATGATGAACGATGATAATGTACAAAAGCAGATGGAAGACAGAAATATATTATGAGAACGAGAGTGTTTCTCTGAATTACTGTGAAATGTATGAATAATTGACTTTAAGGCCCTAGTTTTCAAAAATTTCAATTCTGTAGTGCATGCCAAATACACTGTTACTAGTGCCCTGAACTAGAAAATGTGAATTCTTTAATCAATCCTTTAACCAACCTTTGATTCATGAAGCACAATTTTAAGTTTGTTATAAGACTATGATAACATATTTATTTATTTGTAAAGATCTTTTAAACATTTCATTTTCATTTTATAGCAGAATTTTATCTTTCACCTCGCCTTTCACTCCATGTGCATACCAGAAAGAGGTGTTTAAAGTCATAGTTATATCAATTTTATCAGCTGTAGTTTTGTGGATGACACATGTGGTTTTCTCTTTCATCAGAAGAGCTCATAAGCTAACACAGCAGCAAGGTGTTTGGAGTATTTTGTGATATTGGTGTACTTGAGACAATGTGAAGCAGTATTGAATCTAAGTGGCTATATTTGAAAGGTTTGGAGGCCATGTAGGGTCTTGAGGTATAGTCGCACCCTGTCCTTTAATTTATACTAGATGCTAAGATATGTGTTGAATTCTGTTGTAAATCATGAATGTTTGCAATTATTTTGTAAAGTTCTTGTGATGTGTAAAATTCATGATCTGTTCCAATACAGGTGATGTTGCCTTGAAATTTTGTCAGTCCAGTCTACTTGCTTACCTGAATTCCTCACATGGACAAATATTCCATACAAGTTTATGTATCCAAATTTATATGTTTCTCTGCTTAAACAATCTTAAGAAGGAATGTATAGACTTTGAGGAGAAAACTGTCCCCCATCTTGTTATCACCGCCTCAGGTCGGAATGCCCCTTCCAACCAACTACTTACACTGGTATATCAACACAGTCAACCAGATTTAAACTCGATTAGCGCGAGCCACAACGCGAGTGGTAAGGGGGGAGGAGAGGGGGGAATCGTTTCTCCTCTTTGCTCTGTGTTCCTCTCCGTGACCTAGCCTTGCCGACGGCGATGCCGATGTCTGGGGAAAGAAGTAGATAATACCAGTAAGCCCCAGTTCAGGCAAGATTTTTTCCTCTGGGCCAACGTGCCAGCCAGACTCCGTGACTTCACGAAATGACGGGTTCTCGCTCTTTCTGGAAGTTCAACCCATTCTTTCTCTCTACAGTCTCGATCTGACTGAGTTTTACTGAAATAGGTCGGAGTTTCGTTCATGACTGCGTCTGTTTGTGGCGGTCCCGGGTTGTGAACAAGGGAATCGCAGTCCTCCATCAAGGACTGGCGACCTGGCCCGGCCCTGGCCCTGCCCCAGCCGCGGCGCTTGGCGCCTGCGAACCTCGGGGTAGGCCGCTCTGCTCAACACGCAGGTGTGGCGGGCGGGCCTATCCCGAGGTTCGCAGGCGCTCGGAGCGAAGCGCCGGGGAGTGGGTGAAATGTTTATTTTGTCACTTTTTCCAAAATATTGTTTTACTCCTTTGTGTGCAGGAATGGGGCTAGACCTGGGATTATCCCCCGAATCGGCCGCGTGGTAAGCAAGTATGCGACACGCTCGAGGCAACAGGACTCGGCAAGGGGTGCGCCCAGGCGGGCCAGGTTGGGTCGTGCAGCGTTACGTGGCAAGCGGACAGGGTTGACGGCCACTCGGCTGGCACGAGCCACGCTGCTGTTGCTGCTGCCGCCGCCTCCCCCGCGGGGGCCGCGAGGCAGGGCAGGGCTCGCATCGGGGCGGCGCGGCGCCGGCCTTCCTCGCCGGTTTCGTTCGGTTTTGCCCGATCCAATGACAGCTCACAGGCGCTCCGACACGAGCGGGTATATCGGAATCCGGCGAGGTCGATCGAGATCTGTTGCCACGGCACGGTCGGCACGGTCGGCACGGTCACCAAGGCGGCGGCCACGGCACAGCATCGCGCCGCCGCGCCGCGCCTTGCAGCCCCCGCGGACCGGATCGAACCGGAGGGGGCGCTGTGCCGGCCAGCGGCGACCCGCCGCCCCGCGCCGCGCCACACCCCGCGTGCCGGCGTGGTGGCACCGCGGAAGGGCGTGGCGGGCGGGCGGGGCGGGGCGGGTTGCGGTGGGGTGCGGCGGGGCGTGGGGATGGGGTGGTGGCTCAACAGGCTCGCACCCCTTGAAGCGCGGCGCCGTCCTGACGAGGCTGCCGACGACCCTCCCCCTTCCTGAGCACGCGCCCGGACCCCGAGGCCCGGCCCAAGACACGTGGTCCCTCAGGGTCCCACCGGGGTCCCCGCATCCTCCTCGTCCTCCCCTGGCCGCTGACCCCTGGCCGCGCGGCGATTCGTCCCCTCGTCTGTTTGCCCAAATCCACTCCACTCCACTCCGCGCCAGTGTTGCAGTTCCGCATGCTAGCGCTTACACAGGGTGGGCGAGCCGTGGCGTGGCGTGCCTGCCGTGCCGTGCCGCCCCGGTCCGCAGCGTGGCTGCCTGGGCTGCCTCGACGCCGCGCCGGGCCGGGCCGGGCGGGCTGTTGGTCAGTAGTGGCGGCGCGGCGGGCAGAGCAGTGCGTACAGCAGCAGGGCCGAGGCAGGACGGCAGGCTTGACGGCAGTGGGCACGCGGCGGCAGGACACTGCAGAACACGTACACGCCAGCACCCAGGAACTGCCAGGAACCAGGACGGGCCAGGAGGACCGGCCGACGCACAGCGACCAAGGAGGACGCCCACGCCCGACGTAAGAACAGCCCTAACCGTCGCGCACCTCACCGTCGTCCGCAGTGGTCCGGTCCCTGCCGTCGTCCCCTCACCCGGCGCGTTCCAGCCCGCCGTGTTGGAGCTGACGTGTAATCACCGAAGTGGCGCCACCAATTTATTTTTCGCTCCCGCCTCGGGCCAGACCCCAGCTCGGACGGGGTTGGACTCGTTAAACGTGCGGTTCATGTAGGGGCATGGCGGTGGGACGCCGGGGCGGCAGTGTGGGCCCCCCGCCCCGCCCCGCCCCGCCCCGCCCGACCGCATCGCCTCGCGCTGTCCGCTGGAGCTGCGCTTCGCATGGCTTCGCGCTGGGCTCTTGTTTCCGAAGTGGTTGCAAAAGTGCGTTTTCGTGCGGAACGACCCGTGGAAGCCAGTCACGCGGCGTGGCGGGCTTCATTTCGAATTTCAACAGGGGCTGGTTTGCGCCCCGCTCGGCACTCGTTGCTTGGTCGTGGATTGTGGGTGGCACAGTGCTAATTCATGGGCGGGATCCCACTTGTTGCGAGGGAGGTGCCCGCCGCGTGTGGTGGGGGCCTTGGGCGCCGCCTTCGCCCTGCCGGGCCGTGGGGCCGTGGGGCCGTGGGCACGCCAGCCATATCTATCACCTGGGCGGGCGGCGCGGCGCGGCGGGGCGCGGCGTGTGTACAGTAGGGCGCCGCCGTCCCGTGCCATCCGCCCCAATCCCCCAGCGCCACGGCCTCGGCCACGGCCAGCGCCAAAGCCGGCGCGTGGGGCGTCGTCCTTGGAGACCCGCATCATCATCATCATCATCATCATCATCATCATCGAGGCCGCCTGCCGCCTGCCGCCCCGCCAGGGCAGCCAGTAGCACAGGGTGTGCCTCGGCATGGCCTCGGGCCCCCGAGGGGGTGCCGAGCCGCTAGCCGCTGTCCCCGTTGCCGTGGTCCCCGCTAGCAATCGACAGGCGCAGACCCAGGGGGGTTGGTGATCGCCCCCAGTTGCACTTTGCCCCTGGCGACCCCCCCCCCCTTTCCGGAGCCCTCCCTGGCTGGACTCTGGATTAAATTGCCATCCTCGTCAGTCTGCAGGCTGATCCCGCAACATCGTTTCGCCGTTCTGCCTCCCTCGCACTTGTACGGAACGCCCCATGAGTGCGAGAGAGACCGAGCGACGGTTGTTCTTGTTCCCACGTTTTGTAGCCCTGACCGCGCCGCTCTTGCAGTATGTATAATCCTAGAGCCATTCCCGCGTGAACCGAGGCGAAGCCACGGCCCGCTCGTACCACGTTGCGCACACTGTTCAAAAGTACAGTGGCAGCAGCCGCGCTTACTACCAATTCCCTGGCAAAAACTGCGTATCGCGGCGAAGTTTGATTTTAATTTCTAAACAGTGTCGGCTGCACCGTCGCCACTCCAGAAGCCTCGTTTGCATCTTGCACTGCATTCTATTCTCTTACGGCGACACATTGTGCCCGCCTTGCCTTCTCTGAGCGCCTTTGCTGAGCCAGGCAAGCCAGTCGTCGTGAAGGTCGCTTGTGACGTGTGCCTTATGTTACACCTCCGTGTCTTCCAAGGCCTCGGCATTGATGGTGCCGATGGTGACGGCGTGGTGACGGCGTGGTGACGGCGTGGTGACGGCGTGGTGACGGCGTGGTGACGGCGTGGTGACGGCGTGGTGACGGCGTGGTGACGGCGTGAAAAACGTGAAACCGAAAGTCACCTGCGGCGCTCCATCCTGATAAAAAGATAGAAACGATTTCCGGCGATAAAGGGTGAATTTGGACGCGTGCGCTGGGCTGCTGGCAGGCCAGCCATATCACCGCGTTCAAGGGCCAGCGACGTGCCCCCCTCTCATTTACCCCGCTTTGTTGACTCGGCGTGCGTGTGTGCCGTCGTGCCGGCAACTAAAAGACTGTTGACCGTTGTCATGTCTTGCAGGGTCGGTACCATGCACAACGGGCCTCGCCCGGCCTGGTCCGGGGGATACCAGGAAATTGGGGGTAAGAAACGGCGCTCCCTCCCAGCGCACACACCCCCTCCCCCTCCCTCTTTTTGGGGCTTATTGGTAGGCGGGCATGGTCCGTCGGCGTCCCGACGGTCCCGACTCTGGAGGGGTGGAAGGGCAGGCACTTCAGCTCGATAAGAACTCGATAAGAACGAAGGCGTTATTGAGAGTGGCAAAATGTAGTGTGGCGGTGATGCTGATGCTCGCTGTTTCCGTGTGTTGTCCAGGTGAACTCCCGGCCTAGAGAAGCATCACCATGGCTCCCCGCTTCAGCAGCAGGAAGGTGGTGGTGATGGTCGTGGTCGTCGTCATGCTGGCGGTGCTGCCCGCAGGTACTGTCCCCACTGGCGGCCTTAGGGCCCATATAGCGGCTTTAGGCATAAGCTGCAGGCAAATAGCGGCCACTCCACTGGCCGTTTGGCGGGCCAAGCCAATCGCCCGCGGCTCATCACTTTCAATCCGCCAAGCTCACCGACCCGAGGGGAATTGACTTCTCAAATTTCGCGCATCGGATTCCATTCCTTGCTATTTTTCATAAATTCTTCTCAAAATTTTTGGAATACTTTGAAATTTTCTCCAAAATCCTAAATGTATATGGAATTCAAAATCGACTGCGTTCCTCTTCTCTATACTTGTGCCCCTGGACCGAAGTCCACCCACGGACGCGGCGTGATTGTATTTCAGAGGCCGGGTCGCGTTTTGATTACAGCGCCCTATCGCCGTATCACGAGGGAAGGTTAACTGTGCTTAGTGAGGGGGTTGATAAAATGTCACTTTGAAAAAAATGATAAAATGAAACTTTGCTACAGTGTGTATGAGCAATGTCTCGACACGATACTGTCACGATTAAAAACGGAGTATGTAGTGGTGTAGTGACTTGTAAAACTTTTTTTTTTTTTTTCAACGAGTGTTTTGTAGTTTTGTGTCTGCATCGGGGTCTGCACTGTTAATTGATTCAATGATTGCGCATATCGCCCCGACAGTTTCGGCCATCCAGTGCTACACGTGCCACTCGATGGAGGACGACTACTGCAGCGACCTGAAGGCGAACGAGACCGCCTCGAAGGCGTTCCTGCGCGACTGCGCCGACGCCAACATCCCGGACAACGCCACGGCCTTCTGCAGAAAGACCATCCAGACGAGTGAGTGCAAGCGCGCCACACCGCAAAAAGGGAATGGATTGTTGATTTGGGCGGGACCTCGCGCCCAGCTGGCTAAATCTGGCCGGCCGGGCGAAAGCGCGAAAGCAGCCCTACGAGCCGCCGGGCGACGGGCGCAGGGCGTGCGGGTCGCACGGTGCGGGTCGCGGTGCTGACCGGGTGCTGACGCCATGCTCTTCTTCTAGCCCTCGTGGACGGCACGCGGCGCGTCATTCGGCGCTGCGGCTACATCAAGAACCCCAAGGATTGCTACCACTACGACGACTCGGACCACGCCGAGGTGCAGTGCCAGTGCTTCGAGGACGCGTGCAACGCGGCGCGAGGGCTGCAGGGCGCCGCCTCCGCCAGGGCCTTGGTGGCCTCGGCCGCGGCCGTGCTGTTGCTCTTGGCGCGCTGAACGCGGCCAGGCCCGCCAGGCCCGCCTCGCCCGCCAGGCCACCCTCGCCTCGCCGTGCGGCCCAAGACCTGCGCCGCTTCCTTCCCGCCGCCCTCCTCGCGCTGCGGCGCCGCTCCACCCCGAGGAGGCCGTCGTCGAGGCCGTCGTCGAGGCCGTCGTCGTCCTGGCGCCCCGAGGCCTCGACAGTGCGAGCAACATTCTCCTCGCGGGACAATTATTCGTCAAAGATGTTGCGAGCGCGCGCATCGGTGTGTCCCCCGTGCACGTTGTCGCTGTCAGCGTCAACAGGACTGATTCCGCACGTCGCCGTCGTCTCGGGCTTCCCGCACGGGCAGAGCGTCGGAACGCTGCGCGCAGTGAGCCTGCAGCGCGACAGCGCGACCGCCACGGCGACCACGACGGTGCGTAGGGCCAGTTGTTCGCCGCCAGATCAGATAAACGTAAACGTGAAGAGGCTTTGACCCGCCGACGCCGACAAGAAAGCAAGAAGGCGGTGCAAGTGTGTCGTCTAGTCATGGTCGAACGGCGTTCCCAGAAATGTGGGCTAAGAGACTCCTACACTGCCCACACCGGCCGCCTCGCAGCCTGCAGAGTAGGCAACTTTTCGCCACCGCTGTGGAAGGTTGCCTAGTAGGCAGGCTGAGAAGCAGCCCGGGCCTTCCACCTGTTGTGCCCACATTGCTGCCAACACTGCCGGCCAGAAACAAAGAGTGAGTGTTGGACCAGACTTGCCAAATTTGCGCCGGTGAAGCCGAGATACAGGGTATTTTTATTCTTAGTGTAATAACCGAATATAGGAGAACAGTCGACCGTTTTGTCCCTGCAGTGAAAGCAATATGTGGTTCACACGTGCCGCGAGAATACCGTCAGCATTGCCACCGTCTGGCTCTTCTGCCAGTAAGATATCGATGACGTGCTTTTAACTACATCAACTAGCATCATTGTAAACTTTTCATCCCGTCAGCTCCGCACATTCCTGTCTGTAAATAAATCGACGTAATAGTAAGTACTATGCCCCGTGTTCTTTTCTTTGGTCTCCTTGAAAGCACCGTCACCGACCGTCACCGTCAAGTCAAGAGGGGCTTGGTGTGTAGGGGCGCTCGAGGCAGGACTCTGGCTGTGGACTGCGGGCCTCGGCGCCGGGGAGGTAGGCCACCCATTCGACACCCGTGCCTCTCCGCTCGTCGCAGGAGCCTGCCGTCTGATTCCGAGCACTGCTTTCGTCGCTCTGTCTCTCTCGCACTGATGGGGCGGTCCGCAGGGGTGCGAGAGAGACAGAGCGACGGCAGCCAGCGGGCTGATTCCGTAGGAGGGAGAGAGGTAGGCCGACAGCCCCACTGTGTGGAATCACTCAGCACACCGACGCACACCGACAGAAACGCACTTGGTTGGACAACTTTGAAACCAGCATGACTATGGCTCAGTGCAGCCAGGTAAGTGAGGCAACAAAGCACTGCGATGCTTTCACAGGTCTATCAACTGCCTGTCTGAGAACTGCCTTGCAGTGATGAGCGAGTGACAGACTCCGGCAGGCAGGCAGGACGAGCCTTCTTTTCCATCGCAATGCTTCGTAAAAACTTTTCGCTAACGCAAGCTTAAGCTTTCCAACATACCAACAAATCCGGGCGACAATTTTAGGCCATCAGAATGCGGGTACTGGAGCGAGCGCAGTGCGATACACAGTGCGATGAAGAGCGGGGCCTCTCGGTGCGTCCGCGCGTCCGCCCAGTGGACTGGCTGACCGACCGGCAAGTTCCCCAAGGTCACCAGTCGCAGCTAGGCAGTGCTAGGCAGCTAGACCGGACCAGAGCCCCGGACCCTCGCCCGGACCGCTGGACTGGATGCAGCCGAACTGGCGGCCCGCGGCCTGTTGCCTTTCTGTTGCATTGCTGTTGCAGAGCTCCGGACCCTCCGGACCGAACTGGCTGCAGCTAGCTGCAGCCTGACTGGGATCAGTGAACCCTGCAGGCCCTGCAGGCCCTGCACCTGGAACTGGAATACCTCAGCGAACGCAAAGCGAACGCGTGACGAGTGCAGCACGGCCCTGGCACTGATTCCGCACCTCACATCGCCGCCGTCGTCCTGCCCCTCTCGCTTGTGCGAGAGAGACAGAGAGACGGAGCGACCAAACGCGATGCGGAATCAGACTGACGGGCCAGACTGGACGGGAAAGGTACCGACCCCGAGCGAGACACGCCGTCTCGAGCGGGTCAATCAAGAGTGATGTCTCTGCGGCGAAGCAGGCGAAGCGCGGCGCCACGCGCACGACAACAACTTGAACAGCACGCTCGCGGCTTGGCGGCTCGCGTCGCGGACTTCGGGCCTGGCCGCCTTCGCCGCCTTCGCCGCCGTGCACATCCATGAGCCTTCCGAACAGCCGACCGGCCGACCGGCCGACCCCACCCAGCGAACAGCGAACGAGCAACCAAGCCGACCGGAGGCACGGCGTGGCGCGGCGCGGCGCCCGACGCGGGGCAAGGCAGGCAAGGCAGGCGAGGCAGGCAAGGCTTGGCGTTGGCGTGGCGGCACGGCGCCAGAGCCGCGCTGCCAGGCCAGGCCAGTCCGCGCCAGACCTCACCGCCGCGACGACGACGTGCGACCACGCACCGCACCGCGCGACGCGCCTTCGACACGACACGGCGCGCGACGACACCACACCCCCGCGACACTCGCAGGTACCGCAGGTCACAGACAAGCAGGCGCAAGAGTGCACGGTCGCAGACGAGCAGAGCGACGACGCGTCCAGGAGCTCCAGGTGCGTTGCGTTGCGGCGTCCGCACGTCATCTCGGTGCCGAGGCGTCGCGTTCACATTCGCGCCTCTTGTCGAGGCGGCCACACCTTGGTAATGCAGTGTACCAATCCACTGGTAACGTCCGACAATCCATTCCGTAACCACCGAATCCACGAAAAAATGTAGCCTTTTCTACCGTCTTCCGAACCGTCTTTCTAAAATTAAATGCCGAATCCCCCGTAACATTCCTGTAATCCCGTAATCTTGTGTACTCCTGATAAAAGAGAGGCGGCCCCCTCGGTTGTGTTGTGTCTCTACTTCAGCTCACTTCCAGTGGAATAGAGACGCGCGAGGCGCCAAGTCGACGCGGGACGTCAATGCGAGCAAAAACGGCCGCTTAAAAGCGGGACTAGCGCTGCCGGTACTCGAACCCCGCACCGCGGGCCCCGGCACGGTGGGATACGCTATCCTGTAGGATACGCGCGGCCGGCCGGCTCGCTTCCGGTGTGGACACCGCGGAGACTTCCTGCGGCCGCGCTGCCACCACGCTGCCACCCCGCGCCGCACCCCGGAGGCACGTGCCCGGGGCGCCAGCTCGGCCAGCGAGGGTGGGGTGGAGGGTGGTGCAGTGGTGCGGTCCCGGCGGTGTCCTGTCCAGGTGCGTCGACCGGCCAGGCCGAGGCTCGGGCTCGGCGCGAGGGGAACCGTGGGTGCGGGGCGGCGGGGCGGCGGCGTGGCGCCGCGTGCAGGAGTCCAAGCCAAGCCCGCCTGGCTGCACGACGAGCACCCCTTCCTCTTCGCCCGCGTTGGGCGCGGCCTAGCGCGGCCGCCCCGCAGTCCGATTCCGGACAGAGCTGCCGTCGCCCTGCCTCTCTCGCACCCCTGCGGACGTTCCATGTGTGCGAGAGAGGCAGCGACCGAGGCACTGCTCCAAGTCAGCCCGCGGGGTGCGGCCTCGCCATGGCCGCGGCCTCCCGCCGCGCGCCTCGTGACGTCCTAAATGGGTGTATGGTGGCGGCATGGGCGCTGCTCAGGGAGCGTGTCGGCCACGCGTGGGGTTTGTTTTGGTTTCAGTTAGTTCGGGAGGAGGGGGAGGGGTCGGCCATCGCCCTGATCACGAGGGGAGTACCCGCTAGAAACGTGATCGCCCACCCAACTAACCCTTGCCCCCCCCCTCCCCCCCACGCGCCGTCCCCCCGTCCGCCCCTGGCTGTCTCGTAATTCCCTTTCTCGGATTTTCACGGATTAGAACGGCAGAGGTGCGGGGCCATGCGGGGCGTGGCGCCTTCGCCCGGGCAGCGCCGGGCAGCGCCGGGTCGCCTTCAAGCCGGTCAAGTGTTTGACAGAAGAAAGCAAAAACGAAAACGAAAGCAGGGACGCGTGGGTGCGCTCTTGCATGCGATATCCGCGTATCGGCTGACGAGCTTCGCCGCCTCGGCACTTTGCCGATGGCCGGGCGATGCACCGCCCTGTCGCTGTCTCTCTCGCACCCATACGGAACGCCCTGCGAGTGCGAGAGAGACAGAGCGACGCCTCGGCTGCTGTCGCGCACACTGAAGTGAATCCCGATATTTCCGCTGCCGGTCCGTTTTTCGGGAACGTCGACCGCCACGTGAATGAGAGCGTGGCGCTGCAGCGAGCGCCTCGATGTCGACATGAGCTTTCCGTCTTTGTCGCGATAACTGGCGTGGATTACTCGCGTGCGACGGAGACAGACAGAGCAGATGGGAGATGAATCTCTGCCGAATGCAGTGGAGCGGACTGCCGAGGGACGTGCGACCCGATGTCTGATTCCGAGCGGGAAGTTCGTCTGTCTCCCGCCCTTACGGTAACGCCCCAGGGTGCGAGAGAGAGTCCTCACGCTCGGAATCAGTTTTAGGGCGACCTCCGCCCCAGCCTTGTCATCCCACACTGCTAATCCGCCTCGTTACTTCTCGTCTTTCACGACTTATTTTCCCTCTCTTTCTTTCTAGGATGCAGATGCTCGCTTCCGTCGTCGGGGCCCTGGTGCTCTTCGCCCTCCTACCGGCCGGTGAGCATAAGCTTTCAGTCTCATTTCGAACATATGCTCTTGCGCATCCACACGGACACGAGTGCGAGAGAGACAGAGTTGCAAGCGCGCTGTTTGGAAATGAGCCACTTTCGTTTGAAAACCCCGAATTAAAACTGGTGCGCGCGCGAGGTGCGCGGTTTGCTGGTGCAGGCTGGCGTTGAGAGTGATATGTAGGTGTGCGAGGCAAACAGCTCGCTCCCCGTCGTCGTCGTCCCTGTCTGGCTGTCGGCACTGTCAGCCTGACGGCCGTGCGTCACTGCACTGGTAGAGTCCCACAGTGTAGGCAAGGCCGCCTGGACGCCCTTTGCCCGCACCACGCACACCCAGCACAAAAGTGATTGTCGCAGGATAAAAGGCCTGTTCGACTGCCCGCAGGCCAGTCCATCATCTGCTACCAGTGCCGGTCCTGGGAGGACCCCGGCTGCTGGGGGCTCAAGCAGAACGTCACCAACAACACGTACGCCAAGTTCTGCGACGACGACCGCATCCCGCCCGGCGTGGGCGTGTTCTGCCGCACCATCCGACAGAAAAGTGAGCCACCTTTGCGCAATGTCGGGTCGTTTTGGACCAGTTTCGTGTCAAACTCAACCGTTTCTTTCCGTCCCCGACAGTCAGGGACGGCAACGGTACAGACCGGCTGTGGAGGACGTGCGGCTGGGAGGAGCACAAGCTTAAAACGGGGTAAGTTCAATTTGCGCCCTGCAGCACAACTGAATTCCGTCCACCGTTTGTTCGAATTCCTGTTCTCACGGCCCCGGTTCTCGTCCCGCAGCGAGCGCAGCCCCAAGGCGTGCTACTACTTGAGCGACGGCCACCACGAGGAGGAGGTGTGCCAGTGCTTCTTCGACACCTGCAACACGGCGGCGGCGCGCGGCGTGTCCCCGCTGGCCGTCATCACCGCCGTGGCGGCGGCCGCCCTGGCCGCGCTGAGGACCGCGTCGGCCGCGTCGTGACGCCGTCCCTGAGGAGGACGGCCTCGAGGACGGCCTCGAGGACGTGACTGTGACTGTTGGGGCCGCGGGCCGGCCTGCCCCCGGGCCCGCCGGCCGCCGCTTGGGCCATCGCTGTGATAACCCGGCGCGCGCTTCGCCTCGCCTTTGTTCGCGGCGCGGGGCTGCGAGGCAGGGGCAGGGTCATTGAGAGTACCAGAAGACTTTGGCGGGCCAGCTAGCGCGGCGCGGGGCCGTCCCAAAAGAACCCCCTACTGCCGCTGCTCAAGATGACGGCCACTTGGGCAAAAATTCCCAGCGTCGACAGGGCTGCCAACCTTTGTACGGTATAGCCAGCCCGAGAGTGGAAACTCTTTCCATACTGGAGTGCTTCGTGTGAATTTTTGTCTACTTGTGCGCCTACACTGATAATGATCCTGTGAGGTCGCGTGTGGTTTGAAGATGCCCCCTTTATCAAGGTTGAGACATCCCCCCACCCCCCATCCCCCACCCTTCTGAGACCCGTACGTCAAGGCAGTACAGTATTTAGCACGAGACCCTCGTGATACGTTGTCAAAACGGTACTAAATAAATTTGTTTTCTACGCATTTCCGTTGCCATTCAGTATCAGCAGCCCGAAACGAGTAAGTACACACCCAAGTTGGTCAAAACAACGGGAATGATGGAGGGGTCGAACAGAAAGGCTTCACGCCCCAGGACGCGAACAACGCTCATGTGCAGTCAGCTGGACCCGAGCAGCGTCTCTCTTGCACTCATGGGACGTCCCGTAGATGTGCGAGAGAGACACAGTCACCCACCAGCCTACAGGTGTGGCTCGATTCGAGAGGCCGCAACACTGGTGAAACAAAGGCATTAAAATTATGCCCTTTAAGGGCGTAAACGATTTACGCCCTTAACGGGCATAAATCGTTAATGCCTTTGGGAAGGGCATTAAAATTTTGCTTGAAATTCCTATACCATTTACGCCATTCCCAAGGGCATAAAACGATTTATGCCCTTGGGAAGGGCGTAAAAGAGTATTTATGCCCTAAAGGGCGTAATTTTTATGCCTTTGTTTTACCAGTGAAGGCGCTGCAAGGTGACGAGGCAGCCGGCAGCCCTCTGCGGTCGGATGGGGTACTTACGTGCCGCCTGGCCAGCGGCCAGCGGCCAGCGGACGCTAATTTCTGGTTTGACATCGTGGTCTTGTCTCGGGGGCCACGGCCGCGGCTGGTTTGGAGAAGATTTGAAAGGACAGGCGTGTAGTGTTTCTATCCCACCAATGACACAGTGAAGTATAACGAAGAGAATAATTTATTTAAAGTAATGTCGAAGTACAAATGAATGTGATGAAGCGGGGTGATGAAACAGCAGTGACTGGAGCACTGGGGCGCGTATGTGGGGATGGTGCCCTTGACGAGCACGCCAGCCTCAGAGGCCGAAGCCGGGCGGGCCGTACGTGGGCGCGGGGACGCCGCCGAAGGAGCGCCCCGCCGAGGCCAGGCCGGGGAAGTCGTGCTGGAAGACGGCCTCGCGCGCGAAGAGCGGCACGGGGGCCTCGGGGATGACGCCCTGGCGCACGGCCGGCGGCACCACGGGCACGTCGCGCACGGGGCCCGGGTGGAAGTCGGAGAAGGGCAGGTAGGGCACCAGCTGGAACTCCCTGCCCAGCGGCCGCAGCGGGATGGCGCGCGTGCCGAAGGAGCCGAAGGAGGCCGTGCTGCTGCCGAAGCTAGGCGAGGCCTGGGGCGCCGCTGCCGCCGGCGAGAACGACGTCGCCGTCGTCACCGGCGCAGCGCCCCGTCCGAAAAAAAGGGCCTGGCCGGAGGCGGCGGGGGCGGCGGCCGCGGGGGTGAATGAGTCAGGGGCGGGGGAGAAGGTGGCGGGGGCGGCGGTGAAGGGCGCGGGCGAGGAGAACGGAGTGTCCGCGGGGGCGGTGACGGCGGGGGCGGCGCTGCCGTCGTCCTGGGGCACGATGAAGTCCTGGCCGGGCCCCGTGGGGATGACGACGGGCGCGGACGGGCTGGAGGACTTCTTGGCGGGGATGGGGCCCTGGTGGAAGTAGTTCTGCGCCGTGTTGCCCGGCTCCACCAGCGCGCGGCCCGCTGCGGCCTCCTGCACCAGAACAGACGGTGGCCGTTGCAGTGGAGTGGAGTGCAGTCCCCCTTCTTTTCGCTCTTTTCAACCTGTCCTGCACGCGAACCTCCCCGATCAACCGCCGAGCTCGCAAATAGCTCGAGGCCGAGAAGATTAAAGATTGAACACGGTTCAAGGTCGAATGGCTCATGCTCATGAAGTCTGCCAATGCACACACCGCAACGGGGATGCGGGAAAAAACCGCGGTATTTCCACACGGGGCACTTCTCAACAAGATCGAACACAAGGGCGCGTTGGGTGGCCTCATCACAGAAAGGTATTTTTTATGGGTTTCTTATTAATGGAACAACACAGTGTTTTGGCAAATTAAAAACAAATTTATTGATAGTTTGTACTAGTGGTAATAGAACTGTAGTTGTTGCTGCGTTCACGAGCCCTGCGAACGAACACAACGGAGTCAGTTATATAAATGAACAAAACGCTGTGTATATTTTGAAAAATAATTATTGAAGGTAACGTCATTTTTTAAAAATTATTTTAAATGCAAATTAAATTATGACAATTATGGCAGTGATGGTGAGCCAAGGAAAAAGTCTTTACGACAAAAACTACACCCTTGTGCTCATACGGGTTTTCCTGGGTAATTTTGCAACTACGCGAACTACGCTGCCTTGAATGTACTGCAAATCCACTGGCAAAGTTTTCTTTCACTTTGGCGCTATTGCTTGTTGGGGATGGGCGTGTCAAAACGCCTAAAACCCCCATCAGAATGCCAAATTTTGGCACCACGCCGAAATTTGGCATTTCGATGAGGATTCCAGGGCAGGGAATGCCAATCTGAGGCATTGAATGGCGCCAATGGCAAAGCAAACGCACGACCCAGGCAGCATGAGGGTGACTTGCTTACGTTGAAGTTGACGGGGATGCCGGTGTAGGTGGGCAGGAGCTGCTCGGCGTTGCCAGCCGGCGCCTCGTGCTCCTTCACCTTGGGGATGAGGTCGTAGCTCGCCAGCAGCGGCACGTTCTTGAGGGCCTGGAACTCGTCGTACTTGGCCTTCTGCGCGTCGTACTCCGCCTTCTTGCGTTGGAACTCGGAGAAGTCGGTGATGACTTGCTGGGCGGACACGGCGGCCAGCAGCGCCAGCAGCACCAACTGCAAGGGAAGGCGGTATTAGCTTTACACTGTCAAATGTTCGCTCCTCCAAAACACGAGCGCGGTGCGCCGACACCGCAGTCACTTTCAATGGCCCCCGGTCAAGACTGGCGCCGCCGGCCGCAGACTGATTCCGAGGGTCGTTTTCGTCGCTCTGCCTCTCTCGCACTCACGGGGCGGCGCGTGTGCGCGAGAAAGACTGAGCGACGAAAACGACTGTCAGTCTGTCGGCGGCTTTCTCTTCCGGCCGTGCTGTTCTGCCAGCGTGCCTTGAGCGTGCTGAGTGCACCCTCTCGGCCCTCCGCACTTTCACCGCCAACCTCTAGCAGCCCTCTGCAGCAGCAGCGCGGCGACACACTCACCGCGGCGCTCGTCGTCCTCATGGTGGCGGTCGTTCTGGGTCGGGCCGTGCGGCGGTTCGGCGGTTCGGCGGTCGCAGGGGCACTGGCGCGTATTTGCGAACCGCGCTCCGCTAAGTACCCCCTACCCCGAGCGGATGCACCCCGCTGGCACCGCCCTCCCCCTCCCCCGGGCCGCCAAGGTGGCCGTCAAGGTGGCCGTCAAGGTGGGCAGCCTCCGCACCGCTCCGCCCGGTCCGGGCAGCCCAATCGGGGTCGCGAGGTGGCACTTCGGAGACGGATGCGCCACCCCGCTATGCGAGGTGCCGCCCCGGTGCCGCCCCGGACGCAGCCCGGACTTGCATCACGAGGGAAGTCCCGCCGTGTCCAAGAAGCACCCTGTGGGGGCGCATGCACGCGGGCTGACGTCTCTCTCTCCCCCTTCCGGACTGTTCCGGGCGCTTCCCCAAGAGTGCGAGCGAGACGGGGCCATTGTCTCTCTCGCTCGCACTCGACGGTGTGATCCACAGAGCGGAATGCAGTGCGATCATGAGGGCTTTTCTCGGTACTGTTCACGATACAAATCCACCATAATACTGAGCTGAGAAGTTCTTTCGTTGTTATGAAGAAACTGGCCCTAAGTTAACCACAGGTAGGCTGTGCAGGCTGTTCGCGTTACGAAGGAGAAGCTCAACGGGAACTTCTTCGCCGTGCGGCGGCGGCGTCACTGCTGCGATAGATGCAGCGGCACGCAGCGGCAGGCAAAACCCGGGCCGAGTCGCGCCGCCTAGAAATCCCACAGGAAACTTTGTCGATAAAACTTAGTTTGCAGCAGGGCCTCTTCGCCGTTAGACATGGCGGCGCTTATCGCACCGTCCCGTTGTGGCCGCTCGTGCTGCCTGCACTGCAGGGCGGTCACGCGGCATCCGAGTGATTAGCGGAACGGTCGCCTCCAAAATGCAAATCTGCCGTTCATTCCCGCTTCTTGTGAATCGATCGTTGTCTGTCGTGGCATGTCCCCAGGGGGATTTCTTTCTTTCCTCGAATTGGTGTCAACACGCAGTCGAGGCACAAAATAGAAATGTTCCTTCGGTCTCAGCGTTTTCTGATTATTATTTTATTTTAATGTAAGGGTTCCACAAAGGCAAAAGAAGTCAAGAAGTCAATTACTACATAGTAGTAATTAATTATTTAATTATAACGTCCACAAGAAAACATACATAGTTTATCACTGGGATTCACAACAGACTACGTGATCACAAAATCGACCAAATTATATTTTACAGTGATGCCATCGTCGAGCATGAGTTGTGTATGTGTGTGTGTCGCGCGCGCACCCCTGAGTGTGAGTGTGTCGTTGTGGAGAAAGCCTTCCGAGGTGACGCGCGCGCGCCGAGCGCACACTTCGCCACGCGGTGTGCCGGTGAGCACGGCCCGTTCGACCCCAGAAGCGAGGCCGCGGGCGGAGGTGTGTCTCAGCACATAAAGTTGTTGTCCAGAATCTGTCGAGTCAGAAAAATAAATAATAAACCGTCCAGGGGCCCTGGCGGCCCCGGCTAGCTATCTTTTGGCTTTGTGGCTGTGGCGGCGAGGATGGCCTGCTTCCGCTTCCCCTCCTGGCCGGAGTCACATCAGTCGGGTCCCGGGATGGCCTGGTTCTGGAACGGCGCCGGGTTGTCGGCCTGGGGCAAGTCCTCGGGGGCGGCGGCCGCGGTGCGGGTGGGCGGCAGCCCGTACAAGTCGGGCAACGCGGGTGGCGGTGGCGGCGACGGCGGCCCGTACACCTCCGCGGCCACGAACGACTCTGTGGCGGCCACGGGCGGCGGTGGCGGCGGCACGGTGAAAACCTGGGCGCTGGGGGGCGGTGCGTACGCCTGCTTGCCGACGAGCTGCTCCACCAGCTGCAGGTACGGCACCATCTGCGCCTGGGCCTGCGCGCCCTCGCCCAGCGAGTAGTACGTCACGATGGTGCGCGGTGAGGGCGGCCGGAGTCCAGCCGAGCCCGGTGGCGGCGCCGGCGCCACGCGGGGCTGCTGGCGGGGCTGCTGGACGCCTGGAGGCGCGGCCGCGCCGGCGGGGAGGGGCGGGGCGTTGCCGGGGATGGAGAAAGAGAGCCCCGTCACCTCGGACGGGCGCACGCGCACGCCCTCCGCCGTGACCAGGGCCACGTCGTGCGGCACGTCGCGCGCCGACAGCTCCCTCCGTTTGGCCACCAGCGTGCCGCGCCGGCTGGTGCGGGACTCCGACGGCGGCGGGGCGCCGTACACGACGGCGGGGGCGTCCACCTCGGCCGGCGTGGACGCCCGGGGGTACGTCGCCTCGGCCAGGTCCTTGTCCGTGACGAACGCCACGGCGGGGGGCGGCGGCGCGGGCTGCGGGGGCGGCGTCCTGGCGGCCGGGGGCTGCGCGCTGCACACGGGCACGAGCATGGGCACGAGGAGCACCGCGGCGCAGAGGAGTCGCAAGGTCTGCATCTGCGAACCAAGCGACAAGTTTTGAACCGGTTGTTGACTGTGGATGGTGGAGACACCTGCGTTGTTGTGCCAGTGTCAAATTTTGCGGTCGCTGCCGCTTGCGGCCCGAGGTGGTGCGAGCGATGTCTCCCGCGTTTCGATGTAGATGTGGATTCGGATGTTGGTAGATCTGAGGCTTCGTCGGTCGACACCTTGTCGACACAGAACCGTTGCCGCCAGACGGAGGCCACGTGCTAGTGCTCATTTTCCCACGCAAAATGTCCAGTCAATTTCTGCTCCTGGCTGTGTGCTACACTGTGCTACACCCGCACGGCCGCACCGCCGCACCAAGCTCAAGGTGTGCTGCCGAACGGCCTCGGAGGCGCGGCCTTGGGGACCGGCCCACAAGTTACCCCCCCCCCCTAAGGTCATATGGAAGATAGGTCTGCGCAACCGAGATGCATGCTGGGAGACCGGGCAAGCCGGCAGGCAGGCTGGCAGGCAGGTAGGCGGTCCTCCGCTGCGGCCGGCGACGGATTCGCGAGGGATTAGCTGCCCGGTCTCCCAGCATGCATCTCGGTTGCGCAGACCTATCTTCCATATGACCTTACCCCCCCCCCCCCCCCTCTTATGACTGACGCGGCCACGACACACTGTTGAGGTACCAACGACAACGACGGATGAGAAAAACTCATCATTCAACTCATCCTTGAAGAGAAGCTAACCTAAAATGGCAGAGTAACAGGTGGCGGAGATGTCGACATGCCCTTTGCGACAAACGAGTACGTTCTGTTTCCCCTCCCTCCCGCCTGTCCGCCGCACTGCAACGCCGCCACGCTCCGCCACGCTCCGCCACGCTCCGCCGCACCGAGCGGCTGCATCCCTCAAGGCTTGCACAACGATTCGGGCGGTTCGGGGGCGAGGCAGGGCGAGGCAGGGCGAGGGCGACCGGACTGGAACCCTTGGCAACGCTCCGGTGTGCCACCCACTTTACTGTCATGACACACACTGCCACGCCACACAATGTCACACACTGACACCTACATTGACACCCCTCTCTTTTCAATTCATGCTAACTTGTGACACCCTCTTCTTGCGGTCAAGTCCCCCTACCGCAGATTCGAATACCAGCCTCCACATACGTACAATTTTTTTCCCTCCAATCATTTTTTCAGCCCGTGTGCGCGTTTCCCAGTCACTCACCTTGCGACCCTGCTCGTCGCGGCCTAGCGGCGTGGCTGCTTGGTGCTGGTGGCTGCGTGGTGCTGCCTGGGCTGGTTGTGCTGCCGACCAATGACGAGCAATGTGTGAAGCTCTGGGGGCGCTGGAGCCGCGAGCCGGGCCGCCAAGCCACCCCGGCCCGCACGGCCCGGACACAGACAGCGCGCGCGCATCTCGAACCATTTGCCGATGCCTTGGCGGCAGGGCGGCATGGCATGGCGGGCGCGGTCCCTCCGGCACTGCACCTCGCGGCCGCATCGCCCAGCCCCTCAAAAAAAATAATGGCGAACGCAAAGAAACGGAAAACACGAAACACTGCGGCGCAGCATCAGCACAGCCACCGTCCGAGCCACGCCGTGCCCGCTGGCGAGTACGATGGGAGGCCTACCCGCGCGGGGCAGCGACCGCATTGCAGAGTCGCAGCGGAACCAGTCATTCGGGAGATGTACGATTTGGGGATTGAAGGCCAATGAGGAGTGGAGCTTGCTCTGTACAAATAATTTATTGCTTACGTTGAGAATAATATTATCACCTATAAAATATGACGTACACACTAAATCAACCTAAATTAACACTTCAAAATAAATAAGGTCAATTATTTGAGCTTATGAGGACCCTGCCTATCTTATAAACCAAATGAACGGCGAGCGTAACTGTGCGCTGAAATGGCACCAATTATCGTGGCAGTTTCTAAGTACCTGAGACATTTACATTATTCTAGAAGGGTGATTGCTGGAGTCATTGTAATAACACTCCTGCCCGCAAACTTTGGCGTTGAACTCCTCGCGTATTGATTTTACCTAAAGAGTAGTTATCTTAACTAGACAATAATAATGAAAGGAACGTGCATTGTTATTACATTATTGGTTGCATAGACAGTCTATCGCTGCGGGGTAACTACGATTCAGATCCCAGCCAATCCAGCAGTACCGCCACCGACAAAAGAATCGTCCTGTCGCTATTCCGCGCGCGAGAGATTCTCTATGCCAAAATCTCTGCGCGCGGCGCATTGACGGGGTCCATTTGGCGGTGGAAGTACTCACGGATTACCCTAGTAGTCGCAGCACTGGACTAGGTTCTCGTGAGGGATGGTAGTCGATTCGTCATGACGAAGGGCGCAAGGCGTGGCGCGGCGTCCCTCGCCGCCCTGGGTTATCCCTCGTCATCTCAGGCTAGCCCTTTGCCCTGTGGCTCCGCAAAGGCCTGGGCCTGGGCCTGCCTCTTGACGCGTCCGAGGAAGTCGACGGGCCTCTCTGCGCGCGGCAGGTCCAGCTGCACGGGCGAGCCCCGCAGCACGTCCTTGTAGCCCCCGGGAATGGGCCCCACGATCTGCGGCGCGGCGGCGGGCGCGGCCACGGCCACGGACGCGGGCACGACGGGCAGGAAGCCGGCCTCCAGGTGCTGCGGCGCGTGGAAGGTGCCCCGCTCCCGCCGCTCCAGGCCGAACAGGCCGCTGGCCAGGGCAGGGTCGTCCTCCGGCAGCACGCCGCCCAGCAGGGTGAGGCGGCTCGGCCTGTGCACGGGGTCCTTCGGGGAGGCCAGGAAGCTCGGATGGAAGCCGCCGAACTGCCCGAACTGCCTCAGCTCGACGGTATCGGACGCGGCGGACACCATCGGGGAGAGCAGCGCGACGGTCTTGGAGTCCGCGGCGCCGTCCGCTTTCTCGGACACGCCGGCTGTTTGTCCTTCCTGGTTCGGGACGCTGGCGACGGCCCCAGATTCTGCCGCGGCGCTGCGAAAAGGAAAAAGACGGGACGGTGAAGGCAAAACAAAATCAAAGCGATCAAAGCGCGCGGAGCGAGGCGAGGCGAGGCGACGCGAGGCGACCGGCACGGCGAGGTAGCACGCGAGCATTAGACCCCCCCCCCCGGGCCAGCAATGCGGGAGCACCAATGACGCGTGTGCGTACGGCTCGCCAGTGTGACGTCACATAGCAACGACTTTTATTTTTAAGTAAGAACAACGGAATGTCTTTTTTTGCCTTTATCTCTGAAGGTCAGATGAGCACCACTTTCCAGAGGCAATGGCACTGGCCGGTGCGCTTGGAGCTTGCAGCTCGTGACCCACCTGCGGACTGGCTCCGGTGTCGGCGAGCTGCTGCTGGTGACCAGCGGCGTCGACGTGGCGGTCGGTGACATGGCGATGACCGTCGAGTCGGTGGACTCGGCCGGTTCCTCGTCGTGCATGTTGACGGCGGGGTTCGTGCTGGTTTCTGTCACGGCGGCAACGTCATCGGCGTGTGTCATCTGCTCCGCCGTGGTCAAGGTGACCGTCATCTCGGTGGGGCTGGGCGTGGTGGTGGTGGTGGCGGCTGCCGTCGTGGTGGTGCTGCTAGTCGTGCCGATCATGGTGGCGAGGGCGGAGGGCAGTTTGACAGCCGGGTTGTTCCTCTTCTTGTACAGCGTCCTGTACGAAATCTTGTCCACGGCGTTCTCCTTGTCCTCGGTGGGGGTTGGGGGTTTCCGGTAGGCCGGCGGCCGGCGGTACCTCTTCGTCGGCGTGGTGGTCGCGGAGGCCTCCGTCACGTTGGTCGAGCGTTGCTGCAGCGCGCGAGCCGTGCCGCGGTGTTCGGCGGGCAGGTGCAGGCTGCTCTCCATGTGGCGGCGCATGGCGGCATGCCGCTCGGCCAGCTCCCTCTGGATCGACACCAAGTTGGTCACCAGCATGCTCTGCAGCGAGCTCAGCCGCTCCAGCCGCACGCGGCCCTCGGCGGCGCCGAGAGGGTGCTCCTGCTGCAGCGTCGTTATGTTGCGGATGGTCGCCAGTTCGTCGCCAGTAAGTGCCTCCTGGGCCTCCTGGGCCTCCTGGGCCTCCTGGGCCTCCTGGGCCTCCTGGGCCTCCTGGGCCTCCTGGGCCTCCTGGGCCTCCTGGGCGGGGGTGGTCGCGTTGGCGGCGACCTCGGCGTCGACAGAGCTGGGCGTGGGGGCGGGCGTGGTGGTGGCGACGGGCTGCCGCCGAATGCCGGGGATGCGGTTCCTGAGGGCCGCGATGTGGCGCATGCTGGGCATGGCCTGGGCGGCGGGGGCGGCGGGGATGACCGCGGCGGGCTGGCCTCGGCCTCGCTGTGCGGTGCGCGTTCCGGTGTGCAGCCCGCTGGTCTCGCCGTCCTGCTGGGCGCGGTGGTGTCCTCGGCTGCGGCTGCGCGACGGGAAGGCTGTCCTCGGCGTCGTGGACACGTCGTTGGCGTCGCCGGCAGTCGTGGTCGTGGGACGGTTTCTCAGGGGTCGGTGGCGAACTTGCGTCCGCTTCAGTTCAACGGGCTGCACTATCTCGGCCGCTGAGGCCACGGAGGCGACGGTGGGGTGTACTTGAGGTGTGGAGTCGGCCGCGCCGAGAACGGGCGCGGCGCCCTCTGGCTTTGGCATGATGGTGGTTGAGACAGGGCGCCGGCGTCGGTTTGCGTTGGGCCTGGCGTGGATCGGGGTTGCCTCGGTCGCCACAGCATCGGTCTCGACAGGTGTTGACGTCGTGGTGGTGAACGAGACAGGGCGCCTGCGTTGGTGCACGTCAGGCCTCGCCTGGATGGAAGCGGCCGCCTCTACCGGTGCTGGGGCAGTGGCGGGCTGCACAGGGCGTCGGATGTGGTGGCGCACAGGCCCTCGGAGTGCCGTCGCCTCTGGCACCGAGGCCACGGCCTCTGACGGCGCCGCGACGGCGTCCGCCTCGGCGAGCATGGGCGGCACCACGATCAGCATGGGGCGGACGGAGGAGGGTGGCAGCGACGGGAAGTGCGTGGGCGGCCGCGACGCGTGCATGTGCGTGGGGATGTACACCGGGGCGGGGGCGGTGCCGGGGCGGTGCCGGGGGCGGTGCCGGGGGCGGTGCCGGGGGCGGTGCCGGGGGCGGCGAAGCGCACCAGGCGCACGCCGCCGGAGACCCTCGGCGCCACCACGGGCCAGGGCGCCATGGGCGGCGGCAGCACGGAGGGCTGCACCTCGCTCGCACCCGCGGCCAGCTCCTCCTCCTCGACGGCGCTCGTCGATTTGCTGCACAGACAAGGCGGGTTCAAACTGGTGAGACTTCAATTCCCGAGAGCAGCATGCACCGAAGTGGCTGCAGGTTGCAGAACTTACCTGCCGTCCTTGTGGAAGAAGGACACTGGCGGCGGCCTGCTGCTGGCGTACTTGTTGGCGTACTTCTTGTAGATGTCCTGCCGGCTTTTCGGTCGGTTTATCGCCGCGGTGGCGCGGGTTGGGAGGGCGACGGGGGCGTCGGCAGTGGTCTCCTTCCGCTCCGACGCCAGGACCTGCTTGTCGTCGTCCTCACCGCCTACAGTCCGGGTCAACGTCGCTGCTGACGTCGTGGGCGACTCAGTCGTGGACGATGGTGTCTCGCTCGCGGTCGGCGTCATGTCGTTGGTCAAAGTCGAGGCGATGGTCGTGGTTGGAGCCGTGGTGGTTGGCATCGTGGTGGTTGGAGCCGTGGAGGTTGGCGCCGTGGAGGTTGGAGCCGTGGAGGTTGGCGCCGTGGAGGTTGGAGCCGTGGTACTTGGCGCCGTGGAGGTTGGCGCGCTGCCCGCGGGCTGCCCCGTCGTGACAGTGGCGTTCTGGCCCTGAGGGAAGACCAAAACCACCTCGAGCTCGCGCTTGCGGGTCTCGTTGGCATGCGGGAACACGAAGACGACGTCGATGGGTTTGTCGCGGCCCGTCAGGCTGTAGTCCTTGATGGGCAGCTTGGCCATCATCGTCTCTTCCTTCTTGTCCTGAGGCGCCGCGGTGGCAAAGCGAGACTGCTTGCCCGTCAGGCTGTTCTGGTCCGAGGAGTCGAAGCCGCGGCTGGCCTTCTTGTGGTTCGCGGGGATGTCGACCTGGTAACAAAAACACACCACCCGCGAATCAGTGACTAGTGAACTGTTCATTCTGGCGTCTGCTCTGCGGCGCTTGGCGCTTTGTTTACCTGCTCGTCGCCGTCCTCGTCGCCGTCCTCGTCGCCGCCCTCGGCGGCTGGCACCGTGCTGACGGACCTCTCGGCCATTTCCATGTCCGTCTCGATCTCTTGCATGTCAATCATGAAGTCCTCGTCGCCGTCCAGCAGCGGCAGGGACGACGGCGGCGGCAGCGTGGCCGCGGTGGCGTTGGGGGCGACCACGACGACGGCGCCACGCAGGGTGGCGGGGGACGGCAGGGCCATCATGGCCAGGGGCAGGCCGACGCCGCCCTCAAGCCTCCGCGCGTCCTTGCTGCGCGCCGCGGAGGCCGCGGACTCCGCGATGTCGTTGCCGTTGACGGTTGCCTCCGCGCCGTCGTCCGCCGCGTCGCCGAGACCGAGACCCATCACCGAGGGGATTCCCACGCGGACCATCATGGGCGCGGCATCGGTGGCCGTCTCCACCGTCTCCTCGGCGGCGTACGGGGTGCTGTCCGTGCTGTCGATGAAGGCCGTGGTGGTCGCGTCGGGCTGCAGGGTGCTGCTGTCCGTGCCCTGGGTCGACGCCGTGGCCAACATCACGGCCAGGACGGCCACGCGGGCCAACAGCCTCAAGCACATGCTGCAGCAGGAGAACAAGGATGTCAAGCCTCTCAAGTTCAAGTAAGCGCCTGTGAGGTAGGCACGGGCCCGTTCCGCAACACACCGGTGTGGAGACGGTGGCCTATCGTGCCCCTGCGGGGACGACAGGCGCGAGGTAGGCCACCGTCTCCACACCGGTGTGTTGCGGAACGGGCCCGTGCCTACCTCACAGGCGCTACAGGTAACTAGTTCTAACTAGTAAGAAAGGTATGAAACACACTCGAAGAAACAGGGTTTCCGCCACAACGTTGTGGCCAAACAGGAACGGAACCTTGGGCCAAGCCTTGCGTCGCCCTGACGCGTCGCCCTCGCCCTCGCCACGACAGCAGGTTCGCCGCATTTCCCTCGCACCCACCGTGAGTGCGAGAGAGACAGCGCGACGAAAGCACTGCAACTCGCCCTCCGGATTTGCGCAACGGCCCAACCCAAAATGGAGACGACGGGCTTGAAGCCAGAGGCGTTAGCGCGGTCGCGCGGCCACCAGCTTGTGGGCTTGGACGTGAGGCTGGTGTTGTTCGTCGCCCCCGTCGCCCCCCGGAGACAGCCGGAGGGGAGGGGGGCGCGTGGTGGGCGTGCGGCCAGGATCCCCGGCCCGCCCCGGCCCGGCCCGCCACGCCCCGCCCCGCCCCGCCCCGCCACGCCACGCCACGCCCCGCCTGGAGGCCATGCAAAGAGACGACCTTGCTCTTCGGCCGGTGCTACGGCTGCCGAACCGGGGCGTGGCGGCCAAGGTGGCGGGGCGGGGGCCGGCGGAGACGTGATGAGCCGAGAGGCGGCAAGGGGCACTGCCAGGGCACTGCCACAGGGCACTGCCAGGGCACTGCCAGGGCACTGCCAGGACACTGCCACAGGGCACTGCCAGGGCACTGCCACAGGGCACTGCCAGGACACTGCCACAGGGCACTGCCAGGGCACTGCCAGGGCACTGCCACAGGGCACTGCCACAGGGCACTGCCAGGACACTGCCAGGGCACTGCCAGGGCACTGCCAGGGCACTGCCACAGGGCACTGCCAGGGCACTGCCAGGGCACTGCCACAGGGCACTGCCAGGGCACTGCCACAGGGCACTGCCAGGGCACTGCCACAGGGCACTGCCAGGGCACTGCCACAGGGCACTGCCAGCGGCGCATCCGACAGCACGTTGTTTCCGAACAGGGCCCCCGCCGCACTCCCGCGGCTTTCCTCAAGAGAGACAGAAGAGCAACGAGGCCGAGAACGAGGCACTGCCCGGAATGAGCCTGCAGGACAATAATGATGCAGTGGACCGGACCGGACCGGCGACTCTCCGGCGCAAGGTCGCGCCGTCGCCTCCCGATCGGCATTCGAGCGGATTCCTTCGGCTCATTCCGCCTGTCGACTCCATGTGTCGGCAGCGCTACGCGGCTACGCGGCGCCACAACGACAGTGATGGGAACGAAGGCAGTGTTGCACAAGCTCAAGCCGCGCCGCCGGCGCCGGCCCTCCACTCACTGCCCACATGCACATCCCGCTGCGGCGACCACTGTCTCTCGCACTGTCTCTCTGGCACAAGCGCGAGCTGGCCGGAATTCCCTACCCTACTCCTTCGAGCGCGATGATCTTACCATCAACTTTTTTAAAGACACCTGCACTAGGTCGACTTCCCCTCACCAGAATACTCTTGACTACTATCACCGTAATGAGAATGCGTTCTGCAGAGGGGTTGACAGGAGTCACTCCAAGGACAAAATCATACTTTTGAGGGCGTGCATGAACACTTGTACGGTAATGCGCTTCACAATGACCAATCCGGTCAAACCAACGTTGAACCTCTATCGAAACGGGCACACAGTCTCCTGAACCCACCTGAGGCTTGGTCGCTGTCGCTCGTCGTAATCCACTGGGCGGTCGCACTCACACTGAACTCACTCACTCACTCTCACTCCGTGGCTGCCCCGTTAGTGCCCCGCGTGCGCGACCGCGCGCCTCATCGTCGCGACCAACTCGAGTCCTGCGTGTCCACCGAGGTGTCCACCGTGGTGTCCACGCACCGGCACGCTGCACGCTCGCCTTCTGGAGACGGAATGGGGAATGGAGCGACGGCCTAGAGCCCCGTGCGCCGTGCCAGTGCTGCCGGTGCCACCGTGCGCGCGCCGTGCCCGCACCGTGCCCCACCATGGAGCCCTGCCTGCCTCGCCTGGCCTGGCGCACCTCCGCCCCGCCCGCGTTCAACGGCAGCGCCGCTCCGTCTCTGTCGCACTCGAAAGGCATCGAACAGCATCGTACATGGGTGAGAGGGAGAGACAGCGACGAAACGACTCTCGGAGTCAGTCGATAGGCTGCTGCCGCTCACCGCGCTTGTCGCTCGTCTCGCGAGAATCCATTCTGGCAGCAGTGTAAATTCCAGCAATTCCAACTTTCTCTGACGCAACGCGTTACTGAAGGGCGTAGGGCTGCAGCCCTCGCCGGGCTGGCCGGGCCTGGCCAAGTGAAACGCAACGCCCGAGGAAACGCCTTGCGGCACTTGCGGCCGGCCGGCGGGGGCGCTCCACGCACCCCTAGTCGACCGGCAGAGGCCGAGGCCGCGCGTGTCCGCGGGGCGGGCCAACGGGGCGGGCCAACAGGGCGGGCCAACAGGGCGGGCCAACAGGGCGGGCCAACAGGGCGGGCCAACAGGGCGGGCCAACAGGGCGGGCCAACAGGGCGGGCCAATAGGGCGGGCCAACAGGGCGGGCCCACAGGGCGGGCCAACAGGGCGGGCCAACAGGGCGGGCCAACAGGGCGGGCCAACAGGGCGGGCCAACAGGGCGGGCCAATAGGGCGGGCCAACAGGGCGGGCCCACAGGGCGGGCCAACAGGGCGGGCCAACAGGGCGGGCCAACAGGGCGGGCCAACAGGGCGGGCCAACAGGGCGGGCCAACAGGGCGGGCCAACAGGGCCTCGCCCACGCCACGCCGCCACCCGCTTCGCTTTTTCGACACTTTGAGTCTGGCCGCACGGTAAACATGACGCGCATGCCGTCGGCCAAACGCTCGCGGCAACACCGGAAAAATACAGAAAAGGCAATGGGACAAGTGAGAGAACAAAACTGCATGTCATTGGAATTTACGAGCTATGACGACCTGGAAATGAACAGAAGTCCAGAAGGGCCAGTGTTGAATAGTTGCGGATTAAATTAAACTCGTGCGTTGGCAGGGTATTTGTACATGGTGATTTTTATTTTTAAGGACTCACTTCTCTAACTTTACTAGACAACAATAGTTTTTAGGTAGCAAGCTTATCTGAAGGTAGTTTTTTTCAGACACAATTTCAACTACACACATTATCTTTAGTTTCTTGTTTCTCATCGAGCCCTATTCTGGCAACAGATGATTGCCAGCGCTGTAAAAGGACTTCATGAATTTTAAATTTCTTTATTATACTTGGCGAAGATTGATTAGGAAGAACGTCTGCAGGCCAAACAATATAACACAGAAGCACTTCCTAGAAATTAAAACAAACAGTTAAACACAGCAACTAAGAAAAAAATAAAATTTATTTTTTATAAATGACAAACATGCATGTTCACCTTTCCTGATGTTTCAGCTAGTCTGTTGAGGCCCATCAGGGTCACCCAGTCCATTTTCTTCTCATTTAAATCACCAGTCTCCAATGCATTTTCACCATAGATCACTTTTGTCAAAACAATATAGGAGGCATGATAAAAAATTGGACCATCTTTGTAAAGTACTGTAAAAGGGTCAAGCATATTAGAACTAATCCCATTGAACAAAGCACGTCACAGCTTAGATTCAAAACTCTGAGTGAAAACTTACAATAGTCCCCTCCAAATTTAAGGCCACATTTCACAATCCAACCTTTAGATCGAAAATGGTGGTATGCAATATATCTTTGTAAAAATTTTACATCGGATTCCAAACAAATGTTCCAAAATTCGACAATACTATAATTTTTCTGACCATAGATATCTGAAATATACAAACATCCTAGGCCATAAGACAAAAATAGAGATTCTTCCAAAAGTAGATTGAGGACTTCCGGCAGTGAATCATGATCCTTCTCCAATCTGCACAAAAGTTGCAATAACTTAGAGACATACATCCATGATATATTTCAATTGGGAGTGCTAATCTAACAGGAATGTTAAAAAGTACTTCCACAAACCTTGGTCTGAGATTTGATATAAAATCTTCACCCTCTGTGTCAGCATCAGCAATAACAATGACTTCTGCCTGTTGTGCCAATGTTGGATCTTCATGCTTTAACAGTGTATTTGAAGATCCAAGGTTCTGCAGAGATGACCATTCACGTCGGCGTAACCACTGCCTTTCCCGTATTGTTTCAGGAAACTGAACTCTTCTTCCAGGACGAGGGCACCCACGAGAAAGTGAACCTTTTCCAAAGAACCCCTAGAAAAAAGAAAATATAAAGGTGAGGAAGTGGAGAGGAGGAAGAGAGAACATGGTTCAGAGAATATTGTGACGGTATGAATTACCATGTTGTAAAGTGTTGATATATCTTCCGCTTCTGTCACTTCAACACAGTCATGATTGAAACGGCCTGTAAATGACTTCCATACCGCCAAGTGCGCAGGAATACCTGTCACACTCTCAACTAGTACAGGTAATGGATTTCCTGATTGATGGTTTGAATGACGTTTCTGCCTAGGTTCTTTCAGAACTGATATCATGGTAATAACTGATTTTGAAAGGAAAGGGGGGTAGGACAATCTGAAAACACCCTGGGAAAACATTAACTAATGTAAGTTTCATAAAGCCAATAACCGAAACACAATCAATGCATTGAAGAGGAAAACTAAAAAACATACAGTGATAGTAAGGCTCTATGGTTTTTTTTCCAGGTTGATAGATAAACCCAAGTTTCTGTGCGCGTGCTTTTGGTTTGTAGATTTGTTTGTTGTTGTCCGCGTTCTGCGTCGTCTGCTGTCGTCTGCACGTTACCGGCAGATCTTATGAGAAATTCAGCACTCATAAAATTACTTTTAAGGACTCTAATTACTTTAGGACTCAGAGAAGAGGACCTAGACTCCTAGGTAGAGCTAATTGTAGATTCTTAGTGCGCGGCGTAAGGCGTCTAGTGCAAATGCGTGAAGCCCTGCTGATAATAATTGGTGGTAGTAGTGTTCTTGACACAGTGTCGCACTCTTTGGATCAGGCAATGGTTTGCATTAGTTTGCCTATTTAAGGAAGGTGCAATCAATAAGACAATGTATTCCATAGATAATATATATATTTATAAATTTATAATTGTTCCATCCTCTCGTTTTCACAGTCGCTGCAGTAACAAACAAAACAGGGTTTGACGCATTTTCACAAAAAAATTGTGTGTCGCATCTAATCTAGGTGGTTCACTACACAAGGTCTGTATTCATTATGGAAGAAGTCATAATTTCAAGGCTGGGACCTAGTACAATTTAATTATGTTTAGCCATTAGAAACACTACAATTTTCAAGTTAGTGATCCCTTACTGTTGTAACCATTTCTATACTTAATTATATTAAGATTTAGCAAAATATTTCTTGATAGTTGCTGAACCAAAATAATCTATTTGCCTGTTTAAGTCACAAGGGATACAAAGTTTACTTGTAATTCCAGCATTCGACACAAAATTGGTCTCAATATAGTATTCAAAATGAGTCTCCTAAAAGTCTGAAGTATTACATTATTACATTTAAAAATCTAAACCTGCAAGCTTACTGGGAATCATCCTAGAACATGCCAATCACGCAGGAGTACTCCAGATAATTAATAAAATTGTTTATGGCTCAAAAACATCACAGGGGCAGCCTGTTCATGGCACACACTATAAGGAAAATACAATGTGCGGGGTACATTCACTCAGCAGGTCAATTACGTAACTGATGAAATACTCAATTGGATAGGGCAAGTACTATCAACTAAATAATTGTTAAAATAACAGCAGTAATGGATAAAATACGCATGGTATACTAACAAGCAAACAAATTATGTAAGGGCGCTTGAGAAAACATACTGTATTTATAATCACTCTTAACTTTAAATATGAAAATGTACAACAAAATATATCAGAAACCTTATTCTGCACTGTTCAAAGCAGAATAAAGGAGGTCTTTGCCTACACTTTCTACATTGATAATCAAATAAAGAATTACAGGGATATTGCTATGAACTACACAGTCATCAAAAGAGCTGTCACATATTCCTGCTCATTATGTGACATGAAAAATGATAGGAAGAGATGCTTTAGAGGCTCCAGTCAGACTCTTCCAGATATGGTCAGTTGAGTAAACTGTTTCTGTAAAACATTGTTGCAAAAGTTTGGAGAAAAGTAGTGTTTCATCACAGTCATGCAATGAAATAAAGAGAGGAAGGATTTCCACAACATGAGAAAACAATCTCAAACAAAAACTTCTAATTTTGGGCTGTTCTCACTAAATGGGTGTTGCAAACAGGGGCCTTGTATAGGGGTTAAGATGAAATGGTAACTCATGCAAGTGGTTAAATTACACTGCCATAAATCCACTCAAAAATTTAATAATACTTGCAAAACTTGTGTAAAATGATGATGTTAAAAATGAAATTATACAAAATTATTTTTAGTTCTAACTATTTACAACTTTATAAAGGGAAACAAGAAAATCTCTCTAATTTCGACAGATCACAGCAAATTGATGAAGAGTCAATCCAATCTATTCGTTTAAAATACAGAATTGCCCCTCCCTCTTTGGTTGTCGTTGACAAATCCCCTAAGTTTTCAAGATTTACATCTGCTTTGTTTTTCTTTTGACAAACTTTGATTTTGTCAGGAGCAACTTGGGATTTTTCATTAAATCGGGGCCAAGGGACATAATTCTGGACATCATGGCCTCCCCCACCCATCAGCAGAATTTCTCAACAACATGATTCAACAGTTCTGTGATTTCTTCATGTAAGACCCTCTTAAGGGTCCAAGATCTTGGCTTTACCAAGTAAAGGACAACTCTATAAGTATACAGTTCCTAGTCAAAGGCAACGTAAGTGAGAAATAAAATTTACAAGAATGTGCACATATCAATAACTATTATCAATCATCACAACAAAATTTAAGGGAATAATGGGAGTACTGCTGATGAAAATCACCCACTAATTGAAGTCATGAGAGACAAAACAAGTCAAAAGATCATTTGGCAACAGTAGATTTTGGTACATTGCAGTTAAAACTCATTAAAAATTAATTGAATGCTCATGTGTTGTAAACCTGATACTAATTGGTGGCATGCGTACAATAGGAGTGTAGTAGGACATTATTAGGAGAGCAACTATGTGCCAAGCAGAGAATCCCAAGTACATGACCATGAGTTGATTGAAATGAGTAAAGTTACAGACATACAGAAACACAAGTGAGTCACAAAATAACCATTTTAAAATTAAAAATGCATGCAACACGATCACTTTGTCTGTTAAATGATTTTAAACACAAACATAAAATTCACATGAAAGAGGTGTCCGAGGGCTGACGGATAATACAATAGTGGTAAAATGTAAAATAAACAAATAACAGTAAAAAGGGAAAAAACATAAAATTGGCAGGCAAACTCTCCCTTATTGTGGAAGTGACGCGCGAAGCTGCTCAAGTTGAATTTCCAGCTCTGCCTTTTCTGTTTGAACTTCAGCTAGCTCCAGGCTTAACAAATGGCAAGTACGTAGGAGAGCAGTATTTTTCTCTTGTAGTTGTTGCACAGACAGCTTTTCTGCCTGAACAGATCTTCAGAAAAAAAAAGGGGGAAACAAAGTCAGATCAAAATTGTGAACGAATAACCTGCAGCATTGATTACAAGACATAAATTACTAACCTGTTAGATTTCATTTTAAGTAGGTTTTCAACTAGTTCCGAATTGTCGTGACCTATTGCGGAGTTTTCTGTAACAAAAAATCAGAGACAGAAAGGTGAAGTTAACTGGTATTTTTAAAAAAATGGTCAAAGAAAATAAAAAGGACCTACTTGGTGTTGGTTTGCGGTAAATTTCAAAAGCTCCATGACGCCGAGGGAATGCATCACCATCAGGTTGAGAATCAAACTGAGCAAAATCAGCAAAACCTTGATGCAATGGATCAGCTCCCTCACTATGTTGCCCTATCAGTTTCCTCGGAGCTCCCATCTGTAAAAATGGTTTCGGTGAAATGATTGAATCAACATCAGAATACTTGTAGTTATTTAAAGAGCAATATGTACAGAAGTTTGAGAAACAGAAAATCTCACCGTGCTAGGAGAAACACGAGGTGGAACCATAGGTGGAGCACCCAGTAAAGCTATATTTTTTCCAGATGTTGGATCTGAAAAAATACAATTCAATTTGATAAACAGCTGGATATAATAGAATTTAAGCCAGAGAAATGACTAAATTACCTAATCGATTGAGATCAAGGGAAGAGCTCCTAGCATGGGTGCGGTGTGGTCTTGGAGGAGGAGGTGGAGGAGGATCCTTCTTCAAGCCCATGGGCAGACTAGTTGGGCCAGACATAGAAAATCTGAAACATCAAAGTATTTAACAAGATCGATGCACAGCGAAGGTACAAATGGTGGGGCAAGATGATTGCTTCGAAGCTAAAGGAATAAGCACCCTCAAGTACTTTAGTCAGAATTTTGAGGGTTTGGTACTACAGTCACTCTGTTCAGAGAAGAGGTCAATCTGCTTACCCAGATGAATTTGACGTGGATGATCCCTCAGATACAGAAATTGAAGCAACTTGTGAAGGGGGAGGGGGAGGTATAGCACCTGGTCCCGGAGCTAAATTTTGTATAAATAAACAAATCAATAAAGCACTTTATAAATGTAGTAAGATCAACCATGGCTTATTCAACTTACCAGCAGGTTTCTTTGGCTGAGGGCGTTGTATAGGTCTGATATCAGGTGGGGCAATGATAGAATCGTTATCATGCACAGGATCACTGGTTAATCGTCGAGGTGAACGGCAAGGATCGCCACCATCATCTGCACCTGCAGCTAGGTTCTGGGATTCTGGGGTAAGCCTCAAAGGTACTGGATGCAAAATCTTAGGATCCTGTAAGGAAAGGGAAAATGTCCAAATATAAATACTGCTTAACACATTAAATCATGATTAGAGCTTATGTGCGTGATAAAACAAATACAAAAGCAGACAAGATACACAGCAAATTTGGTTCATATTAAGACACACAATGTTGGAAAACCATAATGATAATGTTAATAGTTTAGAGCAATGCAGCACCAAAGTTATTGAACCAGTACAAGAAAAATTTTGGCAGATGGAAAATAGAATTGTGTTCCAAACTTTTCATCGAGAGCAAATAGTTTTATTTTACCTGTTCCACAGCAGATTTGTGAAAATCAAAGTTAACTGGTTTTGGTCCTGGTGAGGACACTGAACTGGTTGGAGAATCCATAAACTTCGTCCACTGTCAGGGAAGAGAGTTGTGTTAGCAAAGCAATTAGCAGAACAAGCAGGATGACATTCAAACAGAGATGTAGGACTCAAGGTAAACATTAACAAAAAGCTAACCCACGCTATGAACTGTGACATAAATTTTCGGACGACATAAATCTCAGGTGCAGGGGAATATTATGGCAGATTGTTCACAATAGGCAGAAAAGATATAAAATACAGGGCTAGGAACATGCATTTGGAATGAAACACTACACTATTGAGCAGAAGAAGTTTCTGGAAAAAGGTCTTGCTTCAGCAGATATCAATTAGTATGCATTGGCATTAAAGGCACACCTTCATAACCGGCTAAACCCCTTCACACATTGTACACTGAATAAAAAGCTGTTCAATCAAAGAACTTACCTTAGATACGTCTTTTCCTTTCTGGGGTGAGCTAGTATCAGGTTGCTGAGGTGAAACATTAGAAAGAGCAAGGCTCTCTTCTGATCCAGGATTTACTTTTTCTGCACTGGTTTTTGATGGAGGTGGAGGCACAGGAGCAATAGGTGGAATGGAAGGAACTAAAGATGGAGGAAGTTTGTCTGGGAGATCTATGTTATTGCGCCGCAGTACCACCAAATGCATTGCAGTTTTAAATTCTTCCAGGGACAAAGCCCCATCTTTTGTAACATCAGCTAGTTGCCTAGATGAACAAGAGAGTGACATAATTTGAAATAACTCTTCTTTCCAACAGTTTTAAATAATTGGGGTAAAACTCTTCTGCACAGTAAATTAGACTGCCCTTACCAAATTTTTCTCAATTCATGAACAGATAATCGAGATTTCTCAAAAAAGCGACGTGCATCTGGACCAGCAAGAAGGCCATTCATATCAGGTTGTAAGGCTCGAAACTGAGCACAATAGTATTCTCGCTGCTCAGGTGTTATTGTCCATGGTGGCCATGAAGTATCATCTTGTTCACTTTCACTTGCACTACTGTGCCTGTCAGAGGATTCCTCTTCAGTGCCAAGAAGCTGACAACGCTCTTCACTGACTGCAATGTCAAGAAAAATTATTTTATCACATGCAGTACAGCATGAAAGGCTAAGATATAAGCGAGACTTCCACATACCTAAGCCATGCCAGTGAGAGTCCTGAATGCTGTTCTTTGGAGTGGGCGAGTCACTGGCAGTGCTAGATGCCTCTGGTGAGTCCCGCAGAGGCATGCTTGCGCCACTTGTTGAGGCAGGGGACAAAGACCCACCGTTGTGTTGAGGAGAATCACAGACACCTCTATTTCTCAGGCTAGGGGGAACCTCGCGCTGCTGATGAAACAAAAACAAATATCATGATGATGATTATTATTATCCTTGTTTTATATCAATTAGAGTATTAATTAATACCTGGGGAGCAGCTGGAATGCGAGGTTCCCCCAGCTCAATCAGGTTTGGGCTGGATGATTGCCGATCTAGTTGATCCAGGGTACAGCTAGCTGTAATGGAGATGTCCAGATTATCTTTGGTTCTATTCAAAAAAAAAATTCAGTGGAACAAGAAATTATTATCCAAGTTTCAATAATACTTACTGTTGTTGACAGTCCATGGAAAGTGCTGAGCAGTAGAATGAAGGGGATGATCTGCTTGGGATGCCACGGTTGCAGTGGGAGGCCGTCAAGCGGCCACACAAAATATTAAGGTGGGTCCTGCACACAAAACAGAGGAATATGAAGAAAAATGCAGTTGATAAGATAAGATTCCACTAAATAGAAGACATAAACTGGCTGAGAGACAATAGAGAACGACAACTCCAAATGAAAGAACAATAACAATCTGGTGTGTTCTTGGTCGGGTAGGTACCACAGCACCGACCCGACCGCTAAAAGACGGCAGGACTGGGTTCTTTCAGAAAAAAAGGGAGATCAACATATTTTACTAGGGATACAAAAGGCAACAGAACGATGAGGAGCCGAGGGTGCGAAGGGGCAAAAAGGAGTGACCCTTCAGTCAAACGTAGGTTAGAAGGTTTGACCCACGAAAGTTGACGCACAGCACCTAACCAACAGTTTAAGAGCGACAGAGTCTCGCAATGGCCGACCTTAAAATTGGGAAAAGGTTCATTTGAGTGACAAGTAGTGTGACGTCTTTGAAGAAGAGATCAGAGGCAGCCTTTAGGGAAAAGCAAGCTTGAGGTTGGTTGGATAGTTTCGTGGCTAGCATGTTAAAAAAACTTACCACCCCAGACAAAAACTGATCAAACCGCTCCGTTAAAGCTATATTACACAAAATCACGCAACATAACTCTGTCAAGTTGGGACGCTTCGCCGTCAGACATTAAAATATCTTCCAAAACACTGTCATATCAGACGAACATTAAGCAATGCTGACCCGAGAACCGAACGGAGACCCGAAGCCTGCCCGAAGCCGAAGGCCGAAGGCCCCGACTCGGCCCGAAGCCAAGCCGAAGCAGGTGCCATATGAATTTCAATTATTCTGATCATGCAACTAAAGTCACTAAGTCACTCATATTGCTTGGGGTAAAGAAGAAAGGATGTCCACAAACTCAAAATTAATTTTGAAAAAATATTTTAAAAATATACGATGGGGATGAATTGCCATAAGTCAACAATAATAGCGACATTTACTGGCCTAAAATTTCTTTTTTTGTTCCGAAATGTGAACAAGTGCATCATTTTCGCTTCTTAATTTTGTTGACAACTATCTAAGAAACTTCGGAAGAAAAGGAGAGACAAATTATCAGACCTAAGACTTATCCTGACCATAACTGTTGCGCGGAATCTCTTAAACTAGTCGATAAGAGATTACGACAACTGGAAGCTTACAACTTTCTTTAAATTTTGTTTGTGCATGTTAAATGTTCTACAATACATTAGTCATATTCGCAACTTCTTTAGTACAGGATTCAATTAGGACAACTAATACAAATTGTTTTTGATTTAGTGTTAATAGCTGTTTTTCTCCCACACCTCACCTTGAGCTATCATTTCATTTTAGTGTTAAGCTGAAATGTCTCTTGCGACTGGCTTTTTGACCTCAAGGTATGGACCGAAGAATTTAAGTCTCGCTGACTGACTCAAGCATTACAAGTGCTCGTGTCGCATCAGTCGGATCATCGAGTCAGACAGGTCATTCAGAATTAACTTGATACAGCCTCTGCGTTCCAAAGTATAGAAACTTTCTGCACTTGCATTCATGACGGAGTCCTTGTTTTAGCAAGTTTGAGATAAAATTGGTTAGACTAATTTAAAAAAGCTAAACAAAAATATTCTGCTCTATCTTTCAATTACTATCCAAATATTTAAAAAGGTTTGGAAAATAAGTTGAGTAATAGTACACATAATTCACTTGATGCAAGAGTTGTTTGTTGCTCTTGTTGTTTTCTTTTTCCAACATATTGTCAAATTGTTTCAAAAAACACGTATGCGGCCCTTACATTTTATAAAATGCCCATGGTAACATTGTTTTGACCTCTAGAGTTAAAGAAATACATAAAATGAGCAACCACCACGACTTCGGGTTCGGTCAGTCGTTTCGGCCAGTTTGGGTCCTCCCGCGCTCGCTCGGGTCCCGAAATATCTAGCCTCGCGCAGTGCCTCGCGACGTGACGTGCCGCGACGTGTGTCAAAGTTGGTTCAAATTCACGAGCGTGCTCATCATGCCATTGTATCAGTTTCCATTGAAGAGTGATTGTTTATTCACTCGACGGTGACTGATTTAGAGCCTGATGTTGCGAACGTTGCTCTTATTGTGGTGTCCTATCATCATCAGGCAGTTTTAAGTAAGTGATGTCACCTTCCAGTAACCTCAACCAGCTGTCGGCTGCTCTCTCTCGCTCTCTGAATTAAACCGTTTTTGTTAATGACTGTTAACTGTAGAAGTCCGCGGGTAGTTGGTTGCCTCTGATCCACCAAGACTTTGCCTTTTCCTGGCTCTCCTTGGTAAACTTGATTTGGATGGTCTGGGGCTGCCCACCAGAGCTGCTGTTCTGTCAGCACAGCAGCACAGCTGTCACTTCTTAACTGCTGATGCAATGTTTCCAGCTTTCTAGTTCTTTTGAAGTACAAAATTTAAGAAATCTTTACTTTGCTATATTTGTTTTGAAGTCTCTCATATTATTTAAGATTCACCTTACCTGATTGTTTACTCACTATAATAACCATGATCAATTTCTGCTGGTATCGAGGGAGATTCACGTTTGTTTGAGCGCAACCACACGTTTGTTTGAGAGCAACCTCATTTCTTCATGCTTTTTCTTTCCATTTAGCAAATTCTTATAATGTCTTGATTTGGCTCTTTTGTTAATTCCTGTTTTTTTCTCCCCCAATAGACTTCCTAAAGAATATGGCAGACAACATTGCAATGGAAGTCGATGGTTCTCAGAATGTAAGTGTATTGTCATTGAATGTTTACTTAATTTGCTTGAAATGAGTTATTCCATTAACATTTTAAACTTGTTTGCAGGTGAAGTCTTCAGTCATGCATGCACCGTCATCTTCGTCATCATTCTGTGATTCATCTCCTTCTGGCAGTTCTTCCCCCGCATGCTCTAGTTTAACAAAGTCCACAAAACCATGGGCAACACCGTCTGCCAGTTTGATGGTGATTCCAAACTCTTCTATTCAACCAGTAAACCCACTCAGTTCGGAATCTGGTCTCACTTTAACATTACAGTAAGTTAAATAGAACAGTTACTCTAGTTAAAGCCTGTTGTTAAACTGATCATGAATGATGATAAGATCAACCCTTTTTCTTATTGCAGGAATGTTGTATCCACAGTGAGCTTAGGCTGTGAATTAGATTTGAAGAAAATAAATTTTCGAACAAGGAACACTGAATATAACCCACAACGTTTTTCTGGTGTTGTGATGAGAATCCTAGAGCCTCGAACAACTGCTTTAATATTTAAATCTGGCAAAGTTGTGTGCACTGGAGCTAGGAATGAACAGGCCTCGAGTTTAGCAACTAGAAAATTTGCTAGAATTGTTCAAAGAATAGGATTTCCTGTAAGTTCAAATAGTATGACAATACTGTATTGTTTGATGAGATTGATTTTTGAGATTGATTCTCACAGAGTCTTGATGTTCTTGTTTTTTTATGCTTGTTTAGGTGAAATATCTGGACTTCAAAATACAGAATATTGTTGCCACATGTGACCTTAGATTTCCTATAAGACTGGAAGACTTGAACCAAAAACACACCCAGTTCAGCTGGTAGGTTTTATTAGTGAAAGTAGCCTATGTGAGACATAGAGGCATAGACACTAACAATGTGAGACCTTTTCATTGTATTTTACAGTTATGAACCAGAACTGTTTCCCGGTCTAATCTACAGAATGGTTAAACCTCGTGTTGTCTTATTGATCTTTGTCAACGGAAAGGTTGTTTTCACCGGTGGGTACAAATTAAGTGAAGAGATTTCAAAATTGTATTTTTAAATGATCTGTTTACTTTAACCGTCATTGCCATTTGTTTTAGGAGCCAAGAATCGCCAGGATTTAGAAGATGCTTTGGAGGCAATCCACCCAATATTAAAGAGCTTCCGGAAGCAATAAAATTATTTTTAAGGCGATTTGTGATTTTAGCTTTAAAATGAGTAGGTCAAGGGAACTTTTTGCAATTGGTGGCACATTGAATCTATGTTTCAATATTGTCTCATGTCATTTACTTCTTTAAAACATCAAATCTATTTGTTTCAACTTTTATATCAGTTTTTCTTAAAACCTTTTATCATTTTGATGTTTTGATCCTGATCGTTGTGTAGGCCTGTGAGCCCGGTGAAATTGTAGCAGGTTTTTATTTATTTAGTTGTGTGGCAATGCTATTTTTCTTGTGTGTTTGTGCATATTTTTTGTGTTGGTTGTGTCCATTCATATATTATTTATATCATTATCTCTAACATCATCTTGTAAATTACACGGTCCTCTGTAAATGTATTGTTAATTATATTTGAATGTGTGATAAGACTGTGAGGGTGGTACCGAATATAAAGGTATGGTAGAGTTGTACTAATTTGTTATTTTGTTGTATGTGTATGACACACGTTAAATTTTCAGATTAGATTTAATCTTTATCATCATTTTCTGTGCTGATTCGTTGGCATTTTTGTATTCTGATACTGGATTGAGTTTACGAAACTGATTTGAAGTATCAATAGATCTCATATTTGCTTTTTGAAAGCTGAAGTTTGCAATAATGTTTGCTGTTTTGTGAACTATTTTTTTGTAAAATTGACCATCTTTGAAAACAAAGCTATAACTTTGTCAAAGAGAGTTTATGTTAATGCTTTTGGTTTCAACATTTTGTTTAGCTACACTTAATTGTTCATTGTTTTTTGTACTGTAATTGCACATCCGAACAAAGATATAGCATAGTTAGGGGTTGAATCTGTTCCTACAGTGTGATGAAATGGAGCATAATTTAAAATAATATTCTAGTATTTGAAATATATCACCTTTATAGAAGATTTGTTACTAAAAGTTAATGAGTTTCAATGCCTCACCTGTGTGTCCTAATGACATTCAATGAAGTCCTGTGTATGTCGACACAAAGATGGTCATGAAGTTGATAAGTGAAAGTAGCCAAAGAACCATTTATTTTGTTACTGTTGTTGGCAAAGTCCTGCTGGTTCAGACTCTTTACCTTGTGCAGCACATATCTTGCATTACTGTTTACTGTAGCAGATGGAATCTGTGAGAAAATGGCGGTCAATGCGTAAGAAACAGTGCTGTATGGGTGCAGTGGTGCACTCTAAATGTCTTACGGTGGAAGGCTGCACCAACACAATATGGTGGAGATTTTCTCCATAATACAAAAGAAATTTGACAAAATGTCAACAATGTACGATGAATTTTCAGAGGTGAGCTACGAATTCAGGTGCACCATCATAAGATGGGTAATTTTCACCGTAAGAACTTTAGAGTGCTGAGGTGTGCAGTGGCATACTTTGCGTGACTTCCTTGATCCAGTCCATGTAGCTGGACACCTTGGTGTTGATGATGCTGGCGCCGCTGCAGCCGTCGCCGTAGGCGATGATGCCCGCCACCATGAGGCGGTGCGTCTTGGGGCTCATCCAGAGCAGTGGCCCCCCCGGGTCACCCTGTCCAGGCGCAAAGGGTAAGTTGGGGAAGAAAAGAGTACTCCCCTGTGGCCTAGTGCAGAGATCTCAAATTCTATTCAACAAGGGTTTCACCTTCAGATTTTTTATGTTTAGTTTAAATAACTGGTCGACAGCTAGCCCGAACTCAAGGTATCAGCTTAATGGGTACTTTTCTTACCATGTACTTTTCGTGCCCAACTTACCCCTACCATTACAAAAATGAAGATCGCCCCTTCAAAAAGGAGAAATAATTGTAAAAAAATTCCTTAAGACTGACGAAGAACTGACCGTGCACACAGACTGCGAGTTTTGTGAGCCGGTGCAGAAGTGCTCGTCGTACAGCTGGCCGTACTTGCTGATACACTCCGAGGGGTTGACCAGGGGTGCCGTCATGAGCTTGAGTCGCGTGGAGGTCTGGCCGTTGTACACGCTGGACCCCCAGCCTGGGTGAGAAAGCCACCAGGATCGCCAAGTGCTAAGTCGCCAAAGAGGACTCGAACCGAGCGTGTGACCCCACCAATGGGTTGCTCTCCGATCGAGGAGTCCATTGGTGGGGTCACACGATCGGTTCGAGCCCTGTTTAGCGACTCTGGAGCTCAAAACGCGTCTAGAGTTTTGGCCCGGCCGCCTCCACCGGCCTTGTGGCAAGTCCACTGTGCGGCCCGCGGTGCGGCCCGCACGTCCGGCAAGCTGCCGACCGGTCGCCGACGGCTCACCCAGGATGATGAGGGACTCCCCGGGCGCCAGGAAGTTGTCTGCGGACTTGTTGATGGGGACGCAGGCCGGCCCGGTGTACAGCGAGATCCTGACCTCGTCCCTGGAGCGCGCCACGGCGATGTTGGCCCGCTTCCAGTCGCCCGACCAGGACGGGTGCCGCGTGAACGACGCCAGCTTCATGCGTTGCTGCACCGACCCCTCCACGTCTGCAACAGTGTGGCGGTCCAGCGGTCCAGCGGTCCAGCGCGCCTGCCAATGTGAGGATAGGCCGGCCCGCGCGACACCGAAGGACCGAAGGCGCCTGGTTGCCTATCCTGCAGGCTGACTACGCGGGGCGTTTCGTCGCCCGGTCTCTCTCACCCCCGCGAGACGGTCCATGCGTGCGAGAGAGACTGGACGGCGGCGTCCAGCGAGCCAGAAGGGAGGCGGTCAAAACCCCGAACGCGTTTGGAACTACAGCGTCGCTAACCAGGACTCGAACCGAACGTATGACCCCTTCCAATGGATTCCTCGTTCGGAGAGCAATCCATGGGGTCACACGTTCGGTTGAAGTCCTCTTATAGCGACTCTGCAGGCCAAAACGCGTCCAGAGTTTTGGCCGCCGGTGCCGGTATCCACTGTGCTGACCGTAGCTGGTGTCGAACTCGCCCACGATGAGGTCCACGGCGTCGAGCGCGGTGCCGCGGATGCAGTGCGCGCTGGTGAGGGCGTGGAACGAGGAGATGAGCACGGCGCCGCACACCACCGTGTTGCCGTCCACCAGCGCCGCCATCATGGGGTACTCGTTGGGCCGCACCTCCACGCCGTTGGTGATGCGTCCTGCCTACCGAGCCGAGGTCGTGGCCGAGGCCAAGCCCGCCGTCAGCGAGGTCCAGTCACCCAGCCCGCCCCGCCACGCACTCACCAGTTGGTTGGATCCCGTGCCCTGAGGATTTTCACCATAAGATATTGAATCTTGACCAGAAGACTTTTAGAGTGTGGCAAACTGAAATACTGACGTCCAGCCGCCAGCCGCATGTGCAGTTGTCCGGCGAGGAGCCGATGCTCTGGCCCGCGTCCAGCGCCGGGGTGGCCGCCGTGGCCGCGGTGGGCTTGGCGCGGATGTTCCACTGCTGGTCCGTGGTGGCGGACACGTAGCACCGGAAGCGGCCCTCGGCGTTCGGCCGGTACGAGGACCGCAGCTCCACGTTCAGGACGTTGCTCAGGCTCACCTGAACGTGCGTCAACGTACGTCAACGTACGTCAACGATGGTCAGCAGGGCCGCAGTGGCGGATTGCAGTGGGCCAGAAGACCGGTGGAGGCGGCCAGAATTCTAGACGCGTTTTGAGCTCCAGAGCCGCTAAATGGGACTCGAACCGAACGTGTGACCCCACCAACGGATTCCTCGTTCGGAGAGCAATCCATTGGTGGGGTCAATCGGTCGGTTCGCGTCACATTGAGCGACTCTGGAGCTCAAAACGCGTGTAGAGTTTTGGCCGCCTCCACCGGTCTTCTGGCCCACTGCGACGGTAGTGGCGGATCCAGAGCCGTGCGTGAACACAGCGAAAACGGGCGGCAGGACAACGCCCCTCCTCGACCCCTAGATAGCCGCCCGAGAGGTAGGCAAATAAACACTGCACCCCTGTAGTACGCAGGCAAAAGTGGCACTCCCCCTCCCCCCTCCAGGCGGCATACCCTACTGTCCAGAGCCACTTTGAGGGGGGACAAGTAGTTCTTTCTGCGTACGTACGCGGGCAAAATGTTGTTTCTGTCTGCCTTTCAGGCAGCTATCTAGGAATTGAGGCGGTGCGGGCAGCAACTGCCGTCGCCCCCTCTCCCCCCTCTTGGATCCGCTCTTTGGCACGACCGCGGTAGCAAAATGTGAGGAGTGCTGCTCACCACCATGTCCCTCCCCACGTAGGGCATGCCGTCCAGGTTGATGTGCGCGCCCGACGTGGACGCGTAGAGCGCGTCGCTGCAGCCCAACGACTGCAACAAAGTTATCCGACTCACCCGACTTACCCCACAGGCCGTCGTCGGCCTTACGCCGCGTCAGAGAGTTACCCCCTGGCACTGTCGCCGAAGCGACTCCTCCTGCAAGGACGCCCCAGCCAGAGTTACCTGGAGTTACCCCGATGCACAGTGGATTTGCCAGAAGTCCGGCGGAGGTGGTTTGAGCGTTTTCAGCTCCAGAGTCGCTAAATGGGACTCGAACCGGACGTGCGGCCCCACCGATGTATTCCTCGTTCAGAGAGCAATCCGGTGGGGTCACACGTTCGGTTCGAGTCCCATTTAGCGGCGTTGGGGCTCAAAACGTGTCTGAACTTTTGGCCGCCGGCGCCGGTCTCCTGGCAAATCCACTGTGTAGGCCCGAGTTACCTCGTTGCTGGCCGGGCCGGGCAGGTAGAACTCGTCGCACTCGAAGGCGACGCGCTGGTCGGCGGGCGCCTCGGCGATCCACTGGCAGGACTCCCCCGCCTGGTAGTGCGCGGGCCAGCCGGGGGACAGGAGCAGGTAGCGCAGCCCGGGCTCCAGCTTCTGGTAGTGCATGCACACGAAGGCGCGCGCGCCGCCGCACGCCGCCAGCACGGCCAGCGCGCCCAGAACCGCCCGCAGCCACCCTGCCCTACCCATGCCGGCGCGGTCCTGGTCCGCCTGGTCCTGGGTTCGAGTCTCGGTTAGTTTCCTGTTTTCCCGCGGGTAGCGCGCCCGGCGGGTGGCGCACAGTGGGCCCGAAGACCGGTGCAGGTGTCCAAAACTCTAGTGGCGTTCAGAGCTCCAGAGTCGCTGAACAGGACTCGAACCGAACGTGCGACCCCACCAATGGATTGCTCTCCGAACGAGGAATCCATTAGTGGGGCCACACGTTCGTTTCTAGGCCTGTTTAGCGACTCTGGAGCTCGAAACGCCACTAGAGTTTTGGCCGCCTGCACTGGTCTTCTGGCCCACCGTGTAGCAGGCGGCGGGGCCTAGGCGGGGCCGCGGCGGGGCCTAGGCGGGCAGGCTGTAAACGGGCCGCACCATGCCTCGGGGGCCTGCGGGGCCTGCACTGCGGGGCCTGCAGTGGGTGCACAGATAAGGGAACGGCGCGCGCCGCGACGGCCGAACCGCTCATTCGGATTCACATCCACATTCGGCTCTTCTGTCGGCCTGGAGGGCGCAGCCGAGTCCGTCGCAACCCCCAAAGCAACAACAAAAGGACCGGAACAACAACAGCAGCAACCCCTGATGGGGCCGGGCGGGGGGACCGAAGCACTTCTCGAAGGCTTTCAGCTGAACTGTGAACTGCGCGGATTCCGACTCGCGTGCAAGTCGCTGGGCAAGGTGGAGGACGTTGTGTACCTTCGGGCCTGCGGGCCTTCGGCTCGGCCTTCGGCGTGGCGCGTGCGGGGCCCAGCCGGCGACTGGCAAAGATACCGACCCCTTTCGCCCGCCCCCGCCCCTTCCCCTCCGCCGACACACGATGACGTCACGGTCAGTCTCAGTTTCGCACCGGACGCCGAGGTGCTGCCGAGGGGCAGCAGCCTGCAGTACAGTCGGGCCGCGCGCAGAAACTGCACAGGCCTCCGCCGCGCACACGTCATCGCTCTGTCTTTCTCTTCCCCTCCAAGACGCCCAACGGGAGCGAGGAAGCCAGTGCCTGGCCAGTGCGACGTCGCGCCAACGTCACGGCCAGTCTCAGTTCCGGTCACCTGGGTACAGCAGTGCATGAGCAGCCTGACGCGTCTGGCACTGTTTCCAGTGTTTCAAGCGTTTCTAGTGCTGCAGTGTTCTAAGTGTATTCTGTACCTCCAGTGTCTCCAGGGCTTCAAATGTTTCCAGTGCTCCCTATGCTCCCAGTGCTTCCAGTGTCTCCAATGCTTGCAGTATTTCCACTGTTTCCACTGTTCCCAGTGCTTCCAGTGTCGCCGCTCGTTCCACGCTCGTCGTTCCGTTGCACAGCATTGCACAGTAGCGGGCCGGCGGGCCGAGGCGACACTCCGCTGGCCTTGCCGCTGCCTTGCCGCTGCAGCGGATTGTCCGATGAGTCGGATTTATGTGTTCCGCACTAATGCCGCTCCCGGAGCTGCATGCCTGGACAGCGCTCCCGATGCACAAAAAAAACATTAAATAGGAATTGAAAAAACTGCAAGGTCTCATAATGGATTCTGATGAATTTATTTCGGTGTCCGTTATCAAGAACTTACAAGTCTACTACTTCTTACATGAAATCACAGCGGAGAATAAATGATGAACTTAATCATTAGTAAGAATACGTACAAAAAACACACACACAAAGTAAACTGTATTAAATGGTAACCAAACGCCAATTTCCTTCGCAAACTGTGCCGGTTACGCCCAGCCGATATTTTTTTTATTTTTGCACCATGTCCGAAAAGTCAGTACGCAAGGGGCAGAGAATATGTCTGTGTGCCACCTCCGTGCCACCGTCAGTACTGATATTTTGGAAAACATATGGCAATCGTAGCATAAATAACTAATAAGGTATAAGGACTACACATGTCGCACTGCACAAACTCACGTCTATGCAGACAAAAAAAATGAAAAAAAAAAAACAAGAAAAACGGGGTCGAAAATTGCGCGCCATTTTCAATTTGAACAATTATGACAAAGCCCGCCTTTTCTTACACGACAAACTACCGTAATAAATATGATTGCAAGAGGCGTCTATACGTCCACTTGCCGCTAGCTTACACAACTACTATGTACATAGAGGACAAGCTGGTCGCCCCGAGCGGCTAGCAGATGGGATACTTTAGACATTGATATAAATGTGTAATTGTTCGAAACTTCAACAAACAGCAAGTTTCTTCTTTACTTTATTTTTCCGAGAAAATTTATTGGGCCACCGGCTGCCGGTTCAAGTCGACCAGTAGCCAATAATTATTCTTAATTACTTAAAATCGATAGCGTAACGCCAAGTCGATGGAGTAGTTCGCGGATCGGGGTAAGTGGAGGCGTACTGAAGGTAAGGGGGAGGGAAGTGACCGGGGTCGGGCCTGCCTAGGTCTTATCCCAAAGTGCGAACTACCCACACGCTGGCTCCACTGGGAGTCCCCAGGTCTTTCAGTCGAAGGCTGATCTCGAGAGTCACACTGTCGGGACTGCGGGCCTTGGGTGGATACACTGCTTCCAGAGCGGAGCTACAACTCTAGTGGCGAAACGAATTTCAAATCCTAAATTTAATTCACTGCCTTTTTCAGCCGGAATGGCCCGTGCCGGACTCAGATCAGCCTCCTTGATAAAAAAAAACATACACACACTTTCGTTTTTTAAATAAGAGAAGCGCGCCACACTCACACATTTACACGGAACTCACACGCACGTGGGAGGAAAATACACAAAAAGGAACAAAATCACTCAGTCACTCCGACAAAGGCCTTCTCGCATTCGATGCGGATCGTTCTGGCGACCGAGAAAGGGATCGCCAACAAGGGAAAGGGAGGGGCGGTGAAGAAGTCCATCGACCGAGGAGGATCAAGATCACACACTGCTAAAAAAAGGGGGGCTGCATTCTCCTTTCGTCGAGGATAGTTTCGACAGCAACACAAAAAACATTAAAAAATATAACAATGAAATGTTTCACTGCGGTTGGCATGGCCTACTGCGATTTGGCAGGCAGACCTACAGAGACAGACGGGTGAGGGGAGGGGGATTTTCAGTCCGTATGTTTGATGGCGTTCAAATCCTTCTTTCTTTTAGGGGAGGGGGAAGGGGAATGGGGAATTGGTTCACATTTTTTTTTATCTCCTGCGCAAAATAGAGGGGCAGACGCCGTTGTCCCGATATAATGGGCACAGTGGACAGGACGGTGCCTACAGTGCCGCGCTGGCTCCGCACCAGGCCGCACCGCCGCACCGGGCTGCAGGGACTACCCACAGATCGTCTCGGACACGTCCGCAGGAGCTTCGAACGGCACCGGGGTGGCGGGGGCGGGGGTAGTCGATGGTGGGGTTCTCGAGGACGAAGAGGCGCGTCCACGCGGCGGCCTAGTTCATTCGGTTCTTGTTGGTCACGATTGTGCCGTGGTCGAAGCGCGTCTCGGTCATGGCCATGTTGTCGAGGCCGAGGACGCCACCGAGGACGCCGTCGAGGTCGGCAAAGACGCCGCCGAGGCCGCCCCGAGGCGCCGCCGAGGCCGCGCCGAGGCCGCCGCCGAGGCCGCCGCCGAGGCCGCCGCCCCGCCGAGGCCGCCGCCGAGGCCGCCGCCGAGGCCGCCGACATGCCACCGAGGCCGAGGACGCCGCCGAGGCCGAGGACGCCGCCTAGTTGATGCGGCCCTTGTGCGTCATGAAGGTGCCGTGGTCGAAGCGCGGCTCGGCCATGGCCATGTTGCCGAGGCCGCCGAGGCCGACGACGCCGGTGACGCCGAGGCCGGCCGCGCCGAGGCCGTGGCCCAGGCCCATGCGCTCCGCCTTGGCCGAGGCGCCCGTCGACAGGCGGCGCACGCGGCAGCACAGCACCAGCACCGTGGAGGCCAGCAGGCACAGCAGCGAGCAGCCCAGCCCCAGCAGCGTCTGGAAGGAGCCCGACTTGAGGCACACCGAGTTGAGCTGGTCCGACAGGGTGCCTGCAACACACCGCAACAGAGTTAGCTACACTGCAGAAACCAAAGCAGTGGGGGTTTGTTGTATGGTGGTAAATCACAAACTATTACACAAAGTACACAAAAAGTACGTTTAAAAAGTCGTACAATTTTTGCTGTGAGGCCTGAGATTGTTTGCGGGGCTTAGAAGGTGTACGCGAATGAACAGACGCACGTGTGTATAGCCCCCTTTGCCCCCCCCTCTCTCTCTCTCGCACACACACACACACACACACACACAGACACACGCGCGCGGCTTGCGCTGCGGGAGCGCCTGTCAAGTCGGGGGTAGGCAGCCCAAGTCACGGCTGGTGTGCGGGGCGGCCTACACTGCGGGGCGGCCTACACTGCGGGGCGGCCTACACTGCGGGGCGGCCTACCCTGCGGGGCGGCCTACACTGCGCTCAGCAGGCGCTCGCTGTCTCTCTCCATGTCTCTCGCACGGGACGACGGCGCCATAAGAGTGCGAGGCGAGACGGAAAGAGATAGAGCGACTCAAGAAAAAACTCTATACTGCATATCGTTGTCGTATGTATTTATCTGCTAAAACAGCCCTTCGGACGGTCTGTGCCTCGCGCGGGAGCCGCTCGTTTTGGCGGCAAGGCCCGCGCCGAATAATTACCACTTACGCTACCTGCGGCGCGGGTGCTAGTGGGTGTGGCTACTAGAGGGGGGCGGACCCAGGTGGCGTGGGCTGCTGGGCGCGTACACTGCGGGCGGCCCGGCCGTGCCCGTAAGTACCACGCGGGCGGCCGCGACGCGACGGATTGTGGCGTGGCCACACTGCGGGGCGGCCTACACTGCGGGGCGGCCTACCCTGCGCTCAGCAGGCGCTCGCTGTCTCTCTCCATGTCTCTCGCACGGGACGACGGCGCCATAAGAGTGCGAGGCGAGACGGAAAGAGATAGAGCGACTCAAGAAAAAAATCTATACTACTATATCTGTGTGTCGTTATGTATATTGTATCTGCTATAAAAAGCACGCGTCTGTTCGGAATCGGTCTGTGCGCGTCGCGCGGGAGCCGCACCGTTTTGGCGGCAAGGCCCGCGCCGAATAATTACCATCCTTTCAACGCACCCGCGCGCGCGCGTGTGTGTGTGTGTGTAGAAGGGGGGGCTGGACCCACGGTGGCGTGAGGCGTGCTTGGCCTTTGCGCGTCGTGGCCGTGCGGGCCGTGCCGGCCGTGCCCGTCAAGTACGCACGCGCGGCGCACGCGCACGCGAGGCGGGATGAGCCGCGGATGTGTGGCGGTGGCGCAACATCTGCATGCGCAGCGCCGCGCACCTGCCGCAGGGGTGCGAGAGAGACAGACAGACACTGCCCTCTAAAGTGGGCAAGACCGGTGCCGGTGGCAAAAAGTCCAGACGCGTTTCGAGCTCCGGAGTCGCTAAATAGGACTCGAACTGAACGTGTAGCCCCACCAATGGATTGCTCCCTTAACGAGGAATCTATTGGTGGGACCACACGTTCAGTTCGAGTCCCATTTAGCGACTCTGGAGCTCGAAACGCGTCCGAGATTTCGACCGCCTCCGCCGGTCCTCTGGTAGATCCACTGTGCATCGTGCATCGTCAGCGCGACTTACTGTTGGCAGAGGTGACGCCGTCCAGGGACTCGCCCTCCTGCAGGACCCTCAGGCTCTGGAACAGGTTGACGTTCTCGGAGAGCGCGGACGGCGCCTGCGTGGGCTGCCCCAGCGTCTGGCCCAGCGTCTGGCCCACTGTCTGGGACGCCCCCAGCGGTCCCGTCAGCCCCAGGGGCTCGCCGACGGACCGCTTGGACACGGACTTGGCGTTCCTCCAGTGGCACGGCTGGCTCTGCAAGCGGACAACAACAGTGTAACGAAACGTGCAATGCCACACCAAAAATAAAATTATTTCTTTTTTGGTTTTAAAAAAAAAGAGGGCCACTGACCGGACACCGGCCGTGGCACATCCGCACGTCGCACTCGATGTACAGCGCCGGCGACCCCGTGAACCTGAACGTCTTCATGTAGGCGAAGACCTGCGTCTCGAAGGCGCCCTGCTCGCTCCACGTGCCGCGGAACCTCGAGATGAGCTTGTCGTCCACGGGGCACCTGGAGGGTCAACGGGAGGGTTACAGACCCGGCATTTCGTGTCAGCTGGATTACGGACTAGCCACTATCCGTATCACCCCCGGGTGCGGTTTAAAAAGCTCACCCGGCTCAAAGGATCACCTCAGATTACCACCAGATTACCTCCAAATTTATAGAAACCCGGATTATCTCCAAATTGATAAAAACCCGGATTACCTCGAATTTTTTTGGTAAATCCGGACTATCTTCAAATTTCTGGTGGTCCGAATTACCCTCAAATTTCTGGTTACGAATCGCCTTCATTCCGCCTTCCGGGATTCAATCGCCTTCCGGGATTACCTCCAAATTTCCGGTAATCCGAACTATCTCCAATGTCGGTAGGATTACCGTTCACCAATTTGGTGTCAGTCGGATTACCCGAGTCGTTACCCCCTCGGCCGGAGCGGACTTTTGCCGCTGGCTTTGCAGCGCTTTGCAGTGGCGTGCACGACCTATCGCAGCGGCGCGTCTCGCTGACGCATGTCTTTTAATCCTTTCCTCTTCCTCCGCTCGTTCCCTTGTTTCTCAGCGTCTTCTACCTTTTTTCGTGGATCGTCACGCAAGGCGTCATAAGGACGGCGCCATGGGCAGCCACGCCGCGCCACGCCGCGCCACGCATGGCGGCGCTCGGCACCGCTATGGCACCTCATGGCGAGCTGCGGGCGCTGCGGGCCGGGCCTTGCGCCGGGCCCTGCCAAGGACGAGCATCCCGCACGGTGACCCAGCCCCAGCGCCAGCCGGCCGCAAGGAAGCTGTCCCGTCCCGGCCTCGCCGGCCTCGCCCCAGGCTAGCCGCGGCCGCGTCGCTCTGTCTCTCTCGCACTCAAAGGGTGACCCGTCCCGTGGCACAGTGAGCCGGAAGACACGTGCGGGAGGCAGTCAAAGTCCCGGACGCGTTTCGAGCTCCAGAGTCGCTAAATGCGACTTGACTGGCACGTGTGACCCCACCAATGGATTGCTCTCAGGATGAGGAATCCATTGGTGGGGCCACACGTTCGGTTCGAACTCGGGTTCGAGTTCCATTTAGCGACTCTGGAGCTCGAAACGCGTCCGGGATTTTGACCGCCTCCGCTCACTGTGTGTAGTGATGCAAGGAAGACGCATGGTGACGGAAGCTCTTTTTGGAAGCGGGCTACTCCCATGGCACAACCCGGCCACAGAATCATCCCTGTTCGTAGCCGAGAGCGCTAAGTTGCCCATCTGTCATCTTGGTTCAAAACCCGTCGTTTGCAATTCTGCAGGCTCGCCTACAGGTTTTCCGACCGCCTCCTCTCCTCTCGTCAACACGGCCGCGTGGGCCTCGTGGCTAATCGGAAGGCTGCCCAAACCGAGGGGCACGAAGGAACCCTTCTGTCTCCCTCGCACTCACGGGGCGTTGCCGTAGGCCGTAGGTGTGCGAGAGAGACAGCGCGAATCGCTCGGTCGAAAACCACCACCGGTGTCCGCGGTCACTACTCGAGCGACAGAGAGGCGATGTTTCTGTCTCTCTCGCACCGATGCGGGACGAGTGCGAGAGAGACAGAGCGAGACTCTGGCAATCAGTGTGCAGTTGGACAATTAATTTGGAACTAAAACGGAAACGATCGCGGGGACAATGGGAGCAGACATTCCTTCCTAATACCGCGGGTCCTACACTGGCGCTCCGAATTCCTCCGCGCTCTGTCTCTCTCGCAGCCCTGCGGGACGGCCGGGACGGCCGGGACGGCCCACGAGTGCGAGAGAGACAGAGCGACGACAGCGGCGCGCTGTTCGGGATCGGACTGCAGGGCTTAGGGCCGACGGGGACCTCCGCGAACCCGTTAGCAGTGCTCGCCCCGGCGTCGCAGCGAGCCGGTCGAGGGCCTCGGCACGGCACGGCACGGCACGGCGCGGCACGGCGTGGCACGGCACGGCGTGGCACGGCACGGCACGGCGTGGCACGGCGTGCGGGATGACGGCATATGACGTGTCGTGACGGTAGCGCCACGCGACAAGACACGGCACAGCACGGCAAGGAGCACGCCGGGCCAGCAGACTGAGAGTCGTTTTCGTCGCTCTGTCTCTCTCGCACGCATACGGGACGCCGCAGGAGCGCGAGAGAGACAGAGCGACGAAAACGACTCTCGGAGTCCGTCTGGTGCGGGCCAGCAAGGCGACGTGCCGCGTGCCTCGAGAGCGAGAACCGAGTGGAACCAACGCACTACACCGGCAGCGCGGGAGTCATGACCTACGCGAGCAAGGGCAGGGGGAGCAGTCGCTGTGACAAGGAACCATGTCGCACAGCCCCAGGTGGGTGGACCTCGTTCGGGCTTTCGGGCAGGCGGCGGCAGATAGGCGGACGGACACACACGCAGACACAAACAGACACCCAGACACATGGACGCACCATTTGTTGAGAAAAAATGAGTTAGCAATCCGCAAATATTTGCCTCCTTCTATGGGACTTGTAACACGCAGAAAGCATTCCGAGGAATTTTGAGCAAGTCAGTGTTACAAACTATTCAGTTTTCTATGCATGCGAAGAATTAAATCGTAAATTACGAAGTTGATTTTTTCCGGCGTGACACACAGACAGACAGATAGATAGACAGGCAGACGGACCAGTGGAGTGCGCAGAAATTAAAGGGGGGGGGGTCAGGCCACGCAATTTGCCTGCCTTCCAGGCGGCTGTCTAGTGGCCAAAGGGGGGATCATGACCCCCTCCCCCCCCTTTTGCGCACGCCACTGAGACGGACAGTAAGACGCACAGACAGACAGACAACAAGACGGGCAGACAGTCCCGACGTGTGCGGCGCACGCGACATCGTGCTGGACGCGATAGCCCGCTAATGCATCGCTACTCTGGGAGCTCTGGAAGCTCCTGAGGGCTCTGCGGGCCAGCAGAGCAGACTTTGATTCCGAGAGTCGTTTCCTTCGCTCCGTCTCTCTCGCACTCGTGGGGCGTTCTAATGGCTGCGAGAGAGACGGAGCGACGAAAACGGCTCTCGGAATCCGTCTGCGGCAGGCAGCACTTACCCGTACTGGTCGATGAGTTGGATCCGCTTGTTGCCGCCGTTGTGCGCCCAGCAGTCGTTGACCACGATGTCGAAGCCGTCTGCGGAATCAGTCGGTACTCAGTAAAAAACAACAACAACACAACAACAACAACAACAACAAAACAACAAGAAGTGAAGAGACACACTCAAAAAGTTCTACGAGGAATTTGCTTCATAACTACGAAGGAAGGCGTTGTAGAATTGCTTCGTATTATGAAGATTTTCTTCGTTTACCGAAGGATTTTGCTTCACGTATAGTTCGAATCATTTCTTACAATGCCTTCGTTTTCTTCATACGGCAAAGCGGTGCTTCGTAGACTTTTCGCCGAGTGAAAAACAAAAAAAATGGTTGGTGGGTTTTTGAACCCGCGACTTACCGTACTTGCTCCTCATGTAGATGATGAGGGTGAGGGGGTCGCCCACCCGCACCGGCCCAGTGACCCGGGTGCCTCCCGTGCCGTAGCCGTACCGGATCTCCATGTAGCACTCGGGCGGGGACAGCGTGAACACTACGGGGTTGCCCGTCGCCACCCTGCACGAACGCAAACCACGTTACACAGGCTGGAGCGACGCCAGAGTGACACAGGAGCGACAAGAGAGTGACTACATTGGAGTTTACACCATAGTGACGAATGAGTTGCACTGGATTTAACGCTGGAGTGACAATGGAGTGACGCTCGAGTGACGCCCGAGTGACACTGCTTTAGTGACATTGGAGAGACACTCGAGTGATACTGCCTAGTGACAATAGAGTGACGCTCGAGTGACACTGCTTTAGTGACATTGGAGAGACACTCGAGTGATACTGCCTAGTGACAATAGAGTGACGCTCGAGTGACACTGCTTAGTGACATTGGAGTGACGCTTGAGTGACACTGCTTGAGTGAAACAGGAGTGACACTGGAGCGACGCTTGAGTGAAACAGGAGTGACACTGGAGCGACGCTTGAGTGAAACAGGAGTGACACGGGGGTGACACAGGAGTGACAGAGACACTGTACTTACTCGACGTCCAGGAAGGGGAAGGTGACCGTCTTCCAGAAGTCGTAGCCGTACTCGCACGTCACCTTGAAGTGCTCGTCCCACTCCTCCTCGATCATGGGGTTGTACTGCACGGTCACCGTGTTCCACATAAAGTTTTTCTGCGAGATCATTCAAAAAATTGTTAACAAGAACCTTTCCAGGTGGTCTTAAAGAGACACTCAGAATTTTCAGTCCAGATTTTCAGACCAACTCTCAGTCTGAATTATCAGATCACTCATCTCTTTCAAACTGACTAAAATTACTGAAAATTCAGTGAAACTTTACAGTGCTGCTGTACATTTTACAAAAATAAACTGAGGAAAATGAGCTGCCAAGGACGCTTTGCCGGTATTCGAACCGGCGACTTTGAGACCGTGCAATTGGTTTTACGGCGCAGCGTGCCTTGCCTTACCGTGGGGTTCTTCCGGCTGTCCTCTCCCAGTGAGTTCTTGCCCAGCGTGCCGCAGCGGTTCAGCTGAATGTAGAACTCGTAGTAGTCTCGGCCGGTGCCGTTGATGTACACGCACTCGGGGTCGTACGCGTAGCCTGCGGGAGACACCACAAAGTTGAGCCAACACGACGAAAGGGATGCAAGAAATAGAATAAAACAGGGGAAACATGCTGGTGTAGGATAAGAAAATGCGCGAGAGTGAGAACAATTCGTGAAAGAAAAATAAACTAACAAAAAAGTTAAGTTGAAAACTTCAATTTAAAACAAAAAAAAAATGCCCTTGTAAAACAATGTCACAGTTTGATTTTTTTTACATACAGGAAATGAATAGGACTTGATAAATTTTATAGTGCTCCCTTAAAAGCTTCAATTTTAGAAAAAGTACACTTGAAGAAAAAGTGATAAAATTATCTTTTTATCACAAACTGCCGCGACAGTGTAGAAACGCAGTGGGCAGTGCTGAAAGGCCAGGGCGACCTGGAACGGTGCCTGGAATTGCCTGGAGGCGAGCCTGGAGGCCTGCAGCCCAGAGGCCAGGCCTAGCCAGCCACCCTGAAGCGCGACCGTCGTTAATTTAAATACCGCTAGACAATGGCTTTACCTGACGAGTACAGGAGGCCGCCGAAGGAGCCGTTGAAGCCGATGCGGATTTTCATGTAGTCGTCCTGGCACTCGGCTTCGATGTCTGCAAAACAGGAAAAAAGGTTGGTCAATTTAACGTTCGGGCTCCGGCAAGTTTCGTCCTGCGGTGAGAAGTGGGGAGAGTTCTCCTATCACTGCGGCAGCACCGGCACGGATCAAGGACTTTTCTGAGGTGCATTGGTTTTACGGCGCAGCGTGCCTTGCCTTACCGTGGGGTTCTTCGGCTGTCCTCTCCAGTGAGTTCTTGCCCAGCGTGCCGCAGCGGTAAGCTGATGTAGAACTCGTAGTAGTCTCGGCCGGTGCCGTTGATGTACACGCACTCGGGGTCGTACGCGTAGCCTGCGGGAGACACCACAAAGTTGAGCCAACACGACGAAAGGGATGCAAGAAATAGAATAAAACAGGGGAAACATGCTGGTGTAGGATAAGAAAATGCGCGAGAGTGAGAACAATTCGTAAAGAAAATAAACTAACAAAAAGTTAGTTAACTTCAATTTAAAAAAAGAAATGCCTTGGTTAAACAATGTCACAGTTTGATTATTTTACATACAGGAAATGAATAGGACTTGATAAATTTTATAGTGCCCCATTAAAAGTTCAATTTAGAAAAATACACTTGAAGAAAAGTGATAAAATTATCTTTTATCACAACTGCCGCGACAGTGTAGAAACGCAGTGGGCAGTGCTGAAAGGCCAGGGCGACGGAACGGTGCATGGAATTGCCTGGAATGCTTGGTGCCTGCAGCCCAGAGAGCCTAGCCTAGCAACCACCCTGAAGCGCGACCGTCGTTAATTTAAATACCGCTAGACAATGGTTTACCTGACGAGTAAGGAGGCCGCCGAAGGAGCCGTTGAAGCCGATGCGGATTTCATGTAGTGTCCTGGCACTCGCTTCGATGTCTGCAAAACAGGTAAAAAAGTTGGTCAATTTAACGTTCGGGCTCCGGCAAGTTTCGTCCTGCGGTGAGAAGTGGAAGTTCTCCTTCACTGCGGCAGCACGGCACGGATCAAGGACTTTTCTGAGGTGGCGTGTGTGTGTGTGTGTGTGTGTGTGTGTGTATAGAGAGAGAGAGTGGTGTAGCACTTTTTGGCAACTCGCAGGGGAAAAGTAGTGCTACCTTAACGGCCGCCAAGGAGGGGTAATAGCTCCCATTACACCCCGACTGAATACGTGCCTGCCGTGGCTAAGGAACTCAAAACAAAATAAAATAAAAAAATCCTCCTCTCTCTCTTTTGAATACAAAAAAAAAAAGAAAAAGAAAAAGTGACTTGGCTTTTGGACCGTTGGGTGCGCAAGTCGAGTCCGGTTGAAATGAGCCCTGGCGGACCAGCAGCCGACTGATTCCGAGAGTCATTTTCGTCGCACTGCCTCTCTCACACCAACGGAGACGAGTGGAAGGAGACAGAGCGACGAAAACGACTCTCAGTCTGCCGGTGGGCCTGGCGGCCCTGGCGGGGCCAATGTGCCGAATGACGAGGTGGTCTGCGTGGTCCAGGAGCGCGTCCGAGTCCGGGACGAGCCCTCTGGGGCCTCTGGGCCCCTCTGGGGTCACTGGAGGCCATCGCCGGGGGCACGGCGCCCCCACGGCGCCCCCGAGCCCCGCCCTGGCCCCGGGCAGCATGACGGCGGCCGTCTCTTCTCCGCACAGTGGGCCAGAAGACCGGTGGAGGCGGTCAAAATCCCGGACGCGTCTTGAGCTCTAGAGTCGCTAAATGGGACTCGAACCGAACGTGTGACCCCACCAAATGGATTCCTCGTTGGGAGAGCAATCCATTGGTGGGGTCACACGTTCGGTTCGAGTCAAATTTAGCGACTCAGGGGCTCGAAACGCGTCTAGAATTTTGGCCGCCTCCACCGGTCTTCTGTCCCACTGCGCTTCGCCGACCCGAGCGAGGTGCCGGGTCTGCCGGGGGCTTGAGGTGCATCGCGGTGACGCAACGAAAGGCCAGCAACGGGACGCGCGTCGGGCAGCGCGGCACCGAGCAGCCAATGACCACTGTGTGATAATACCTCGGACATGACCGACCGCCGCCACCGCGCCACGCCACGCCACGCCACGCCGTGACGGGCCGGGCCGCGGCGTGGCGCGGACGGGGGATCATCCATGACTCAGAGCCGCTGCCCCCCTCCCCGCCACAGCGAATTCTTGTAAAGGTAATTTGTACTACGGTCTACAGCGGTGGACACAGTGCAGTCTTGCCGGGCCTCTCTCACTCCGGCCGGCCGAACCGTTCGGGGATAATGGGAGCTTCTTTTTTTCTTCTTTTTTTCAGATGTACTGTACGCTGTTGTTCGCGTTGTGTTAAAAATGTCACAATAAATTCAAAAATGAAAAGAAAAATATCAGGACGTGACTAAATGTACTTTTTTGAATGAAGCAACATATATACCCAAAGAACAGAAATTTGTCATCCAGACGTCAAATGATATCAAAGAATGGTCAAAATCCTGTTTGTCAGAATGACATCATAGTCGACGGTCAAAGTTAGGGAATTTTGACGTCAAGTTGATGTCAAATGATGTCACGAACCCATTAACTGTATAAAGGATACGACTCTACTCATCAGCTGATATCCCTCCTTATGTTTGACAATGGTGTTGCGCGCCTGGAGGGTAGGCAATTTGAGGTACACGCCCCTGCAAGTTAGGCAATAGCCCCCCCCAGTAAAACGTTCTGCACACGCCCCTGTTGCTGATTAAATGCGTTCATGGATGACATCAAACGGATGTCATCGTGACCAAGTGAACTTTAAGATCTTAACTTCACAGGTTATCGCCAGGTTACCTCTTTTCCAAATGGCGTAAGACTTTTTGAAAGAAATAATGCAATTTCAGTTAGTTTTGCTGGTAGTTTGTAATGACTCAAATTGACATCATCCTGATGTCACCTTTCAAGAGAGTGACTAAATTTTGTCATTTTTTAGTCACTTGATGTCAATGTGACTATTTTCTGTTCTTTGGGATGCTGTTTTCGAATCGGATTTGACTTCCTTCAGTGAGGAGCTTATGTTTGCACGGCCCTACCCAAGGGAGGTTTGCGAAGGTTTCAATGTTTCCTCCACGCTGGAAATTATCGAGCAAGCAGACATTTTGCACTGTAAACAAAGGTAAGTCGGACGACTTAAACTATGTGTTGTCTGTGTGGTACTTGCCCAGTCTGTGTAATTAATATCAATGTAAGACATAAGTCACATCTATATTAGAATTTGACAGATTTTCTCAGTGATATAATTTTGACGTAGAAAGGTAGCTTATGAATTATTCACTGAGATTTAGTCAAAAGAACTAAAACTAATGGTTTTAGTTGATTTTGACTTAATTTTTTTTTTACAATTTTCAGGATATTACTTTATATTTTGATCCATTCGATTCAACTTTTTTTTCAACAGTGCGCTGCCGCTCTGCTTTTCAGCGACCGAACCAGAAAACGCCCTAAACTGGCCCGAATGGCGCGTCGCTCCGTCTCTCTCGCACTCGCAGGGCGTTGCGTGGGGGTGCGAGAGAGACGGATCGAAGCCCTGTCCAGGCTGCCGGCCACTGGATCGACGTGCGGGTCCGCGGCCCGGGCCCTGGCCTCTCCGCGGCGCGCGCCGTGCCGCCGGGCCCGTCCGCAGGACTGGTTCCGAGAGTCTCGCTCCGTCTCCCTCGCACTCGCGGGGCGTGCCGCGTGGGCGCGAGAGAGACAGAGCGAGACTCTCGGAATGAGTCTGCTGGCCGCGGTCCTTGGCTGTGCCCGTTGGCCGGCTCGGCCGGCGCAGACAGCTGTGTGAACAGAAGCTGACAGCTGCTGACACACAGACACAGAGGGCACACTGACGGACTGCGGACAGTCTTGTCAGTCAGGCGGTCCCGTTCTGGACCTCCTTGCATTTCCGGTGAGGACGGTGAAAGGCCGGGGGAAAGGGGGGGGGGTGTCTAGGTCGCGTGCCGGCCCCGCCACGCCACGCCACGCCGCGGCGGATGGATTATGCCGCATTAATCAGCACCTTCACGCCTCTCTGGAAAAAGCGCGGGAAAATGGAGAATAATTGGAGAATCGCGCGGCGGCGACTCGAGAAAAGGGCAAGTTTGGCGCCCAGTTGCTCCACTTCGGCGAAGAAAGTAGAACAATAGCGAAAAAATAAAATTACCAATAATGAAGTAATATGGGTTAAGGGGCTCGTCGATGCTTGTTTTGTGTGGGGCTCGTGGCGGCCGGGGCGGGGCGTGGCGGGGCGTGGCGGGGCGGGGGGGGCGTGGCGGGGCGGGGCGGCGTGGCGGGGCGGGCGGGGCGGGGCGTGGCGGGGCGGGGCGGGGCGTGGCGTGGCGGGGCGGGGCGTGGCGGGGCGGGCGTGGCGGGGCGGGGCGTGGCGGGGGCGTGGGCGGGGCGTGGCGGGGCGGGGCGGGCAGCCGGCCTACTTGTTCAACAAACATGATGAGAGACAGGAAAAAGGCAAAGGGACTGCCAATTTGTCTCGTGTTTATGGGAGGACCGCGCGACCGCGCCACTAGAAGTTGGTCAGGGCCGCTCCGCCGGAACCGGAGGGGAAGGGCCCCGGAATAAGCCGAGCCCGTCCGAAAATCCGTCCCCTTTTTGTTTCCACTCCACAGTGGGCCAGAAGACCGGCGGAGGCGGCCAAAATTGCAGACGCGTTCTGATCTCCAGAGTCGCTAAATGGGACTCGAACCGAACGTGTGACCCCACCATTGGATTCCTCGTTCGGAGAGCAATCGATTGGTGGGGTCACACGTTCGGTTCGAGTCTTGTCGAGCGACTCTGGAGCTCAGAACGCGTCTACAATTTTGGCCGCCTCCGCCGGTCTTCTGGCCCACTGTGCGCTCCTTCTTCGCAGTGTAGTACCTTTGAGGTTCCCGAGGGAGCCTCCCGCGCGGATGGGATCAAGGGGATCTCGAGTGACTGCTGGAATGACTGGAGCGAGATGTGACCCCTTTGCTGGAACGGTACTGGAATGGCGTTGCCTGCACCCAACTGTCCCCAGTGTGAACTCTTTACCGCGGACTGCCCTGCCCCGCCCGCCCCGCCGCGCCCCACAGTGGGCTAGAAGACCGGTGGAGGCAGACAAAACTCTAGACGCGCTTTCAGCCCCAGAGTCGCTATAAGCGACTCGAACCGAACGTGACTCCACAAAATGGATTGCTCTCCGAACGAGGAATCCATTGGTGGGGTCACACGTTCTGTTCGCGGCCCGTTTAGCGACTGTGCAGCTCAAAACGCGTCTAGAGTTTCGGCTGCCTCCACCAGTCTTCTGACCCACTGTGCGCCCCACTCTAGCCTGCCCGGCCCCGGATGAGGCCGCCAGTCCTAGGCGACCCTATGGACGGAGTGTGAACTCGTCCTTTGTCAGTGGCGTGGCGTGCAGTGGCTTGCCTGGGCTTGCCCTTGGTCTCGCAGCGTCACACGGAGCCCATTCCCCCCGATCCGGACTCGGAATGTGGGCTGAGGTCGTGCGAAAAATAGAAATGGCCCCAGAGTCGAACAGCTGTTGTTGTTGTTTAAATGGTCTCGGGTTCGCGCCCCACTTACAGCGCTGTTTTTTTTGCTTCCCGTGGCTTGCGGCATGAGGGTTCTCTAGAATGGCTACACTTTCAGCCGCGAGCAAAGTACAGATATTGGGTCCAAACTTTCAATAATTCAGGATTCAATTTCATCCACAAAATACCTTTATAAAAGTAAAAGTGAATCAAACGCATTAAAATAGAAACGACGAACACACCCACTATAGTTTCCCTTGATTTTATAAAGCTGTTGATAAATAATTTTGAATGGCCACATAGAAACTTTGATCAAATCGATTCTTTTGAGAAAGATTCGAACCAACGTTTTTGACACCGAAACCCAGTGAGTTAACCCCCGCGGCCACGCCGCCACACGCTGCGCCTGTTGTCGTCGGCCTGTCCCCAATGGCCGCGCCTGGCCTCGCCGTGCTCGTCTCTTAGCGGGCTGAGTTATGGCTTTCCGGGCGGCCGGGCGCGCGCCGGGGCCTGCACTGCAGGGCCAGTCTGTCTCCGCCGCACTCATGGGGCGGTCCACAGCGTCCGCGGCCGAGCGAGAGAGACAGAGCGACGAAAGCACTCTTCGGGATGGGCGGGCTGGAGCCGGGCGGAGCCAGGGGCCCATACCCACCCCGTCCTGGAGGCGGCCTGGAGGCAGCCGGAGCCCCGTGCCCGAGCCGTGCCGCTCCAGTTGGCCCGCGACCCAGGCACGCCGTGGGCACGCCGTCGCCACGGACGGCCTCCACGGCCTCCTCCAGGACGCGGACGGCGCCACCGCGGCGCCACGGACAGACGTCGCACAGTGGGCCAGAAGACCGGTGGCGGCGGCCAAAACTCTAGGCGCGTTTCGAGCTCCAGAGTCGCTAAATGGGACTCGAACCGAACGTGTGACCCCACCAATGGATTGCTCTCCGAACGAGGAATCCATTGGTGGGGTCACACGTTCAGTTCGAGTCCTGTTTGGCAACTCTGGAGGTCAAAACGCGCTTAGAGTTTTGGCCCACCGGCCCACGCATGCGGCCAAGGGGTCCGCACTTCCAGTGCGCCGGCATAGCTTCACAAAATGATCCGCTTGGGTGCGGCCGAAGGTCCGAAGGGAGCCGCCTGCCGACACCTTGGGACTGTAAGCGGCGAGAGAGCCGCGGAACGCAGTGCCAATTCCTTTCTTTCTCTACGCATCCCGCCGAAGACTGCGAAGACTGCCAAGCCTGCCAAGCCTGCGATGGCTAGACAACAACAAAAGGCAGTAAAGTTCGCTCGCCAGTCTGTTTGTTTGCTTCTAGGAAGGACGTCCCTGCGCATGCTTCTGCCTGCTTCACTGTAAAATGTGTTTCCACCGTCCACGTGGCCCCGCGCACAACATGCCAAATTTCCCGCGCAAATTTTGTACTACTCAGAATCATCGCACAAAGTCGTGCGCCATTTCGTACAAATTTGGACACTGCAAGAAAGAACGTGTGCGCGAAAAGTGGCCCTCTCTCAGGCACGCACACTGACGCGTTCGTGCTGAGAGCGAGAGCCCCTGTGGACGCAAGGGTAGGCGGCCCGGTGGACAAGGGTGTGGTGCGGGTCGGCCTACCCTTGCTTTGGCAGGCGCTTCGGCCGCTCGTCCGGAACCTGTCGGCTTGGCTTGGTATCGGCAGACAGCGGAGCCCCCTGCCAAACACGTTTTCTCACACACATAAACACACACACACACACGCACTCATACGCACATGGCGAGCCCCTGCGGACGGAGGGATAGGCCGCCCGGTGACATGAGGCGTTTTGCGGGTCTGCCTACCCTCACGTTGGCAGGCGCTTGCCCGCTCGTGCGGAACGGCACGCCGCCGCGCGCTCTCTCGCTCAATTACTCACTCTACGTGCGCGCGCACACACACTCACACACACACACACACACACAGAGTCCGAGGCTGGGCGAGCAGGCGCGACGTGGTTGCCTGGTTCCAAACAGTCGCTCTGTCTCTCGCGCACCCGCTTGGGCGCTGCGTCCACGCCGTGGGAGTGCGAGAGAGACAGAGGCGACGCGAGAGCGCTGCTGGTGCATGCTGGTGGTCGTGGTCACCCACACTGACCTCCACGCCGGCGGGCCGGCCGGCGCGGTCCTTCGAAATAAAGAATCCTCTTTTGTGTCTTCATTGTCGGGGCGGCAGGGCGGCAGGGCGGCAGGACGCGGTGGTTGCGGCAGGCGGGACGCCCAGCGCGGCCCGGCGCAGTCCTGCGCGAGGCTCCAGTCGGCCGTTGCCTCATTTTCCACCCATTCCTGGACACTTTGTTTTCCTCGCGCCGCACAGGGAGCGTGCGTAAATCACCACCCAGTCTGGCTGCCCATTGAGCTTCCGCCGAGGGGCGTTCTCGGCGTGCGGACGACGGCAACGACGTGCCGAACCGGAGGACGGGAGGCGTCGCTGTCTCTCTCGCACTCATGGGCCGACCCGTGGAGGCGAGAGAGCGACAGAGCGACGAAAGCGACTCTCGGAATCCGTCTGCAGCCGCTGCCTTAACGAAGGTCCCCTGAATTCCTGACGATGCGCACCTCGCGGCCGGCAGACTGCTTCGTCGCTCTGTCTCTCTCGCACCAACGGGGGCGTGCCGTCGGTGCGAGAGAGACAGAGCGACGAAGCAGGAAAGCGCGTGAAGAAAGTGGCGAATGCCATTGGCTATGGACCCAGCGGGGCGCCGCCGGGGCCTCCGCTTCGTTAGAGCCAGGGTGGCCAGGTAGGAAGCGCTCGGCGGCTCGGCTCGCTCGCTCGGCGGCTCGGCTCGCAAGGGTCGGCTCGGAAACGCGGCTCGGCTCGGCTCGGCTCGGCTCGGCTCGGCTCGGCTCGGCTCGGCTCGGCAAGGCACGGCAAGGCAAGGCAAGGCGTCGGAAACGTCCCTTCCTGCGAGGCACGCATAACGAGGGGGTGGCAGCCGTGCGCATGGCCGCATGGCCCGGGGCGAGGTGGCAACTCTATGATGCAACTGCCGGTCAGTTACCACCACAACGCCCCGTCCCGCCGCCGGCCCGCCGGCCACCGCAGGCGCGTCTGTCTGAGCGTCTGGAGTCTGCCTGTCTGTCTGCCTGTCCGTCCGTCCGTCCGTCTGTCTGTCTAGTAGCCCACCTCTGGGTGTGTATAGGTGCCTGACTCTATGCCTGTCTGTGTCAGCATGACTGTCTGTCTGTCTGTCTGTCTGTCTGTCTGTCGGCACGGCTATCCATTAGTCAGTCCCGTTGAGCTCAGCCCATCCGTCATTGCCCGTTGTGTCCGCGCCTCCACGTGTCCCGCAGTCTCGTTACTTTCGTTCTCGACTGCGAATAACAAAAACGGGCGAACCGCGCCCTGCGAATAATTAGGATCCGTTCGGCGTTTGGCGCGGCACGCCGACGTGACGCAACGGAGCCTTATCAAGGACCGCTCATCGCGCGTCCGAGCATTCATTGCACGGACGGGCGGACGGACGGACAGACGGGCAGGCAGACGGAAGACAGACAGACAGACAGGCAGGCGGACAGACAAGGCAAATTAGGTAAACTTGACTCACGCTGCACTCGGGTGTTGTTGGAGCGGAGTCGCCGGTAGTCGCGGTCCCAGGTCTCGAGCGGGGCGCGGTACTCGGGGCTGTCCGAGGCCGAGGCCTGCAGGCGCCCCGGCGGCGGCGGCACGGAGGAGGCCGGCGTCGAGGCCGTGGAGGCGGCCGGCGAGGCGGCCGACGAGGCCGTCGTCTTCTTGGCGGGCCGCGTGGGCCTCGCGGGCTGGACGGGCTGCACGGGCACGTAGCCCTCCGGGTCGGCGACGAACACCACCTGCAGAGTCATGACGTTCCACGTTAGAGGCATAATTACAAAGGCGGCCACGTCGGGCACGTAGCCGGCGTCGTCCTGGAGGCTGCCAGGTCGCCGTCGTGGGCGGCGGGCGCGGCGGACGCGGCGGACGGCGGTAGATGGCGCTCAAGGCGCGCGATACCGCCGCACTATCTCCGCCAGCGGCAGCCAGCGGTCCGGCTGTGCACACGTCGCCCGAAAAAAATGTGCTCTGGTATTCGAACCCGCGACGCAGGAGCTTCCGTTAGCCGCGCCGCGTGCTCCTTCGCGCCACCCACACTGCCATCGAGGGCTGCCGATAGCGCTGAAAAAAAAAGGCAGGGAAAGGAAAAAGGCGGGAAAAGGAAAAAGGCAGCGAGGAGGCAGACGAGTGCAATTTCAGGCCGACCTTGTAATTTGAGCCCGGGGATGTCGCCGGCTGCAGGCCACTGCAGACTGATTCCGAGCGAGTCGTCGCTCTGTCTCTCTCGCACTCATGGGGCGGCCCGTAGGTGCGCGAGGGACAGAGCGACGAAAACGACTCTCTGAATCAGTGCTGCCAACGCCCGGACGCCGCCACAGAGCCTTGGAACGCTACAACGTTGGCAACACTGACGCCGCGTCTCTCGCGCGGCGGCGTGCTTGTTCGGAAATTTTCTTGTTGGAAGCGGAGCAGAGAGGTTCAATGTTGCAGCGAGCGAGCGAGAGAGAGAGAGAGAGAGAGAGAGAGAGAGAGAGAGAGAGAGAGAGAGAGAGAGAGAGAGAGAGAGAGAGAGAGAGAGAGAGAGAGAGAGAGAGGAAGCGCCGCGGCGATTCGCTGGCGACCAAAACGCCCCGGTAAAGTGCCCCATTAGGATTGAGTTTCGAGTCCCCCTATTTCCGGACGAAAACCAGAGCCACTTTGCCGGCAAAGACAAAAACTTGCCGAGCCGTCAGTCGCGCGTCTCTCGGGAAATGACTTCGGCCGCCGACGCTCCATATTTCGGCGCCGACGGCGTTCTTGTTTGCTCTGCGAGACTCTGCTTCTTTCAACGCTCTGGCGCACGTCGCACGTCGTTTGGCGTGTATACTTGGTAACTTTAACTTGGTAATAAAATAAACTTTTAAGACACCCGACAAAAATGGGGGTTTGAATTCTTATTGGAGAAGCTGCTGTCAATGGTCTTGGAGCATAGCGTTTTTTCATCCTGTGATATGACACTGGAATTTTCTTGATCTTGGAATCAGCATTCCTAGGGAAGATCACCCTTTTTGGGGTGAAATCTGTGACCAGCTTTGGACGGAACCCCTATCCTAATAGAGCCAAAGCTCATTTTCAGTGCAAGTACCGTCTAGCTGATTCTTAAAATGTCTCTTAAATTCTTTATTACTGCTCAACCTCTCAGCTTTGTACTCTGGTTGATTTTTTTTGTCAACGTGCACGCTCCAAATCCATTGGCAAGTTTCCTTGCAACTCCAGTGGAGCTCCGTCTTGGGTGCCAAAAGGCCAAACTTTGGCCAGACGGGCCCTGATTGCCTTCAGAGACTGCCAAATTTTGGCATTCTTATTGGGCGATCCGGACGAAAAGGCCAAATTTTGGCTATTCTTACAACGGAGTGCCACTGGAGTGGCTAGGGTCAGTTGAGGCTGGGGTGGTTGTGGGACACGGGTAAAAATGGGACAGAGCTGATTCTTGGTCAATATTTTTGACATTTTCGAGATCACGCCGTATACCAAATGTTATTTTCACAATAAAAACATCACATTTGGTTTGACATGAGTTCAAAAATGTCAAACCTTGACCAAGAATCAGCTGACCCATTTTCCCCCCGTGTCTCAAAATTACCCCAACTGACCCAAAAGGGAACACTTGCCGATGGATTGGCAGTGTTTCCGTTGTTGGTTGCCTCCAAGTCCGAACGGCTCCCCGATTTTTGGCCACATCTCCGACCCGTCTCCGACCCGTCTCCGACCCGTCTCCGACCCGTCTCCGACCCGTCTCCGACCCGTCTCCGACCCGTCTCCGACCCGTCTCCGACCCGTCTCCGACCCGTCCCCGACCCATCTCCGACCCGTGTCCGACCCGTCTCCGACCCGTCTCCGACCCGTCTCCGACCCGTCTCCGACCCGTCTCCGACCCGTCTCCGACCCGTCTCCGACCCGTCTCCGACCCGTCTCCGACCCGTCTCCGACCCGTCTCCGACCCGTCTCCGACCCGCCTCCGACCCGTCTCCGACCCGTCTCCGACCCGTCTCCGACCCGCCTCCGACCCGCCTCCGACCCGCCTCCGACCCGCCTCCGACAGGCTCGGTGTCGTTGGCCTCCCCGCCGACGGACGTCATCGACGCCATCGGCTTGACGCGCTCTTCGCGCTCCGCGGCCTCTTTGACGGCCGCCGCTCCGTCTCTCTCTACGGGCAAGGCGGCCGCCCCGCGCCCCGCGCGTGCGAGAGAGACGGAGCGGCGGCAGTGTGCTGTCAGTCGGACGGGGCGAACAGTGGGAATAGAGCCACCAGACGGGCATCGCGGCCAGTCTCGGACACACACCAAACACACATTTAACAAAAAAAGTAAATGCAGACCAGGACAGTTGCTGTTCCTTTCAAAATTTTGAGCTTATCAATCAAGGCGGAACTGTAATAAGGATTTTCTTTTTGCAAGGAAATTTGTGGACTAGACGGCCTAGACGAACGCGAACAACTCTATTCGACACATCAGCCTGGCCAAGTGACCACTGAATTTCGAATAGTCGAAATCGAATCAACGCCCGATGCCTATTCCTATCGATCGCTATCATATACCTATCTCTCTCGCACTCACAGGGCGTCCCGCAGGGTGCGAGCGAGACAGAGCGACGACAACACAGTTCGGAATCAATGAAGGTGAGCCTGCAGGTGAGAGTGAGAGACACTGAAATTCACAGTGGCGCTGCGATTCAGCTCAAAATGTGAGTCCTTGTGGCCGATGCGAGGAGGAGGGGAGGGGAGGGGAGGGGAGGGGTATCTCGCCCGTGATCGTCGCGTAGCGGTATAACGTGCCGGCAAAAAAGCGGCGCTCTAGTGTGAGCCCCATCTATTGTTTGATCTAGACCTGATTAATCCGCACAAGATAATGCAGCATAGACACACACAAAAAGACTGCGGTTACAAAAAAAGCGGAGGCTGGTGGCCGCGGTCAGTTGTAGGCCGCGCGGGTCCGGCCAGCCAGCACACTGATTCCGAGAGGCGTTTCTCAGCCGCACTTGCGTTGCGTGCGGGTGCGGGTGAGAGAGAGAGAGAGAGAGAGAGAGAGAGAGAGAGAGAGAGAGAGAGAGAGAGAGAGAGAGAGAGGGGCCCAGCCCGGCAAAAAGGCCGGCGGCTCGCCTTCCCCGTCGCGACACGGACGGAGGGCCGGAGGGCCGAAGGACGGACTCGCCGCATTCGTTCCGCGCGCCTCTCCGAATTTGAGGGAAGCGCGCGCCGCGCCAGCCGCGCCCCCTAGCGGTCGCAGTCATCCCGGAGGCTCGTTCCCCCTCGCGCTCTCTCGCACTCACGGGCCCTTCCGTACGGGTGCGAGAGAGACAGAACGAGATTCTTCGGAGTCAGGCGCCTCGAGGCGAGGATGCTGCCGACGAGGGGAAAAGAAAAAGAGAGCACGGGCTGGGTATTCGAACCCGGGGCCGAAGGGACGCGCCACCGTCCCTCTAACGCCCATCACGACCATCAAACACAAGTTCTTATTGCGAGAAAATTTGCCTCAGGGAGGAGCAATGCCCCCAGCTATCGACTATTCCGAGAGCTCTATCATAAACTGGGATGAAAAACGAATTTTTGTTTTCAATGCTCTTGTGAAAGCGACGTACAAAAACGCCGTCCAAGACTCAATCTAAAAAAATAATTATTTTTTAAAAATTGCTTTTGCTTTTTATGGGGTAAATGCAAATGAATTTTGGCTTGGCGCAATTTTTAAAAATTTGCAGCGTTCCGGTCAATCTGCAGGCGGCGTTTGACAGTGTAGAGGAGGCAACGGCCTGCTCCTTGACGGCTTGACCACGGCATACCTGACCGCCATGGTGGCGAGGCGCGGTGCCGCCTTGTCGCTGTTAGCTACACTGTCGAAAAACGTCCCATTTTACCCCTTTCTTTAATTTAGCGTTTCCACGACGTGGTTCTACGGGCAATCTGCAGTGAAATACTGACATAAACTACGGTCTATATTTTAAAATGAGTCAAAGTAGAATTTGTCAAGAAAAACAAAAAGCCAAGAAAAAATTTCCGCAACGATAATGCATTACCCACACCTCGTTCGCGAGAAGCAGGGCGACCATGTGAGTGAAAGTGAAGAACTCGTCCAGTCGGAAATCAATTTCCACGCACAGGTTTTTTTTTTTTCCCGACGAACTTGGACATTTTTTACCGGGTGGAACTACGGGCACCGTTCGCCAATACTCGACGAATCGACACTGATGTGCTTGACGGTGGCGGAAGGAAGATAGCGACGGGCGGACGGACGGACAGACGGACAGGCAGACAGGCGGACAGGCAGACAGACAGACAGGCGGACAGGCAGGCAGGCGCAAGCAGACAGACAGACAGGCGGACAGGCAGACAGAGCGACAGCGGACAGAGAGGCGACGCAGAGACAGCGAGACGGAGCGAAGCGACGGCTCCGATTGAAACATCTCTCAATGCGCTGCACCACGGCGGCACTGGTTGACGCGGTCGTGCGACTCCTAGTGTACTTGCAAACCCTCACCCCTTATTTGCTACAACAGTGAGAAGGAGTGGCAGGGCAAGAAGATTCCTAAGAAGCTCGCTCGTTCGCTGGATTGCTCTTCAGTTCAGAGGGTCTGCCTCAAATGTTTCACAATTTCACCACGAAACATCGCATTGCATTTAGAAATTTTGAATGTCAGTGTCAGTTTGAAATCCAGGAAACGGACATTACATTGATTGGAATTTGACTGCGAATGTCACAACGAATGACGCATCATGCTCAAATGTCACATTTCTGGATGACGTTTCAGAGATCGTACTCGAATCAGCAAAATCGCTGAGTCGACACTCGGGTAGGCGACCCACTGAGACTGTTGACATTCGACGGGACTGCCTGCCCTCCAGGCGCTCCACCTAATAAGCCGCAACGTCGCGAAGAAAAATCCTCACGAAGTCGGTACTCGAACCAGGGATCTTAATCACATGAAGCCGGTGCGTTAGCGCGCGCGGCTGGTGCGGCGAGCATAGAAGCTGCAGCCGATTACACGGCGCCCAGGGCCCCTCAGTGTGTCGCGCGGGGCCGCCTCCGCCCGCCCACGTCCCTTATACGTCGCCAGCCCGGCCGCTACAGTTACCTAGAGCCGTGATGAGCAGGTCGAGTTTAACGGATTCCGCCGTTGTTGTACTTCCCAAACTCGTTGACGGGGACGCTGTATACGGGAACCGGCGGCAGGTCCTCGCTGTGAGCACACTCACATGCCGACAGTGCAGGCACCCTCCTTCTCACACACAGTGCACACACTCTTTTTCCTATCACTGGTAAACTAACGAGTAGTATGACGCCCTTTGTGCAGCGTACACACTAAATGATATGTACAATTTTGTACGAGACATCACCGTTTTTTGTGCACACGAACTTTTTATACAATTTTTGTACGAAAAACAGCACATGCTTCCCCATTTTTGTACAAAATCACGTGCAAATTTGTACGAAAAGTTCGTGCGCACAAAAAACTGTGCTGTCTCGTACAAAATTTGTACAAAAACCAAAAAGGGGGCAACGACTCGAGAAATCATGTGTCCCCGGAGCCCTTGAAATATCTAGAAATCCGAAATCTTTCCCCCAAAAGGCAAAAACAAGCAGATTTGAGGCGCAAAATTCAACGAAATCTCTTATTGCCTTAAGAAATCTTGTGTCCCCATACATCGAACGTGGTTGCCCCTCGACAAAAACATTTGCACAATCCACTTGACACTCACCGAGCTCTGCTCGCTGGCCTCGTGGACGAGGGACTCGTGCGTCTCGTTGGGGCGCAGCGTGTGCAGCGGCAGCAGGGTCTTCTCCACGAGGGTGTCGTTGGCGGCCAGCTCGCCGCTGCCGGCCCCGGTGGCGGTGGCGGCCGCCGTGCCGCCCGTGGCCGTGGCGTCCGCGCCGCTGGCCGTGAACAGGGCGTTGTTGGCGTCCTCCGTGACGGCGCCGTCCACCGCCGTGCCGAACGCCGTGTACAGCTCCGTGGCCGTGCCCTCCGTCGTGAAGTCCGTCTGGCACAGCACCGCCTGCAACCACGCAGTCTCACTCACACCACTCGCTTCACAGTGGGCCAGAAGACCGGTGCAGGCAGCCCAAAACTCTAGACGCGTTTTCAGCTCCTGAGTCGCTAAACAGGACTCGCACCAAACGTGTGACCCCATCAATGGATTTAGAAGAGCAATGGATTGGTGGGGTCACATGTTTGGCTCGAGTCCCAGCTACAAACGCGTCCGGGATTTCGACCGCCTCCATCGGACTAGGACTATTAAAAGTCAAAACAAACCATTCTGAGTTAAAAAATAATAAAAAATAAACAAACGAAAAAACCATTTGTTTTCATTGGGAGACATATGTTCCACTACCGGATTGCTTGAGCTAGTTCCCCAGCCCCATGCACACTGTGCAGTCTAATTTTATAGTGCACACAGCGAGCGGGAACAGCAAGCAGCGTCGGCCGACCAGGGGCCTCCTGGCGAGGCGTTCAGAGCAGGGTGTCACGTCTGCACTCGCTGCGGCGTCTGTCTCTCTCACACCCGCGCGGCACGCCCGAACGGAGGCAGAGCGACGAAAGGACTCGCAGGCGACTTTGGGCGTGCGAGGGAAAGGGCTCGCCTCGCTGTTCGGCGATGACGCGCCGATCGCCATTTTAACACGGTTGAGCCAAGAGAAAGAAAACAGCAACAACATCCTTTTCGCGTTTCAGTTTGAACTAATGCATACTTTGTATTAACAACAAAATAACCGTTTTTAGCCGGCAAATCTAGGAATGCAGCTACCGTGGCTTCCTATCGGTCCCCATTTTCGTAAAACAAGCACCAATTAACGCCCCAGAAAGTAAAACGTGACGTCTCCCGATCACAGTCCCGCCCCGCCCCGCCCCGCCCCACCCCGCCCCGCCCCCCCCGCCCCGCCCCGCCCCGCCCCGCCCCGCCCCCCGCCCGACTTGCCTCCCACTCGCCGCCCTAGCCCGAGTCGTGACGGGGGAGTAAACCAGACACTCTGTCGCTCTCTCTCTCTCTCTCTCTCTCTCTCTCTCTCTCTCTCTCTCTCTTTTCAACCTCTGTCTTTCTCTCTCCCACGTTGGTATCACGGAGGAAGGGAGACAGATCGGCGCAGAGAGAGAGAGAGAGAGCGTTTTGTCACTCTTTGTCGAGTAATGAGAGATTCGCATCCCAACTTTTGCAAATTAGCCACAAATCACGTAGAAAAGTTGTCTGCAATTCGACCATTTTCGCCACACGGGAAACCTAAGAATATACTAAGTTCATTCTTTTTCTTGGATATTTAAAAAAAAGTCTTGACACAAGAAAAAAATCTTGACACAAGAAAAGAAAGTTTAAATCAAAAAACAATTTTCTCGAAAGATATTTAAAAAAAAAACACACAAGAAAAGTTAATTTTTTTATCAAAGAAGGCATTTGTTTGGGTGTGGAATCCAGGGCGGGCCTGCCGAGCTCTGCGGCCTTCGCTAACTGCGGCAAAGTACTCACCTGTATTAAACACCAGGCCAAGAGGTGCAATCTCAGCGACTGTCTGCAACACGAGAAAAAGCAAAAGGTTAAAATGGGTCTCTGCCGAGCCGTGCTGAGCCCTCGATGCCTCGAACCTCGATACTTGGCCGCCGTTTCGGCAGTTCATGTTCGCTTATACGACCACCGGGCGTCTCTAATCCATCCGCAGCGCGCAGTCGTTTTCATTTGCGGCACTCTATCGGGGGAAATCACTGTGAATTTCGGTGTACAAATCAAATGAGTTTCTTAGTTGAGTTTCGGCCAAAAACTGCTGAATTTTAAGAAGAATTTCGATGAATTTCAATGAATTTTAGTAAATTTTAGAGTTGGTGAATGATGGTGTACAAATTTGACTGGAGTTATTTTGGCACTCTGTCAGGAAAAAGTGTCACGTTCGTTTGAGCATTGTGTCACACTCGTTTGGATGTGAATCGGCCAAAACTTAGCTGACTTTGTCACGTTCGTTTCAACGTGACGTCATGACGTGCACGTACTTGGGATGAGAGTGTTCTAACCACTTCAAACCTTGTGAAGTATTTTGAGCACACGTATGAGGTGCAAACTATTGTATGTTTTATAGAGAAAAAGTTCGTAAATTACGAAATACTTCCCCTGTAAGCTCATGCATCCTCAAAATAATTTGTTATAACAGGCAAAGTTTCTTCGTAAGGACTTAAACTGTTGGTAAGGTTTTGGGAATGTGGAGTTCCTTTCGAAAGACACATGACTCAAGGCCCACTCAAAATAACTTGGTCCGAGGACCAACTCCCCCCGAATATTTTTATTTTTCTAGTGTATTGGCATGCCTCCACCTATATACCTCCTTTCAGATGCACCGAAGCGCGACAATAGACAAAGACTGGCCTTCTCATTTTGAATCCCGTTTATTGGTATCAACACGGATAGAAACCAGTTGGACATCCATTGTTCACTGCCCCCCCCCCCCCCCCCCCCCCCCGGCCCCTCCTTGCCCATCCCTGGCGATTCGTCACCCCATCCTCAAGGGACCGGCCAGTCAAAGAGAAATGTCCGCACTGCCGGCCGATTCGGAACCACTCTGTCTCTCTCGCACGGGACGGAGTGGGAGAGAGAGCACTGTCGGCCCGCTGCTGCAGGATCCTGCAAATTACTTCATTGCCCGGCAGAGCATTGAGCCTGGCACATTGCCGCAAAGGGCCAACAAAGGACCAGGCCGTGCTCGCTGTCTCCCTCGCTCCTGCAGGTCCTGCACGGGGCGCCCCGTGAGTGCGAGAGGGACGGAGCGACGAGAGCGCGGCGGTGGCGTTTCAGAACCGCTCTGCCGGACTGCCCCGCACTGCCCCGCACTGCCCCGCACGGAGTCGGCAGCGGTCTTTTTGCTCTGGTGGAAAATCATACGCCACGCTGCCCCCCCCTCCCCCTCCCCCTAAGCGACGATTTGCGCTTCACTTTGAGATTTCGCGCCAGAAATGTTGACCGGGCGGTGGACAAATGCGCATGCGCCTCGGCGGGTACACTGCGCGAGCACTCTGCACAGTGGGCCAGATGACCGGTGGAGGCGGACAAAATCCCGGACAGGCTTTGTGCTCCAGACTCGCTAAACAGGACTCGAACCGAACGTGTGACCCCACCAATGGATTCCTCATTCGAAGAGCAATCCATTGGTGGGGTCACACGTTCGGTTCTAGTCCCATTTAGCGACTCTGGAGCTCTGCACGCGTCTAGAGTTTGGGCCGCCTCCACCAGTCTTCTGGCCCACTGTGCACCATTGCCGTGATGGTGACCGAACGGCGACGCGGCGCGGGACGATTTTCGGCGACACCGCTACACTGCCACACTGTACGGGCAAGCCAGCGCCAACGCTTTGCGGAGCGGACACACTGAGAAAAGTAGTTGTTGTTAACTCTATGAAAAAAAACTGAGAATGCAATTTTTCTTGTTTCAAGTGATGCCGATTCCAAAAGTTAGTGCGGCATTTCCAGCGACAGTGTATCACTCATCGCATAGGCTTGACAACAATGTCATCAAGTCAATTGTTTACATTCTTACAACGAATGCCCTTCACAGTTTGTGAGGTTCTGAGCGCGTCTTGAGCTCCAGAGTCGCTGAATGGGACTCTGGAGGCGAAAACGCGTCCGGCATTTTGGCCGCCCCCACCGGTCTTCTGGCCCACTGTGCTTCGGCTCGGCCCCCTTAAACACGTTACAATGGAATGGAGATGTTGGGCGGGAAAAGATTTATTCCCCCGGTCCCGTTGTCGTTGGCAATTCGGAAGCATTGTGCATGGGTCCCCTTCCGGCCCCCTTTGGGGCCCTTTGGAGCCCTTTGGGCTAGGTTAGGCAACTGTGGCCAGCACGCCAGTGATACATATTCGGATAATTAATGGCACGATCTTCTACACACCGCAAAACAGCAACAAAAACCTTTCCGTGAACGGGTGGCACGCCGCGGCCACAGCGTGGGTGTTAAACGTGTTAAATATATACAATAAATTTGTACGGCGTTGTTGTGTGGTGCTAGTCGCTCGCTACTCGCCGTTGGAAGTACGGCTACGTTATAGCCCTATTACCTTATCTCGCGCGCCGAGCGCCCTTTTTTCAACGGATAAACACCTAGTTATCGCGGACGCCGAGCCCCCCCCCCCTTTCCTCCCGGCTTGGCACGTCACGTTATAAAGGTCAGTAGACTGCCGGCGGCGGAGAGGGAGGTTGATGAGGAAGGGGGGAGGGGGAGGCGTCGTGAGTTCCACTTTGATTTCGGGGGCGATGCGAACCTGGCTTTGATGAGAACATGAACCGCTCCTATCCGCTTTATTTTTTTGCGAGTGTGCCTGTCCACACTCGATCATGTTGTCCTCCCCCCCCCCCCTCTCTCTCCGCACTTTTCGCCACGGCCGCTCTCGCGCCCCACCCGCGTTGAGGTCACCGCTTGCTTCCAGTATCGGCAATCATAGCGGCCGCTTCCGCGGGTTCAAACACCGCCTTCCGGAGCGTTTCTTTTCCTCCACGTCGGTGGGGACCCGGCTGCAGGGACCAGGCTGTAGGGTGACCACAGGGCGTCGCTAGGGTTACCACTTAGCCGTGGGCTGTTGGCCTCAGAGCAATGACACTGGTTCCCCCCTCCCCGCTTTTCTGTCCGGCCCTGCCTCAGCAGCGGCGAGAGAGAGAAAGGGAGAGAGAGAGAGAGAGAGAGAGAGAGAGAGAGAGAGAGAGAGAGGAGAGAGAGGCGTCACAGCAGCTCACGTCATTAATCATAACGCACATAACTTGTTACATCCAGAGGCACTCACGCAACGCAACAACTGTAATTCTTTTTATCGCACTGTTTACTCGGCAATGAGACGGTATTCATAGAATTACTGTTACACTGCCACGGCACGCTGCCGTCCGTAGTCCGCATGCAAACAGCCTTTCGAGGGACAAAGTCCTTTCCAGCAAGTCTAGTCCTTAGTCAGTGTACTCCCATTTTCGAAGTGAGGTGCCCGTCGTGGAGCAGGCGCGGATACAGGAGGGGTGCGGGGAGGGGTTAGCCCCCACCCCACCCCCATATAGCACCAAGGTAGCCGCCCGAAAGGTATGCAAAAATTGCCACTTTGCTCCTGTGGGGGCACTGTGAAAACTGTTTTCCCAGCACTGAGAATGAAAGAGTCATGATCATGACTAAAATTTTGGGCGAGGAATTCTTTATCACCCAAATTTGGGTCATAATACTATGGGGCCAGATGGGTAGCTGATCCACCCTTCCTCACCCATTTTGGGTGAGGAAGCCTTCCTCGCCCGGGCGAGGAAACAACAATCCTCGCCCAAATTTGGGTGATAAAGTATACCTCGCCCAAAATTGAGTATTGATCATGACTTTTTCATTCTCAGTGAGGAAGCCTATGGTAAAGACACACGTTTTTACCGTGCAGGTACCCCCCCCCCCCTTTCCACGAGAGGCCGCCCCTGGATCCGCCAGTGTCGTGGGGTAGTGCAAACGCGACGCCAACGCGCCCGCCGTTCGGCGTGGCAGCAGGTGCAGTTGCAGTGGCGGGGGACGGCGGCTGCAGCGTCCGTCTCTCTCGCACCCTCGCGGCCGGGCGGCCGGGCGGCGCGTGCGAGAGAGACGGACGAAGCCCGCTGCAGCGCGGCAGCGCGGCCCGCCATCAGCCCGAGCAACGAGCCACGAAAACGCGCCAAAAACACAAAAAGGGAAAAGGCACAAAAGGTTCAGCTTACATAGAGTTTGACACAGGCGAGGCGGAACGGCGGAACGGAACGGACAGAACACGTTCGACCCTCCGGGCCTCTGTCTTCGTCGCTCCGTCTCTCTCGCCTTCGTGGGGCGTCGCGTGTAGGTGCGAGAGAGACAGAGCGAGACTCTCAGTCTGCTGGCGAGGCTCTCGGCGCCAAAAGAAAGAAGGAGCTGACCGCACTGCGCCGCGCCGCGCCGTGCCACGCCGTGCCACGCCGCGTCGCCGCGGCATGGCCACTTCCGATCGAGTGGTCGCTAGTGGTCCCCCGCTGTAATAGAACGTAACCCTGGTGGCGACAACGCTTCCTGCCGCACACAGGGATCGCTATGGAGAGAGAGAGAGAGAGAGGGGGGGGGGGGACAAATTGCAACCGCCTGGGAATTCCCCGAGGAGCAGAGTCGTTGCCGCGAGCACGGCGCGGGCATGTGGTCTCGCAGTGGGACGCGACCAGGGCTGCGATTCCGAAGGCCCGTTTCGTCGCTCTGTCTCTCTCGCACTCGTCCCGTGTGGGTGCGCGAGAGACGGAGCGAGACTCTCAGTCTGCAGCCGCTACCCTCGCCACGTGTTCGGTGTTTCGGCGTTCCTGGCTTTGGCTGGCCCGGCCACGTTCTGCTAATTAGTAGTAAACATCCACTTTAAAAAAATTGGAAGAGAGCACTAGAACAATACCTTCTGAAAAAAAGGGGAAAGAATTTGAAGAAGACGGTTGGATTTGAACCCAAAGACTGTCTGTAATGAGGCGACGCGGCCCTCGTGCGCGCGTGGGATGGCGGTGGCTGATCTGCGCTGTGCTTCACCAGGCTTCGCAC